GAAACTGGGCCACTGTTTGGCTATTATCCCAAGGCAGCCAAGACATGACTCATTGTTAAACCAAATTGCAAAGAGAAAGCTGAAAAAATGTTCCCAAATATACAGGTATCGGAGGTTGGGCACAGATATCTTGGATCATTCATTGGAACTGAGGAGGGGACAAAATCATTTGTGGAGAGAAAAGTCGATAGCAATATCTGCTAGATCTTCAATGTCGTTACATTGAAGATCTAGCAGATATTGCTAAAAGGGAACCTCAGGCAGCTTATTCTGCATTCAACTATGGGTTATCTAAAAGATGGAATTATGTATGCCGAACAACACCTGGCATCAGTCAATACCTTAAAATACCCTACCAGCAATATTGGATAGATCTTTTGGAACCGACGAAACAAGCAGAAAACTCTTTGCATTACCAGTCAAAGAAGGAGGTCTCGGTATATATGACCTAAGTTTGATGTCTGACCTAGAGTACAAGTACTCATGCCAAGTAACATCAGATCTGTCAGAAGCAATATACAAACAAAACCCAGATTTTTATGACGATCAGGAAAAACTTGTCGATATCAAGACCCAAATCCGAAAATCAAGGATAGAGTTTTTCAAGGAGAGAAAAGAAGAGGTTACAAAAGACCTGAATGAAACCCAAAAATTGCTATTAGATCTTACATCAGAGAAAGGGGCAAGTTCCTGGCTTTCATCACTCCCACTCAAATCATTTGGATTCTGTCTCAACAAACAAGAATTCAATGACGCCCTAGCCCTTAGGTACAACTTTGGAATAAAAGATGCTGCAAGAAAATGTGTATGTGGAAGTGACAACTCAATAAACCACTCATTGATATGCAAAAGGGGTGGGTATGTATCTCTCCGCCACAATTCATTGAGAGATGTGATAGCAGAGCTCTTAGAAACTGCTGGATGTAAAGATGTTACCACCGAACCTCTCCTTATCCCTGTCAATGGGAGAGAACTTCCTGCAGGGGCCAACAAAGCAGATGGATCTAGGTTAGATGTTAGTGCTAGGAGTGTATGGAACCCATTGGAAAGGGCATTTTTAGATGTAAGAGTATTTCATGCTCAAGCTCCTTCCAATAAGGCTCTTGGATCTCCAATGAGTATGTACACTAGCCATGAGAGACAGAAGAAAAACATGTACAACAAAAGGATTGTCGAGGTGGAACATGGAACATTTACACCAATAGTCCTATCAACAACAGGTGGAATGGGAAGAGAAGCAAATACGTTCTTCAAAAAGTTAGCTGATAGAATGTCTAGAAAATCAGGCCAAAGATACAGTGAAGCGATGACTTTTATCAGGAAAAGAATAAGATTTGACTTATTAATATATATAATAACATCTATAAACAAAAGAGCACCTAAAGAGGCTCAGCAAAGTGCTGGCCTATTTACGCTTACGAAGACTCATTCGTTCAATATGTCTCAAAGTAAATAAACTCCTCCATCCTACTCTATCTCTTGCCAAGTTCACTAAGTTGGTAAAATCATCTTCATTGTTAAGAACGACAATTATTGCTCTTAGAGGAGAAAGAGGGATAAAAAGTTGTATTTATTTATTTATTTTTTATTTTTTGTAGTATAGTTAAGATATCAGATTTAGATATTAATTTAGAGCCAACAAATTGAATTGGCTACTTTTACTACTACAACAAAGGATTTTTATGAAATTTTCTTAGATTTTTTATTGAATTTCTATATAGAAATTTTATATAGGGTTATTGTTATATTATGTGTATATTGTTTTATAATTTTCATATGGTATGAGTGCTGCATCGTGTATATTCTAATGTACAGTTCTTGTATCAGGCCACACAACGATCACACTAAAAAGAGCACTTCTTATCGCAAGTTACGACAGCTGATAACAGACTTCTCTAATTGCAACCAAATGTAAAACGACTAAATTTTTAAAGAATATTTATATGATGACATGTGATGATGTTTCATTATTATTTGATTTGATTTGATTTGATTTGATTTGTCGAAAAGAGTTCTCCATAGGGAGGCATCATTTTCCCGAACTTTTATCCAGCAGGGGTAGTACATGGTATGTTATGATTGCAAATGATTAAGTGGTCACAAATAGGGTAGGGTGGTTTTTATGATTCTTGAGTATCAAACAGTAAAAGCTCTTACTATCGGAAGATAGGTTCTAGAGAGGTTTTACTGAGAGGTTTTACTGTATTTAGTTTTGATTTCAGTAGCCCGCCCCGTAGCCATGGTGTTGGTAATTCCAGAGGTTTTTATATTAATCTATTATGATATGTTGTTAATTTACTCTAATCGGAGAGTTCATTTAAATTAATATTATTCTAACCTAAATTTATGTTCAGACCACATTCTAGTCGATGAATGTCGCTATACCGTTCTAAATCTCCTCTGAGATCACCTGTCTCAAAGTCAACACCCAAGTATAATAGCTCCCTCAGAAGGAGTGCTAGTTTTGGAAAGTCTAAGAATGTTGCCAACTCTACTCTCAATAAATCTTTGGGCTCAGCTGGATTAGACCTGGCTACTGTTGAGAGTGAATACATCAAAAACTTGCAGCAGCAAGTATACTTCCTTGAACTTGAAGCAAACTTTTTACGCGATCAAGCCCAAAAAGCAGATACCCTCTCCAAACATAGTGCAGCAGATGAAGCTTCCAAATGGAGACGAAGGCTCAAAGATGTTGAAATTGAACAAGATTCCCTTAAGAGTGAGATCAGGCGCAAAGAGATAGAAGCTGATGCTGCTGAGATGGAGAGAAGGCAGTATGTCAAGGAGTTAAAATCCCTGAAACAAACAGCAACTGCTGAAAAATCACATCTGCTTGATGAGATTGCTACATTACGACACAAAGTGGATGACACCACTCTCTCAACAAAACAACTGGCTATACAGTTGGAAGCAGCTGAAGAGAGGAAGATGGCCACAACAAGTGAATGTCTTGACACAAAAAGTAGACTGGCTGTTGTACGTGACCAGTTAGATCGCACACTTGGTACCAACAAAGATTTGAGAGAGGATCTTGTGGACAAAAAGTTGGAAATAAAGCAGTTCAAGCAACAACTTGGTGATTTGGAGACGAGATATCTCACTCAGGCAACAGAACTAAAAGAAGCAGCCATCACAGATATGAGAACAAAACTGGCTGATATGCGAGTACGAATGAGAGAACTTGAGGTAACCTCTGAATTGGATAAAAGCTTGAAAGAAAAAGCTTTGGAAGATTCAAACTACACTTCAAAAACTAATTCAATCTTGAGAGAAGAGTTGTGTGACCTCAAAGTTCAGCTTGGTAAGGAGAGAGAACTATATGAGAAGCAGTCCATACAAAGATCCATGGATTCAGATGAAATTGCCACTTTGAAATATAGAAATAAGCACCTTCAAGATGAAATAGATAACCTCAATGACAACGTGGCGAAAGAAAAGAAGAAAGCTAAAAACTATCTCTGTAAGCTTGCCGAAACTGATGCTGACATTTCAGCTAATCGAGCTAACGAAACTCTTCTGCGAAACAAACTTGCGGACGTGGAAATCACCAAGGATGCCAAATCTCATGAAGTCTCCTCCCTTCGTAAAGATAAAAACCTGCTCCTGGACCAAGTGATTGACCTTCAATCCAAGTTAGACTTAAAAACATCAGAAGTCGGTAGTCTTGCATCTGAGATAGAATTCCTAAAGTCCAAGGTTTCAGACCTGGCATCAGAAGCCCGGCTCAACAAATCACTTGAGACTAGAAGATGGGAAGATATCGAAAACATGGCTGAAAAAATTCATCGATCTCCGTCCCCCCGTCCCAGGTCTCCGTACAAGGTACACTGATCTAACACCAGATCAAACTATATCATCTGGACCCATAATCCATATCTGATTAAAGAGGCACAGACTAAGAGTAAACATTACAATATTGTAATATACTAATATATTATATACTATGTGTGATATGTAATTATGAAGCTTAATCATGAAATATGTATAGCTATAATTTGAGTGGCAGCATTGCGCCATGAATGCAAATGGTTTTGCTTTTTAGGTTAAATTATTATGACAGATTTTACCAAATGTACAATCATGTAAATAAAAGATTTTATTAACAGTATATCTAATTCACATTACTTTATACATAATATACTACACTATATCATGTGTAATCATATCGAATATGATCACAGAGGCAATTTATTTCTTTGCCGTGAAAATCTTACGAATATGATACAGGATTCATTACATTTTACATAAGCCAGATAATGTCTATTTTAGACACCCCGACCCACTTCTCCCTCCGTACGCCGCCACTCTACACATAGCAAGTGTAATTTCTACTTCACCCCTAAAAATGCAAGTCCCTCCCATAGGTTGGCTTACGTAATATGTGAACGATCCGTAAACTTATCTAGTATAGTTAATAGTTATACTTTAGTCACAGATGTCAGAATTTGACCACATGAACTTTTGCACACTCTAGTGTAGACCTTAACACATCAATATAATTATCTATACAATGTAACTAAATTTCTAGTTTTAAGGATGTGCGTTTTGTTTTATTACGCTATTATATTATGTTACGTTTTGGTAAATGTACTTGTACAGTACAGGATGATTCTGTATCCATACCATGTATAACCTAATCGTGCAATTATATTCTATGTGAACTTGATTTTACTATTGTATATTTGTAGTTTTATTGTTTCCACACTCATTCAAGTGATCCTAGCCGATTTAAAGACAAACTCTAGCTTACTGAAGTATGTCTAATTATATAATATTTCCATGAGACAAATGCCAACTTATCAACATGGATTGAACTCGAATTTTCCATGCTGTGTCATAGTATGTGACTTGATAGGCTTACAAATTATTAGAAAACATACATCTCGATTGGAACAGTAAGATACCTTGGTGAAAATATCTTTAAAAACGTGAACCTTGTGACCTGAATAGTTATATTCAAACGTATCTCGCTGGCTCGATGATAAACTAACATTCACAACTTTACTTAGGTGTAAAGTGCTACTGAAGCCTACTAATTTACAGGTAAATATATCATTACTGGTTTATTAGTTGCCAAAATTAGTATTTAGATATTTTTAAGATAACACCATGAATCTGATCTTGATAAGTTGGGGTTCTCGCTATAAATCGTGTTATATTGTTGAAATTATTGTACCTTGATCGCTTTGACTTCATTATTCGATGATATTGTCAGTATCTATAATTGTCGTCAGCCATATATTGAGAGGATGGAAACACAGTAAGTGGAATTTATTCTCAACTCCTAAATTTTACCTGAGCACTATATTTCAACCTCAGAACTAAATCAGAACTGTCAGCCAAAATCAGAAACAGAAAAAATCAGAAAATCAGAGCACCAGATTACCCAGACCAGTTCTCTCAATGTCAGATCAAATCAGACAAAAATCGCGAGCAGCTGGTCGCTGGTCTCCTTCCGGCAAAGTTGCCTGGCATCATTAATTAAAATTGCACACTCCCGACAACTTTTACGACTGATCATGACAGAACAGATTTAACAGAAAACAGAACAGATTTAACAGAAACAGGCGCAGAAAATGGGTGAAAGTAAGTATTATTATTATATGGATGTCTGCTCAAACGTTCAAATAGCAAATAATAAATTATATTTTATTTCATTTATCTGGTCAGGCAGTATATTGAACGTGATATTTGTCCTTGATTTGTAGTGTGTACTCGAGTACTAATGATTCAGTTATCAGTTATACCCACACACAGTGGGTAATTGTGGTAAAGTCATTGTGATCACAAGGGGACTCTCAGAACTTCTTACTTATCAAGGTCTGTAACAACGGAAATCTTCAAGATCCTTTTTGTTGAGACGGGCTCCCAAATCGTTAATTGACCTCATAATAGACAACCCTATTTCTGAAGACTTTTATCTGTCTGCACAAGTAGCCGATGTCATCATCATAAGCAAACCCAGCATCCCATCCAGTAGGAGACCTTTAAATGAGTCACATGAGTCACGAGACCTTTAAATGAGTCATGTGACGCGTCCTGAGCTCTAATTTCGGGATTTGTGTCTGCATTTTAGTAGTTGATCTAATCTGTTGGTGCGAAAACCGAAATAGTTTAATTTTTGAAAGTGGTTGGAATTCTTTTTGCTTGGTTTCATCTCACTGATGTCAACCATTTTTGCATATTTTTATTTCATTCAGAGTGAATTCTCATTTTTGGCTTTTAGTTTCTACCTTAACTAAATCAGCAAGTTTATATAGTAGTAGAAAGTTGATTGAACACGATTATTCGTATAAACCATCTTTCCCCCTAGCCTCCCTCTTATGCTTCAAGTGGTAAATGATATTTTTCATTACTTTTTTTCTAATCATTCCTTCTTTAGCTTCAGGAAAATGCCATTTCTCTACGTCGGAAACTTGGGTATTGATTACAATCAGGAGGATATAGAGAAAGACTTCAACGAATACGGAAAGGTAATTTCAAATTTGTTTTAGAGTTTTCTAGCAGACTTTTTATTTGTTTGGGAACATATTAGTCGCACTTTCCTATGTATTGCCATTGGTCGTTTACTTTACTTCTGTAGCATCTATAACTTCAACAGCTCCAGGATGCAATTCTTTTGTCTATTTCGATCATTGTGGTTCTATTTATAGAACTGTTTTTATAAGAAACAATAGACTTCCTATCCCGTTCATAGGTCTAGCAAACAATGCTCTTTAGTGAAGTGGTAAATTTGGTGACCGCCTTGAGGAGACATAGCAGTAAATTTGTCTTACTTTATAGACAATGGTGTCAAAAAATTTCGCAAACACTGACTAATAACCAGAGATAAGAAAATTTTGAAGCTGTTTTCTTGGTTTTGAGTGTTTTGATTAGTTCTGTCGAGGAAAATTCTTGACCACCTTGTACAGTGTACATACGTCATACAATGCACATTGTACAGCTTCATAGTTATGTTAGAATGCAAATATTTCAAAAACTTCCGACACCATCTCGCTTTTTACGCAGATCCTCCTTCCACATGTACAGACGTACAGATGAATGGCAGAATAACTATTGCGGCCAGTTTCAGCATCCTGAACTAGCAAGCACTGTATAAAGCTACACACGCATCAGGCTCTGTTCCGCTTGATTTAGACACATTTAAACAGACCGGTCCTTACAGTCTGATAATTTCTGATTCAGAAATCAGAGAATGCTATTGATTTATCCGAACAGAAGATAAATTCAGACGGGCATTGAATAAGCGTTAACAGTAAACAGTATAACAGTAGATCAGAAGTAGATAATATGATGTAACTCTGATGTAGATCAGAAGTAGATCTGAAGTAGATCAGAAAACTGACAGTTTGTCTGCAGATAAGAGAGGCGTGGCACTGGCCTACGTTTGGATACTGCTTTTTCGAGTTTGATAGTCACAGAGATGCTGACGATGCTATGAAAAAACTCCATGGCTCCAAAACTGCTGAAGGCAAGTATTTTCAATAACTTACTTTTCAATAACATAATATTTAAATTACTATTACTATCTTCAATATTCTCATTTGTTAGAATTTTGACCTGCTATTTAGAAATACTTGGCTCATTTCTGCTGACAGCTATTTTAAAAAGAAATTTCAAATTTTGAAGATTCTGTATATATACATACACTAGTCACTAGGGTTGTATTGCGTTTAGAATTTCTGTTGCACAGATTTTATGCAAGTCATGTACTTCCGGACCGTATGCGGTCATGTAGACTCACTAGCATGTGTTAGACCGGTCTTTAGTAAAATTATACAATTATACAATACATAATACAAACCCGCACCCAGGAAAGAGAATGACTATACAATGGGCACGTCGACCTCGCAAACATCTCCCTTCACGTGCCACTAACAATGACAAGTGCTACATCTGCAACCGATACGGCCACTTTGCAAGGGACTGTCCGGATATTGCAGAAGCTGGACCAGTTTCTCATCGATCACCACCGAGATCAAGTGGGCGTGGTCGTGGTCGTGGTAGGAGATCACCGTATCGTGGGAGGGGAGGGTACAGTCCCAGAAGGAGGTCTAATAGCAGGAGTCCTCGTAGGAGATCCAGATCCCCTTATTCTTATCGCAGGTCAGAGATCTGAGAGTTTCAGAAGATAAACTTAAAATAGTTGTTGTCCAAAATAGTTATGGTTCAAATAGTTTCATATAATTTTCCAATCAATCATTAAAAAAACTAGTTAATCATTTATCCATGATAATTATTTATACTTAAATTCTCTCTTAGATCTGTAGAGAGAAAATCCCGAAGCAGATCCTCTGAAAGATACAATAAACGACCCCAAAGGTAACCTTGTCTCTTCCTCATATAATTAAACTCAAATTTTTATTTGACAACACATAAATTGGAAAATTTAGAATCGCCCGATGGTGCGATAAATTCATTTTTGCTTGAAATAGTTTTATATGTTTAGCATGCATAACATTGAGTTTTTTATTCTCCTACAGGAGTTACAGCAGATCTCCATTACGCAGATCCCCTGTTCGCAGATCCCGTTCTCCTGTTCGCAGATCCCGTTCTCCCGTCCGACGCTCACGATCCTGATATCGCACGTGCTAAACAAAAATATGCTTCTACGCATCACTTCGGCAAGTTCGGCCGATAACCATAATAACAGAACTTTTTGTATCAATTGACTGAGAAGTCATTATTTAAAAGTCTCGATGTTTTTAGCCTGGATATCTTGAAATTGAAACGGTATTATATATTGTATTTTCAAAAGAAGATTGATTCATTTATACAATATACAGAGTTGTTAGCGCTATGATATTAAAGCTAGTTTCCAGCTGAAACGGCTTTATTTTAAACGTGTTATTAGAAAATAACCATTAAAGAGTATTAAAACATTTTTAGTGCTTTGAGGTTTTTGCACGGCACTTTTCATACGGCTTACTTTTTATTTTGACTATTGTGCTGACTGCTGTTGCATTATCAGCAATTTCAAAGAAGTTACAATTGTATTTCAGGAGTTCACTATCACAATCATAATATTATATTATATTGTTTAGATAAAAAATGTCCAGTATCATTTCTACAAAAATCGGACATTGAGCCAGTGAGCCTTCCAAGTCCAAATTTAAACATGAGATTACTCCCACGAAACTCCCACAATCTCGGACAAGCAAACAATTATCTGTTGCATATCAACATTCTGTTGTTGATAGCTTAAGTTCCGATTGTTTTCCGTGTAGTACAATTAAATGTTGTCGTGTAGACGGAGAATTGTTCACATGCAGATGATCCTGCTTCAGTTGCACTGTGCTGAGATCTACTGTGCTGAGATCTACTGAGAAATGTTGAGTATTCTATCGTGTGTGAATTGTGGAGTGGTATTTTGTTACATGTGTAGTGTGTACACTGTACAGAGATATTAAGTAAAGATATCATACATGATACATGCAAGTAATATTAGAAATACGGTCCATGAAGCTATGAATTTAACATTAAGACATGCTTTAGACTTTGTTAATATTTGAGAGTGCATCATCAATCTTCTCATAGTTGGCTATGATCCAGAATATGACGGGCTACAGACTGCTAATAGAGACTATGAAATTCATCTGATCTGCGGGTAGTTATGGTCTGTTATAAATATCTAAGCTGGCTATTAATTTTAAATGATAAATTTAGAACGGACAGCTAGTAGTCGGCTGTTTTTCCTTATACAACACTGCTGTAACCGGTTATAGACCGGATAAAAGTGGACTTTTAATAGTCAGATCAGGTAGGTATACACTACTCAGTTGCCGTTTCACAAGGAGTATGCTACTTGTTAGGCTGAAACTTTAACAACAGTTTTTTTTGAAAGATATTTCACTCCAATCAAAATGTTTATTATAGAATCCCACAATCATGCAGGATACCTTGGTGTTAATAATTAACACATGTATTAAAAAACCACAAACCGTCTTCCTCTTCACACTGCACTGTTTAGGGATGCCAACCAGGAGAAAATGAGACCGGAATCGTTTGAAGTTATCTTTCATCTATTGGCAAAGCTTTCCATGACTCATGATCACTGCACTTGACATCACCAGCATTCATCGACATTAATACTGCCATAAACATGCTCATAGCCTGCTAAATTGTAGCTGTAGAACATTTATAACCATCCCTCTAACAAGAGATTTATAACAAGTTATAACCCTACCGGCTACATGTGCACTACTCAGCTCTTTCATTAATATGACTCCAGTATTCTCATAGTGTCATTCGTAATTGAGATCCATGTCATTTCCTGGATATAATTACCCCTGGTAGAGAGAGAGAGAGAGAGAGAGAGAGAGAGAGAGAGAGAGAGAGAGAAGAGCGGTATCCAGACTTTCACTTTTATCATAACCCTCATTAGTAGATACATGTGGAACACTCTCCTCAATATAATATGTATTAGGACAACATTATAGTTAAAGTTCTACACTCAATGTCATGGAAACCATGTTTGTTATGGACTTGGTGTGGTCACGTGATATGTTTTAACAGTTTTTATTGGTCAATTGCACTGTGGAAGACGCTGTCCTATTGGCTCTTTAATTTACTTAGAGCTTTACAGACAGATCAGTTATTGTATTATCCTATTGTTTCTATGGCAACCAAGGATTCTTTAGTCTTATCTCGGTTTGGGGAGAGCACAGTGCGTTCTGATTGGCTGTAGTCAACCGCGTGACTGAAATGCTGCCATTCGATTGGTAGGTTTTCGCATTATGCCAGGCTTTCAAGTTTTGTGGTCTTGAATAAATTGTTGTGGTAAATTCAGGGTAGTAAGAAAACGTGTGTCAGGCAGAGGTAGACTCTACTTAGCTTTCATCAATTTATACCACTAAATAGCTAATTAGCCTGTTAAGTCAGTTTAGATCCTCTTAAATTGCCAGATTAGGAGATATAACGTAAGATATGATGCGGTTAATTACAGTATTATATAGACACTTTGTACTTGAGTACCTGCAACCATCACACTGATATAAATATCAAAACAAAGACGTTTAAACGTTTAAAAGACGTCGGATCACTAGAAGTCTATATTGTAGCTAATGATATAAGGGATTACTGTAGTTCTCTGTTCTTGGCTTCCGTTCAAATAATAATGATCTTTTCTAAACAGTTAACCTCTGGATTGAATCTGCAATTGTAGCTGAATAGAATTCGAAGATATTATAGTGTATTGGGCTCTGATTGGATTTGATTATGTAAATGAGAACTGTTCTGTTATTACTTAAGAGGAAATAATAGTTAATAATAATAGTTAAATGTTTACAGTATGCACTGAAGAGGTATCCTAGGAAGTTTCTTGAACTTTTAACAGGTACCCCTCCTCATCTCACCCTCAATTAAGTTTCCTATCATTCGGCTGAGATAAAGAGTGATGATGCAATGGTCCGCCTTTTTTAAAGGCACATTTTTATAGTAACTTACTTCGGGGTATGCATATTGTCCGCAAGTCCATGCAATTTAATTTCATTCAAGATTATTTTTCGCAATTGTTGGTTTCCTCCAAAAATCCTGTTATTAGCTATCAGGGAGAAAACATTCGGATTAAAATTCGACCTTGATAATACTCTCCGGAACTTACAAACGACATCACCACGCAAACATTTAACCTACGTGTTAATCTTTAACCGGTTACCATGACAACAGTCATTTAATGTAATTACTGGAGGGGTTCACTTGGGCCTGCATTTTGCGGTACCATGGCAACGTAATTGTTAAAACTCCTGCAATTCGTAGGTAACCTTATTAAATGTAACACTTTGAAATGTTTGAATTTGGTAGTCATGGCGACCTGCATACAACTTAAGAACGGATATTACGTTATGTCGTTAGGGTAATTTATGAAAGCCATATATTATATTGAGAATATTGGACAAAATGGCAGTAAATTTTAGAGCTATTTGGATCAATGGGACTGGTTCCATTAAGGTATTGGAGGTGTCGGCATTTTCACATGCAAGTTAACTTAATATGGGTTGAAATATTACATTTTCTAGAAACATATTGCACGAACTCGCCATCGATCTGAATTGGATAAATCATTTAGGACTCAATTTTCGAATCCAAACATGCCTGAGCCACTCAAAAAGATTGCATCTATCCAGGCCGAAAGTCCAACATCTAATTAGTTTCCGACATTTCTTACAATGGCACTTTCTTGATGCCACCGCATCAGGAGTCAGGTAGCAAGGTAACTTCTCAACTTGGCAACGCATCAAATTGGGGGCCACCTGCGTGCTAAAAAGAATGGCGCAATCAGTACTAGCATACTTTGTCTAAAACGCTATGCACGAGAGTTTTTATCGTGATATTTTACCGCGCGCGCGGCATCCACTGCATGCATGCGCCAAATTGCCGCATCTTCTGATCTGCGATGACGTCACGATGCAAATAATGATTTCTGAATGCTGTTCCAGAGATTAGTTTCAGCAATTATGACCATAAAATGAAATGCGTACAAAGCTCCTCGTACATGATCCTTTCAGCCAGATGGTTACGCCTTAGCCCTTACCAATATTCCGTAACCCCGTGAGTCCACGTATTACTTAAATACAGTAATTGATGCAAGACTCCAATTTCTAGCGTTGTTTTTCTACATTTACACCAGCCTGTCTTTCCTTATTCTTCAAGTAAATGGGTTTTGTTTTATTGATTGGTTAACGCACATTCGTAACCTATAACAAAAGTGCCTAACCTCCAAATTATCAGTAGTATCAACCATATATAGGTCAAACATTATATAATAATTGTGTTTCGTAGTCATCTTTATTCCTCATATTTAAAAACCAGTAGATAGGCCGGTGTGGCAAAATACAGTGATATAAGTTCCGTGTGTTTGGACAATTGACGAAAGCATTTATGCTGCAAATTAAATTCAAATCATATTACACATATCAAACTAACTTCGTTACTAGTATTCAATTATTTAACTTTAAATTCAACGTATCATTGACAGGACTCACAACTCAATTGAAAGGGGGAGGCGCCGAATAGACATTGCCAGAGTGAAGGTGAAAATCAAACTGCGAATTCCAAGAGTGCGAGCTAGTGTATGGGTAAAATATGAAATGTAACCACCTAATTTCCCACCCAAAATATTAAAATAAAATTATTTTGTGGCAAAAATGTACACATTATTTCTGTCAACTGCAAATGTTTGATAATTGAATTTTGTATTTACATTAAACTTATAATCTATCATTAATCTACCGAAATTAAAATATCATAATCATAGTATTTTGAAGTTTCGAAATATATCCATAAACACTGCGAACATTTAAGCTATGATCGCCGAATTCTACAAAAACTTATGTATAAATTTTACGATAGTAGGGTATTACTATTATTCGGGATATTTTACAACTTTAAGATTAAACTTGAATTCACAAAAGTTTGGATGCACAAGAAAATGACTTTGCACAATATAAATATCACATCCTTCCTTTCAAATACGAGGGCGCAATTTAATGGAAAGTTGAGCAAGGAACTGAAATACCGCCGATAAAACTTTCGGCTAAAAGCTGTCATAACAGTGCAAACAGTATAAAAATAAAAAGCGTCATATTTGAAAGCATTTTAAAATCAAAGACAACATCCTAGCAAATATTTTAATTGTCAGCTCAATTTATAATTCTACAATTATATTTGTCGGAGTAATTGCTAGATAACGTGTCACAGTGCTATACAATTCCATCAAATAATGCTATCACCAATGAGTCCCAAAACTGAATCCCGATATCACGTGACTAAAACGGCCTACGATCCGCCACAGTCTCCCAAATTAAGATTATATATCTTCTGAATGTATGTAGGGCCGCCTAGTTAGGTCGAGCGGGTCGGGAGGGTGGAGGTGGGCGCCTGCTTCCGCCAGGCGGGGCTGGTGCTGGACGCCTGAAATAACGTGTTCAATGTTCATCTGACGATATGGTGTTATTCTATAGAAACATCACAGGATAAGTGATTCACAGATAAAATCATGCAGGAGTCAATGTGATCATTCTGAGGATTAGAATAAAGTAAGAAAGTAAGACATTTTTATGTTTGAACAAGATAAGTGAGTACAGAAACGCGTAGATATATTTGGCATGGTTTTGTCATGCATTTTGTCAACAATTGCCTCATAAATTCAAGGCTCCACGAGTCTAAAGGGTCGCATCATTCAAAAATAGTTAAAGCTACTAGGGAAATATTTTCTTATCTTAATTGAGCCATGCTAGGGTCCCTGCCAAATTATTCCAATATAAATTAGCTCTGCCCCATTTTTTACAGCTCTACCATCAACAAGAATAAGTGATCATACAAATTACTGACATAACAAGACTAAAAACATCACAAGTTTGGATTGAACAATACAACATATCTTGGCACAGTAATAGTCTAACTTCTAATAACAGCACTAGCATTATAGTATTAGTAGAATTCCTATTAAGTATTCTTACACATCAAATCCAACGTTGGGTTTCCCGTCAGCAAAGCCAAACTTTGGGGCTACATTGACACCAAAATTAACACCAGAGACCGGTTTAACGTTAACGGAGGGCTTTGACCAGTCAGATCCCAGGGAAGTTTGAGGTTTGGTCGGCAGAATAGGGGGATTGCTACGGCCACTGAGAGGGACAATACTGTTCAGACAACTTTAGCATTAACAATATAATTAAAGACAACTTTATAGCTGTAACGTTATTATAAGTTGAGAGGTCGTATAAAAGTATGAAGAACATAAACAAGCCCTTGATATGGCAGGAGAGATTATTTTTAGATAGGATCAAACCTTGCTTGAGATAATATTCATTGATATGAATATGTGCATAAAATCAGTAAGTGCATTTTATAACACTTTAGTCTTCCATTGCACTTTGAAACGTCTATTGCTTTGTTATGATGTTTATTTTACTGTTTTTAAGTAGTTCAAAAACACAAGATGCACACAGGCAGCTTGTGATAAAAGCAAACGAAATTAGCCGTTATCTTGAAGAACGCCGCTCTACCCTACTCGCGCAACTCAGTTCATTTGAACAGTAAATAATACGGTACGTAATTAGGAGAGCAGCGTTCTGGAGCAGTATATTTGGAAGAGGATACTCACGTTGCGCCGCCCGTGTTGGGAGTGGGGCGGTTAGGTAAGTTGGGAGGGGGTCGCGCCCCGGACCTGAGGGTAGTGATCGTGAGATTTGGGAATAATTGTATGTTTGTGGAGTCTGTTGTTGTCTGTTTTAGTTATAATACATATGTTTGTGGAGTCTGTTGTTGTCTGTTTTAGTTACAATACATAACTCCATACTTGAAGAAGAGTCTAGTGCTGTATGATGAAAGCATGCACAGTAATCAAAATTACGAGACAAATCCAGCGAAATCTTATAGTTATTGTTATGGTTATTGTCAGCGTCAAGGAATGCATGTCAAAGACCTGGAGTAACGTTTGGTACATTTGTCAACTCTTTTTAACTCAAGCCAATGTTCTCCTTGTTAGCATTTTTACTGTCAGTTTGTCAAGGTCAACTCACACTTGACAACAAACGACAGTTTACCTTTGTTGGTTCTGGCTCAATGATTGGGCGGAGTCAGATTTAGGCATTCTACTAGCGTTCATATTAGGACTAGGCGATCTGTAAAATGGGTTTAAGAGTCAGCGTACATACACTGACAGACTGAATTAACAGTTAATATAAAACAATAGATGTACAGAAAACACTACATATTACAAACAAAACACAAACCAAAACGGTCCTTAAAGCGTATTACATTACGTCGGGATTTGATTTATATAAAAACGATAAATGTGAAAAACATCAAATTATACAATTTTATGAAGAAAACAAATACACGATCAAAACACTAAAATGCTAGATACCCGCGTGCAGCGTGCTTTGCAATGTTCTCCAGCAAAGGTGCGATCATTTTTTGGTGAGTGATGGTTGGGTGCGTGAGGTTTGGGTGACTACAAAATTACGGTGTGTGAGCGATATCAATCAAAACCAAACAAATGTTAACCACCTTCAATCAGCGGAGTAAAATAAGATACAATAATATAAAGTACTGTAGTATGAACAACACCCCATATGGGACTATATACACAGTTATTATGGGAACTCAGGAACTGGCAAGTCACTCACATAAATATTATGGACTGCTTCGTAAGCAGATTAATATACTCATGTCCAACATATAATAAATAATACAGAAAATGAAACGGCACAAAATTGTACAAATCTAGAAAATGAACCAAACTTACGAGTGATTATTCCTGGCGACTGGTGGCGGCAAGGGTGCCGTGCTAGTCTTAGCTGTCACCTCCGATATGGTCTTAAGAGCGTCTTTGCAAGCGTCATACATCCCTAATAACTCCTGCCTCCTTCTAATCTCGTCCTCTGATTCCTCCATCATCTCAGCCTGAGGGACAATGACGTCACACCAATAAAAATGACGTCACACTTATCATGTTGCTTTACACATTACACAACTGAGCAAACATTTGGTTTTTATAACAAATGTTTAATAATATCTAAAATTAAGTATTTAATCGTCCCATTCAATCTTAGAGATGTAATGACTTAGAGATGTCTTGACAACTCACAGGGTTCCCGGCTCCGTACAGACAAGGCATGAGCTCCGTCTCGATGTAAACCTTCATCTTGTTAACCATAAGGCACATAATATGCTTTGGTACGACGTCTTTAAAGGTCTTCCTTACTATCGCCATGTAGCTGTTAACATAAGTTCGAATAACCTCTACTTGTCTCTCCAGTTGAGGATCTTCAAACAAACCTGAAGGTGAGTTTGTTGGAAGAGGTTGGAACTATTCAATCGTCAATATATTTCAGCTTAAGATGACCAAATTTTGTATTTAAACACAAATAAAAGTCTAAGATTAATTTTCTATGATCGTTCTTTTAGAAGAAAAAAAGACGGAAAGACCAAACGTAAAATTAACGAGGTAAGCAAGAAGTATAAATCAGATGGAAATTCAATGATTACAATGTTGCACAAATGTTCCTCATCATTTTGGTAAGTCATTTGACCACTTTTGAGAGCTTTTTACGCATCAAAATGCTGCAGTTAAAGGGAATCTACTGAACTGGTGGTTTTTAAAGAAGAATCGTCAGGAGCCATATTTATACAAATTTGGTTACTGCCCATGTTCTGGTACAACGTATTACACCATGGGACGAAAGTGATGCCTCCTGAGTTTCACTGATTATTATCAAAATTAAATCAAATTGAATCAAATTTCTAAAAGTTTTGCAAGACCTGCTACATCATTTTCGTCCATTTCTTGAGAATCACCTGCGATGACTACATCAACTTGTTTTAAGGCCAATTAATTTAAGGCCAATCGCTGAGCCCATTTGTGCTAAAATGCTAGAAACGTGTTAGATGCCTTAGTTCCGCGACTACATTTATATCAAGCTACAAGCATATGCCCTAAAATGCGTACTTTTTGTTTCATTGGCTTTGAAAATTGCAAATTTAAATTTGCAAACTTACAGGCATTCTAGATTTGTGGATAGAAGTGTACTCACGTTCGAATTTTGGTTTGCGATCATCGTCCTCCAAATCTTCTAAATCAATCTGACTTCGGTGCGTATAGATACCTAGAATAAAATGAGTAGGAAGATCAGTAATTCACAAATAGATATATATCTTACTATATATAAAGCGAGACGATATTATATATATATAATATATATATATTTGAGCCATACTGATGAGTTCTAATAGTGCTTAAAATGAATATATATATATATATATAAACAAAAGCTCTAAGAAACAGATAGTAAACAAAGTAAACATTTCTGTCCCCTAATCTTTCTCAAACAAAAGTCATGCAATTTGCATACTTCTCCATTTAACTCTATTCTGAGCAATTAACGTTAAATAGTCCAAATCACATAAATTATTTAACGATAATTTTCGGACACTAAGGTCGTGTAGAATCAGTGAGAAAAGGTTTGACTGCGGTCTTCCACGCCGCCCTTGAAGCTGTAAGGTGTTGACAGCAAAAACAAGCGACGAATAGGCTGGGCCATCTGTAGGCCCACGCAGTACATGTCCGAGCATCCTCCACCGACTACGAGCCACTTTAGCTGACAATGGTTCGCTATTGCAGCGTTTATACAAGTTCTTGTTGGAGATGATGTGAGGGTATTTGTAATTCAAAATTGATCGCAGATGACGTCTGTGAGCAATATCTAGTTTTTCCAATACTGATTTAGGGGCAGCCCAGCAAGATGAATTGTACATTAAAACGGATACTACCAGAGCCTCATACAACAGAAGCCTCTTGCTCAGAGGGATCTTATGGTTCCAAGCTTTCTTGTATTTGTTAAACGCGGCATATCCCAGACATATCCTTCTAGAGATGTCCTCCTTACTACAAAGCATGGAGCCAAGCGTGATACTCTTTCTCCAGAGCTCGTTCCCTGCAATTGGCTTACCCTGATCGTCTTTAGCTCCCTTTTCAGCTAAGTACACATGAGTGAAATCAGTTTTGTCTTCGTTAACGAAGAGATTCCAATCTTTAAGGACTTCTGTTGCAATAGGCAACAGCTCCCTCAAATTGTCTTCATCTTCATCATTGAAGTCGATATCATCAGCATACTCACTGTCAAGTGGAAGACCAATATCGGTGATAGGTGGGTTAGGCCTATTCGTTGCAGTTTCAAGCCTGTTACGGAGGTCACGCAAGGCACCCGCTAAGACAAGTGTGAACAAGCATCCAGACAGACAGTCACCTTGGAATGCACCGAGAAAACTCTGGAATTCAGCAGACAGTGTACCGTTGATGTTGACTTTGAGCTTGGTGTTGGAAAGCAAAAGTCTTACCAAACGGACTTCGTCATCATCACAGCCACACTCAACAAGAAGATCGAGGATGGTAGATCGTCGTATAGTGTCAAAGGCACTAGACATGTCGATCCCCATACGATGGTATTCCCACCTCTTCCTCTGGACAACTGATAACATCACACGCTGGCACCATACAATGTCAGCACATGATCTACCCTGCTTGTAAGCACATTGCCATGGACCAGTGAAGGCATTGACTTTATTCTCAATTCTCTTCAAGGTTGCCATTGAAAGAATCTTTCTAACAGCATTTGAGAGAGTGAGGGGTCGTAGATTCTTCACTGGACCAATGGGCTTATTTGGCTTCTGTAAGGGGGTAATGTTTGCCTGTCCAATGGGGTCAAGGTAGGAATTGGTCTCGAAGCTTCTATTGATAATATCTGCAAAACGTCTGTGTACTGATCCAGTAGAATACTTGAGAAGCTCATTAGGAATCCCATCTGGGCCGTTAGCTCGACCATTTTTGAGACTTCTAGCAGCTGATCCGATTTCTTCACTAGTGAATGGCTTAACTAGTGGGCGAGGAGGTCCTACAAAAGGTTCTAAAGGTGCTTCATCACGAGTAAGTTGTTGCTCAAGGTACTTAGCAACTACGGCAGCTTTACCAGTGTCTGTTGCAATATTGCACCCTTGCTCATCATGAACACCAATACTAGAAGGGGCTTTACTATTAGGTAAGTTCAGGGTTCGAACAGCTTCAAACATTTTCTTACTATCTGTTGTTGAACTGATGGTATTACAGATAGCATCAGCAGCAGCTGATCGTATGTTAGAAAGTCTCTGCTTGATCTGATTGGTGAGGCAGTTAATAGATGATCTAAGTGAGGTTCTGTCTAAAGACTGGTTATCATTAAGCTGCTGTCTCAACAAGTAACGCTGGCTAGATAAGTTTTTCACCTCATCATCGTCGCTGCGATTACGTTTCCTGTGTCTGATGACACCAATTGACGATTTTGCAGCATCCTTTATGGACTCAAGTAAGCCATTCAAGTCTGAATTTGGATCCAGAGCAGAAACAGTGTTACTTAAGTTATCATCTAAGGATTGACGATATTTCACCTGAATGGTGGGGTTCGAGGTGAGTTCAGAGGTGTTGAACTTTAAGGATGACTTGGAGTGGCGTTTATAGCAAAGACAGATGTCCTTAAAGTCTACTCTAGTGACAACAAATCTGTGATCAGAGTATGTCAAGGTGCCTGCATAAGATCTAGAATCTTGTAGCATTGGCTTCGACCTACTTCGACACAGGATGAAATCGATCTGAGAATAGACCGGGATCGTCTTTTTACTATTTCGCCCGGCACTCCAGTCCTTCCTCCAGCCAGTGTAGGTGGTCGTATGTCGAGCAGGATGATAAAAACCAGTGTTGGAGGCAAAGAGGTCAAATTCTGATAACAAGTCTAACAAGTTTTCTCCCATATCGTTGCGCAAACCCATACCATGTTTACCCATGAAACGACCAAAACCAAAGTCCTTATCTGAAGCAGTCATTTTTCCCAACTTTGAATTAAAATCTCCCAAAACAAATATCTCAACATTAGCAGGGACGTTTAGAGCGTCCCTAACTTGGCCGTAAAAATTAATCAACAGTTGTTGATCATTTTCTGCAAGTTTCTTGTGTGGCCCATATACATTGACCACCCTACATTTGATAAATTTTCCAGATTTTGTAGGGAGTTCTAGGTCCAAAAAGCTTACTCGATCACTGATACTGTTCCAGCATACCACATAGTCAATAAATCGGGGACTGATAACAAAACCGAGTCCATAGTGCCGGCCATTTTTCTGCTCAAACAATAATAGTTTGTATCCGTTGCTAAGACTGCAAGAATCCGGTTTTACAACCTTAGTCTCCTGAATAGCGCAGATATCTATGCCGTACCGTAGACAATCGGTACCCAGTTGCTCCCGTTTGCTGTGGATGTCGTCTGGATCATCACAAGAACCGAGGCCACGTATGTTAAAGGTGGCGAAGCTGATGAGGAGTGTAGCAAACAGGGATCGTCCTGCAGCTGAGGTAAACATTACGGAGGGCGATGTTGTCGTCTCTCCGCCGCTGGCGTTACCCATACGGTTAAAATGAATAAATTATTCAATTTCAAACAAATTCCAGCAAGTTCTAGAAAATTCCAGCAAGTTCTAGAAAATTCCAGCAAGTTCTCGAACCTGCTCTCAGGAAGCTAGCTCTCCAATCCTCCATGTCATCTTCATCTTTAGCGAACAGAGACAATTCCCTGTATTCTCGAAACAGGTACCTGTAATACGAGTAACTTTAGTGACTTCAGAGTTATCATTAACAATAGTGATGATATACGTCTAAGATATAGTATGTACTATAAAGCCATGAAAGGCATTAGTTTGGTCAAATCAAACGGAACATATGCTATCAGACTTTCAACTGACTATGGCAGGGTTAAAACAGTTTTAACGCTAGCAACGATCCCCTTTTACATAGTTCCACTAAAATGATAATTTAAGATTAAATATGTATACTGTATAGTGATAGGTAGATAAAGTAAAAATGTAATAAAACGGTAGGGATAAAGTATACTATACTAAGTAAACGTAATCGACACGTCATAAAACGAACTGACCCAAACTACAATTACTCCCGCGTAATTCTAAGACTCTGATTTGCGCCGCTGCAAAGTTATTATAAAACTAAATTCAACACGTGCGACAAATATTTCGCAACATTACAAAAGGATGCCACAGGCCAAGCTATGGCATTAATATATTTCCACACCCAATACCAAACTTATTCTTTAGCCCATGCCTCTTTACCACTGATAAGTATATTTTACTAAGACGATCCCGTCTAAAACCCAACTCAATTAAATCATCAGTAAACTTCAAAAACCTATCAGAAAAAGCAACAACGTTATTACAGATCCTAGAATATCTCACAACCTGTGAACAGTACGTGCCATATAATACACTACTAGCTTGATTACTCATCAAAGGTTGAAACTTGACCACTTTAAAACCAAACTTATCCCTTTTATCATAAACTCTACAAGAAAACTTCCCCTCGCTATTTATCGAAATATCAAGATCTAATACATTGGCGGCACTATGCAGGGTTATTTAAAAACAAGGAATACAGCTTTCAAGTAATCATGACAAAATGTGATAACTGCAATCAAATGCAACAAAATTAATTAATCAGTGAAATAGAATGATACTCATTGAGACCCTGCAAAACCTGGCGTTCGGATGGAAGAGTTGGATTTTGAATTTGCGATGTCCAAAGATACCACCACCCTCTTCTTCTTCCTCTTCCTTCATTTTCACCCCATCAATTGTTAAGTAGTATTTTTGATCTCGTTCCTACAGATATAGCCAGTTATATGTACAATTCAGACAAAATATATTTATGCAGGAGGGATACAGAATTTATACATTACATGTACAAAAGAAAATGTGTGTACCGCGTACTCCGCTCTGATTCAGTTAAACACACTTTGATATAGAACAAAAAGTCTCATTAATTAGCAGCAGCTTACTGATTCGTCTTTGAACCAAGCCAGAGCGTCAGTGTAGAGCACAAACCAGTACTCTCTTGACAGGCCTTTGGTGAGCCCGACATTGGAGGTTGACAGCCAACCTTTCTTTATCAACTGAGATTTATTAATCGTTTTAGATTTATCTAACCCAAACTTTTAAAATTAATAAGCTTTATAAATTGCTATCAAATCCTGATTTGCCCTACCACGAATAACCGAGGAGGTTCGCTTTTCCCAAAGGACTCAGTAAATCGGGATTTGATTTATAACATAAAAACGATAAATAGGAAAAAACATCAATTTTATGAAGAAGAAAACAAATACATGATCAAAACACTCTAAAATGCTAGATACCCGCGTGCAGCGTGCTTTGCAATGTTCCCCAGCAAAGGTGCGATCATTTTTTGGTGAGTGAGGTTTGGGAGGGTGATGTTTGGACGACTAAAAAATGACGGTGTGTGAGCGATATCAATCAATGGTGAATATTATGAAGTGAATCCGAAAAATGTGCATGTTCAGCAGTCAGCATGATGAAGTAAGAAGTTGGTAAGCTAGTACAAATTTAACTTAAGATGTACTTATAAATTATCTATAAGTCAAATGCTTATATGAATAAAAACTTGAAATACAAATATTTGGTTTGGCATACGACTTAAAATCCACAAAACATCAGTCTACTGAAAAGCACTCACTCGCAACTTTCCATCTAAAAATAAATTCAAACAGAAACGGAAATACTTTGCACGTGCAAAAAATAGCTATGAAAATAAAAAGTCACGTGGCGATCATGTGAAATCATACGTCTTTGTCCTGAAAAATGTTCATTATAGGCTTTGTATAAAAATGCTTTAATTTGGGCTAATGAAGGTGTTCCAAACTGCACTTATAGCTATGGTAGCATTTTAAGACATTCATGCATCTACTCAGTACTAAAAAAACATTTTTAGGTTAAAACAAAAACTGGCGGAATATAAAATCTGGTTAATTTAGATTGCCAGGACTACAGTTCTTAAAGATTCTATCAGCGGAATGCAAAGCTCTAACGAACAACGCACGAGTCACGACATTATGTTCTCGTAACGCTGATATCACACAGCGTAATCACACGTGCACGTGCACAACTGCAAACTCGTTATAGTTACCCATTAGTACTCACTGCAATCCACACTCACCTATTTAAGTACAGAATTAAATCACATGACACTGCCAGTCATCATACACTTTTTGATATTACCGATAAATATTTACAATGAACCTAAATTGGTACATTTTCTTTGACCTGTCTGAAATTATTTCGGAAGTTTTTAAAATCGTTTATCACCATTTATTGTGCTGCTTTCTGAGCGAGCTGTGTGCCGATTAAGAATTATCCGCTCAATATTTAATGAGGCTAACTATGCTCCTTCCTTTCTTAAAGAGGAGTCTTGCTTGCTCTTCATACCTTTTTATTGTTCTTACGCCCCTTTCTTTTACACTACTTATGAAATAGAAAAATTCTTATAATTCACTCAATGAACATCAAGAACCTTTACTTTACATTATGATTATGAAGTATTTAAACAAAACTGAAATATGGAAATGGTAACTACGACGATTTTTAAGGCGACTACAATTATGAGCAAACATTATTAGGGTATTCAACCTGTACGAGTTACGGGATTAAATGGTTTGTCAAGATAATAGTTTGTTGAAACTTGAAAAGTAGTGATGATGCAAATGAGAGAGGTAATTAAAAATCATTACAATAATTTAATCTCAGACCAATATCGGACATCCATATTCCATAATCATCTCAATGCAACATGCAACATTCGATCAGAACTCAGAATGAATTCGGATACTGAAAAACGGCGAATCCTGAAATTTTTTGGATTCGATGTTTTACAGTGATAATACTAAATGTAATCAAACGAAATAAATGATAATCCACTGAACTAATAGCGTTAACACAAATCTCATTCATTCATACTATTCCGAAAACCACGAATAACATAACACAGAACATGAATTATGTACACTGCGCAGCTCAAGCATAAGGTTAATCATGAGGAATCCTTGTTCATAAGTTACTAAGTTAAGTTACGATTTTTTATTAGTCCGGTTTATTTGCAGCGCGTGAGAAAATTGACGACTGGAGAAAAAAAAGATAACAAAAACGGCAATTAATCAAGAAAAGGATCTTTTCGAGCTGCAGCCTGCTTAACATGAATCCAGTTTATTGCAATATTAGCTATTACACGGAGATATGAGCTGGAAATTTGAATAAATCCCCATGAAATTAAGAACGTATGCCATATTTGTTGAATGATCAGCAACACTATAAATGTGCATACCTTCGACTTTGATTCTCTGCCTGGCGCTTGCTGTAAAGGTGAATAGTAACGGATCATGATCGAATATTTTAAAATGGAGGAAGTGGGCGCATATGCACTACTCAAGCACTAGCTTGTTCACACAGTTACGGGAATGTACTAGGTAAATTCGTTAAATTCGTTAATTTTTAAAAGAATAGCTATGAAGCAATAGCAAGCATAGTGAATTGAATGTGATTGAATGTTTTGTTTTGAAAATCCACGAGGGTTTAAGACCTGCTGTCTTCATGATGTATGATGTATGAACGTTTAAGTAAATTTATCTTCGCCCCGAGGCCGAGGGGAGATGGTTGGGTTAGGAAATAATGTATGTCAGAATGACAGATAGATAACGTTCTCCAAAAAAACCTCCTGTAAATAAAGTCCTCAAGAGCCGATATGCGCACGCATTTTTTCGGGTAAACAGATACATGCGAGAATGAATCGAACCATATCATAACACAAGGAAATTTTCCTTTTGGTTGGTAATATACTCAATGATGGAAGTACAGTGTATTGGCTATGCCCCGCTTACTAGTTTAGCTCTATCTAGTCCCCTGCTACACGGCATGTAAACAGGGATTGGCTAGTTAGAGGCGGTCCGTGTAGGCCTTACACTGTGCTTTCAGCAATACTCATAGTATGATATAGTTTAATTATACAGTCAAATTGCAGTATGCAATAGCTTTGTAGAATACGGCTATAAACATAACTGAAAATAAACTAGCATAAGCAACTCGCATTTTCTCATAACATTTTAGTCATACTTCTCTTTGATAACATAATTTTCATAGCACTGTGCATACTGCATACCTTAGATATATCTTTTGACTGCTGCTACAAGTTTGGTTTTTGAAATGGATTAGTCTTTTCATTAATATTGACATAGAAAGTATAACTTAAGGTTTTACTGGTTATAATTTTGATGTTAAAACAGTAAATCGATCCCAAATTTAAAACTGATGCGATTTTCGAAAAAGCAAAAATGTATTCCTTATCTTGATAATTTGGCAATAAATGAGAATTTGCATTGCTCTACAAACAATTTGGTTATCTGAGATATTCACGTACACATTTTAAAAAGGATAGACGGAAGAAAAGCAGCTGAGCAGCAGCGAAAAACATATATCAAACGGTTTTTACTGCAATTGACATATAAATCAAAGAATCACGTAGTTTTTAGTCGATAAAAACGACAAGCATTGCAAATTATGCTTTAACGGCGTTTTAACCTGTGCTTTGGAAGCTTTTCCACTCTAAAAGTTAAAACATAGTTAGTTAAGTTAAGTTACAACATAGTCAGATTAATATTAAAAGCAAGAATAAAATAAACTTTTTACAACAAGTTTAGAATTGAAGGCTCAGTAGTAAGATCACTGAGCACTCACCTCCGTGAGTTCTAAACTTTTTTCATGTTTTCTAAACCATCCCACCTTAATTTAAAGGGAAAATTATCGCCCTTGAAAATTCTCTTTTCTTAACGTTTTATGATAATCATCTGGAACGATTTTCTTATTATCACCAGAGTCTTCAAACCCAGTTGATCAAAAGAAGTTTAATGGTACATATTTTGAGCACTCAGTTTTGCAGTTACAAGATACAATTTTTAGTCGAACGTTCACTTGCACAACTTTGGAAAGATATGAGAGATTAGAATTTACCTGAGATTCTCCACCACCGCCGGCTGCGACGTCTTTTACTGACTCATCCTTTGCAGTACTGAGACAGATTACAAGTAAATCGGTGAGGAAATGTGCTCGTTATTGCTACAGCAGTTAGACTCAACAAAAATAAGAAAAGCTTATGTTAACTATTAAAACATACGAGTTGAAGCCGATGAAATCGTCGTGATTTGTGTTGATGTAAGAGAGTTCAACCTCGACTAACTGTTGGATCTGCTCCCGGCAAAACGTCTCGCACTGGAAAAGAGAAAAAGTTAACGGTTATAAGTTCTTAACATGGCAGTTTAGATTAAAGTGACACAACATTACAACAGTCTGATTAGGTGGAAAATAGGAATCGTGACAAAAAATCCTTTCAATGATCAGAACATGCAGTGAGTAAAAAATAAAACCTCTCGTAAGTAACCCGATACAAGGTTATCAATCTCCGCCTGGAGGCGGGGATAATTCTTTATTTTGTCGATACACTTCATGATAACTTCGTGTAACTCTGTTGAAACCTGCAAAATCAAGTTTAAAATTTAAATTTGCGATTATTACCAGAAAAAATTCTAGTTCTAGAATTTTTCCTGGTAATAGAATGAAATAAAATAAGGTATGGCTTCGGTGATGATTGCCCCATAAAATCGGCATCAAATTTCGATGTTTATTTTTGAAAATATTTACGTTTAGCTTGATAACTTGATAACATATATAAATTCTTTTAGACCTGTTGAATGCACTTCATTGAGGGAGGACACAAAGTATCAATCTGTCTCTTGACCGTCATTTCGAAGGCAGCGTCAGGAGTAAACAATCCTGACCTGACACCGTGAATGTTTCTGATCGCAAATCCTATTTCCTTCCTCAGCTCTTTCTCGTCCAGTCTACCCTGCACACAGTTTAAGTTAAAGATGTTTAGGAAATACGCTCACTTCATACTCAAGACTAAGCTATGAAGTGGCCCAAGCCAACGAAAAGTTCGCAAAAGACTGAAAAGCTTAATAATAAAGCAAGATAAACCTCGTTGAGATAACCAGGGAAGCGGAAATGGAAGATGGTGTTGATCTTGGCTCCACCACTGAGAGTTTTGGTGTCCACGGCGTTACCACCACCTTCAATCATCTGCTCAAAATCGTGCGTCACTCTATTCACCATCCTGTAGAGCATTACAGTTTGATATTCTGTTACTTTCTGGTCTAAGTCTGATATTATTGGTTCTGAGTCAGTTCTGAGAAAAATATTCCTGACTCTTAGCCACGCTCTGCCTAAATTCCTTCTAATCCGCGATAAAACTGGCTATTTTTCTTTAACCCTAAATATATTTCAGTGGTCTTACAGAAAGTTAATAATAAAATACTAACTGCATCATCATTCTTGGCCGAGCACTCTTGTCCTCTCGTCCACCAGTCATCCCAAGATTCTTGAATTCTTTGACCTCGGACTCCATTGAGGTCATCTGCTGTTCTAGTTTGGAGCGCAAACTTGGCAAAACTTCTCGAATGTGGTTCGTAAGTTGCTGCAAAGAAAAAAGTTACTGAAAGTAATTAATTTCAAGCTCCCGATAAGACAGAGGCAGTACAACTAAAGATCACCAATACAAGGATCCACCGGGGAATGCTATTAGCCTAACTAGAAGGATACATTTAGTCAGGTACCTGATTCAGAGTTTTCTGTAGGAATGCCGTTCCCGCCCTTTCAGCTAAATGTCTGTAAGATGGGTGGGTTAAGAAATATTTCCGCTCGGCAGCCTGGGCCGCTTTTATGTCTTTCTTTCCTTCGATGTCACGTTGACTCCTGTTTACCACACCGATGTAACCTATAAGAAGATATCAGAGTTATTTTCTACAGGCAGACTGCAATGTGCAAGCTATTCGCTCCAACGTATTCAACATAGGGTTTATTTTATCTTAACAGATAGTAGAAGATACCACATCGGTAGATGTCTTGTGTAGAATCATTGTAAGTCTACAATTCGATCGACGTCATCAACTCCATTATTAATTGCATTGGCTTCTTTAGATCGCCAGTTCTATTTCTTGCTCGATGGTACATATTTAAAGGCAATGATTGAAAATAGGATCAGATCAGAGGATAGGTCGAGATATAAAAAGTGCGAGTAGCGCGCGCGCGCGGAAATCACACACTTTAAATGCTGGAAAACGCGCTTTAATCATTTAAATTCCCCCGCGCGTTACGGCTTTAAAATCCAAACAGTGCGACTTGGTCAGACAAATTTAAAGTAGTGATCTTATTTGGGCCTTATGTGAAGTCATCAATCAAATATAAACATCTCAACGTCATTCATCAATTTCACAACACAAACAATGAATTGCCAATGGAATGTGAACACATGGACCAGTTGAAAGAGTGTCTCAATATAACATTACGTACCTCGGCGTAAAGGAAGAACTTTGTTATCTAGAATATCTCTGGAATCTGTTCCGTCGTCCATAAGATCCAGTTTTGTTAACACACCAATAGTTCGAATACCTGAAAACAGGTTTAATTGGTTGACTCTTGTTTTTCATTTGTTTTGCTCTCGTGGAGGTTGTATCTCCAAATATTGATATTAACCATTTCGTCTTATGGAACAGTGCATTAATTATGAAGACTAATTATATATATCTACATTTACCAATCCTGGTCACTAACTGCCGGATAACCGCAGTAATTTGCTTTTAGTCGTCGTCAGCACAAAAGATACAAGAACAGTGCCAGACTTCACGTCAGGTGATATTAAGTGTAAATATATTGTAAATTCAGTGTCGAGTTTCAAAGAAAGCAGAGTCCCGGTCCCAACCGTGAACAGCTGCAACATTTCTTGTAATTCAATATTCAGGGGGTTACTGTAAGGAGTATACCAGGTCACTGTAAGGAGTATACCAAGTTACTGTAAGGAGTATACAGGCTATACCAGGGTACCCGGTATCACAGACTGTATTACATGAACTGTATAATGCACGTCTCCTCAAATATGGGGACTACTCAAAAGTTGATACATCAAGCTTGGATCCTTGAGAAGTTTCTTTGATACTCTACAGTCTACATTTGCATAATAAGAGCAGTATCAAGCATGCCGTAACCGTACGTGTTCGTGTATCTAGATTATAGAAGGTCATAAATGAAACACGCAACTGATCTCAAATGTCGGTCATATCTCTACTATAATTCAAAGAATTATTTTTGTTGTCTGTCTGTACGACCGCCCACGTGCAAATTAGATGAAAAATAGGAATTTAGGTAACAACCAAAAGGTTCCATAGCAACGGTGTTTTAATGCACACATGCACGTGCAAAGATTGTTTTAACGTCATTTTGATCGGTTTTGTGGTAATTACGTTGTGTTTAAAGTGTTTTATATTTAAATCGGCTGTATCTTCGGTTGAGATGGATATTTTTTGATGCGATTAAAACTTTATTTCAAAGAATACTACTAAGTACTAGCTTCGTCCCTGTTACCACGGGCTTTCTAGTATAATATAAAATAGTCAAATGTTTTGCAGTGCCTCTATTAATTCCGACTGTTAACTGTAACATTCTTACCCAGTTTCGACTAATCAAATAATATAATTACCCTCGGGGTCGACTTCTTTAGCGAGTTTGAGGGCGTCAGAGTTGGCGAGATCGGAGTTAGCTGGAGTGACTGCCAGAATCAGGCAACTCGGTTTGGAGATGAATTGCATTATCATTCCTGAGAATGTCAATAGTAGAAGCTGGGTGGTTACAGAATAGATTAAAACTCTAAATCTACAATTACTAAAAATACATCTTTTCGCCAGCCAATAACTAACAGATTATATGATGAATATAGAGCAAACCCTTTTGAGATTCCTTTATTGCATAATTGATTTTTATTTTGTCTGAGGGGCTTTCCATAAATTATTTTTTTAAATAATTGGTCCTTTTATTGATGTTTCATATTTCACGGCAGTTTCCTTTTCAGAGTTTGAGTTTATATTTAGAAACTAACCATACTATCTTTTAGATTTATGTCACTTATGATGGCTCCGGCTGAAAGTACTATGACTCATTTTATCTAGAAGATTGTAGTTTCATTGCTTCTGAAGTAGCTATCAGTTCGCCGGTCAATGTTGGGTATAATACTCATAGAGTAAACATATTTCATTGATAAAATTAAAGGAAGTCTTTAACCTGTTAACAAAAATATTACATATATCTTGGAGCGCTACTATACCAGTCGTGTAAAAAATGAACATCGGACATGCCATTGAAATGCGGTTAACTAATACACACTACTCATCTCTCTACCAATTAATCTCCAAGTTTCCTTTTTTGTAATATAACCTGTCCTTAAACTATCCAATTGTTTTCATCAGCATGAAATGTATTGTAGGTTAAAATATTTCTACTACGACTGACCACATTTCAACGAGACTGTTACCATACCTTTACAAGATACAGTACAAGTTAATTTGACTACAAACCTCTAATTTGATGTTCGATATCAGGGGGCTGATCTCCGATAGGAACTTTAGTGATACCCGGCAAATCTATCAGCGTCAGGTTCAGAACTGAAATGTTATCAGGTTAACATCGTTATCTGTTATCTGAAAAAACTCAGTTATCCAAAACCTGAGTGACTATTGGAAAGAATTAATTTCCACGATAAAATTCTCCGTTTCAAATAGCTATAATTCTTGAGACAAATGATAAATCTCTTTATTTTAGAAATTCAATCTGTCTGACGCAAGATATGTAGAAGCACTTGATACACTGCAATACCAGTGTTTATCATGCGTTAACATTAGACCATATAGGGGTAACTCTTTACATTAAAATACCAATAACATAGATGTCGAGAGAGCCGTGATGCTCCCTACTGAACACTACAAAAGACCAATAAAGCAATAAGTCATATCTTCAAACTAAATACTCTCATTCACACACGTCAGAATAGGCTATTGACACAAATGTTTAATGTCATTCGCACATTGTACAAGTGCACCCAAAGCCACGTCAAGAAATTCCAAGAATGCCAGATATATATCATGATTCAATAGAAACTATCACTATCATATAAGTGCACAAACTTCTCTCTGTTCATTTGTAGGGCGGTCGTTTTCGCATTTATACAGAATAACACAGTGGCCCCGACATTATGCCTCATAAAGTACTAACACTATTACTCTTGTAAACCTTGTCTTTTAAAACTCTTTTCAGACTTCAGTGACAACTCATTGTGCTTCTCTAATCTCTATTATATACAATGTTTATAGTACACACTACACTACGTTATTGTGTGTAAATGACAGTCAATATATATATGTTAAAGTTACTAAACACACACACACACACACACACAGTAGTGTACATCTAATGTAATGATATGCAATCAGCTCTGTTGATGTATGCAATCATGCAGTGTTGTTTTGACAACAATAACAATTACATAATTGGCTTACACTAAGTGTTAGTTCATGTCGGTATTCTGGGAGAATTTGGGAGTTGTGACGGTCATCATCTCGTAACTCCAGATTGACTTAAGCGTGATCAGAGTGAAACGATGATGTCAATATTTTGTACATTATAATATTGTACATTGTATACACTATACAGGCTGTGTTACAGTGAGCTGTGTTACTCAATCAGGAATAAGTGTTGTACTGAGATACTCATTTCATATCCTGGATTCACGGATGGCGGTGTAACTGTACACCAATACAAGGTGATCATTGGTCTAATGTGTATTTTAGTACTGGAGGGTAATGTAAATTCGCTTAGATGCTTGACTACTGACTAGTTGATGATATCCATGCAATTGTAGTTAGTTACGCAGAGTGGAGATCTGCAGTAATCAAGTAAAGTTCAGAGCCCATCGCCTTGCAAAGCTTTACATGATATAATGGCAAAAGTTCTGTAAGAAAGCAGCGCTTTCATACTCTGGTTTAATCAGATGTTTTGTGCATGTTTCTCTCACATGACACGGTAATCCTAAACCAGTTCGTATCTAATCAGATAATGAAGGGGCCTATTATACACTGCAGAAACAGTGGCATATGTTATCTCTCATACCAGACGATACAGTACGCGTGAATATAAGAAATAAGAAGTTGAACTAGCACTGGTGATCCAAAATTATAAGCACTAAACAGTATCATTTGAAAGGAGATTTCAGGCTAATTTAACTTACCGTGAGGGGAGAATATGCGCAGGTTTATAGGAATGTCAGAAATACCCTTGTTACTACCAGTCATCCTGTCTGTTTCTGCTTCTATCTCTTTTCTTATCTCGTCAAAGTCTGTGAATTTCTTACCCTTTGCGTGGAGAAACTCACCCCATTCTGAAAAAAAAATGTGCGTTTAGTTTCAAATTCATATCAAATGTTTATCTAGTACCGTTTATCGAATTTATGGATTTTTAGTATCATTACGATGTAAAATATGCAATTGGTTACTAAAATAACTTTAAATGACATGAGGATCATTTAAATGATAAAATGTGTTACTTATTTCAGATCAAGTGGTATCGGCTAGGAGTATAATTAATATTTACTGACCTCCTTTCTCAACAAAGTTGAGCTGCAAAATGAGAGGTCTACGAGTACATATACCAGTACCACGTGGCAGGAAATCTCTGTAAATAATTGTTATTAAAAGGTTGGTTTGTATCAGTCTATCAAAATATCATATTTAGTTTGGTTGTGCGAAATAAAAATATGACGTACTAAACTCTAATCTAAAGAGAAATCTCAATTAGTAGTTTCGTTTCAGTTCAAAAGAAGTAATTTAGTTTAAGTTAAAAAGGAGCAGCATACTTTCCCACACAGTTCTCAAGGACACTACTTTTACCAGCAGATTGTCCACCAACTACAGCGATCTGAGGCAAGTCAATGACGGAGTTCATTCCAACTTGCGTGAATGCATCTTGCACCTTGTTGACAATGGGAATGAGGGCTTCCATCCCAACATTCCCAGACATTTTACAAGCCTTGCTGTTTGAAATGGGTAGTCAGATTGTTTGTGTCGTTGAATTTTGATAATTCGAAAAGGTTAAATACTACAGCATAAACCCGTAGCATAAACCCGATATAAAAAAACTAAGATTTGAGAGATTTTCTTCAGTGGAAATTGCTGAGATCAATAAAAGTAAGTCGGTTAAAAATCATTTTTTTATAACGTTTTTAAATCACATAACGTTTAATATCATTTCAATCCATTGACATAATGTAAAGCTAATCTAATACTGAATACAATCAATAAAGTTTGAGTAAACTGATATAAACCAAAGTAAAAACACTTATCAAAAATGAAGCAAGCTAAAAAACACAGGAATAAATTAGATCCGGAATCAATAACAATTTAAAAGCACTGTTGTGCTTGTAGCAATGACTTACCCTATCTGCCAGCCCTTATTCTGGACGGCCCTAATTGGTGCCTTAAAGCTGATTAGAGTAAGCATCTCAGCAACCGAACTAGGTCTGGAAGAATAAGGGCGGACAAGGTAAGCAGCCCATCCAAATAAGATATAGACATTAAAAACTATTTCATTCAAAAATTAAAAATCAAGTAAAACATGTAGTAATAAATTAATTATAGCAATAATTTACGCTATCTGCCGGCCGTTACTTTTGCCGGCCAGGACTTCATGCTATACATATCTTTAATCAGCTCGTATCTTCTTGAAGGTTTTCATGGTGGCAGTACCAAGAACATCACAGTACTTTCTGTAGGCTTTGGTTGACATTAAGTGCTCAGGTAAAAAGAAGAAGTTGGTAATTTTAGGCAAGATAAGTTGCTCTCTCTCCTCTTGGGTTCCGATAATTACCTGATCAGCAACCCACTCAGGCTCCAGGAGGGGGAAAACAGAGGGCCATCTAGCTTGGGTATTATTGAACATGCCTGTCTTGGTGATATGAGGGTGGACAGTTGTAAATTTCACATTACTTTTACCCAGGAAATCCATCTCACTCAGCATTGCCTGTGAGAGACCTCTGACAGCAAATTTTGAGCAGCAATAATCAGCAAGAAGAGGACCTGCAACCATCCCAGCCAAGGATGAGATGTTGATAATGTGGCCGTAGTTCTCCAACATTTCTTTAAATACCAATTTTTGAAGATATATGACACCAAGTACGTTCACCTTGATGACCTTCTCCATCAGCTGTACAGATTCTTCTTCAAAAGATTTTCCAATCACGATACCAGCTATGTTAAAGAGGTATGAGATGTGTTTGTCTGGTACATTTTCCTTGATCTGTCTTCCCAATTCAACAATATTTTCATTCTCTCCAACATCACATGTGTATGTGTAGATAGTGCAGTTTCCTCCTTTGGCTCTCAAGTCAGCTGCTGACTGCTCATTCAACGTTTGGTTGATATCAACACAGTGGAGGATATTGCCATCTTTTGCAAGACGTTCAGTAACCAGCTTTCCTATTCCTTGTCCAGAACCAGTAATAAGGATATTCTCATTACAGATATTCTTGCGAGGACGACATCTAAAGATGGCATAAAATGTCTCTTTAGCAAAATCCACAGCCCAGAACAAAAGAAAAGACGAGATCTCAATAATGTCAGCTAGCAACATCCTGAATGAATGATTATAAAGATATCGAGTTTCAATGAATGATTATAAAAATATCGAGTTCCAATGACTGATTATATAGTTATTGAGTTTCAATGCAAGGGCTACAAGTACAATCATCTTGATGCAACTGTTCTAGGGACTTTTTCATACATAATTTCTTAAAGCAATTTCAGGACTGCTCATAAACTGATAAAGTGAAAAAATCCCACAGATTATAAAAGTTTTAAATCACATTATATTAATAACTATAAATGTGAACTAGCATTAAAATGCTATTTCTACATGTAACATAATTTAAAGCTAATATTAATAATAAATAACCCAAGTTTTTAGTTTTATTATGAGTAAACTGATATAAAAACACTTATTAGAAACGAGGCAAGCTTATAAATCACATACACTGAAACAAATTATATGGAATCATTAACGATTTAAAAACATTGTTTTGCTTATAGCAATAATTTAAACATGTAATAATAAATTAACTCTTTTAAAGCATTCATATGAAATAGGCATATGTTAATACCATAGCAGACGTGATAATATTACCATTGAAAATATGGAAATTTCAGACAAACCTAAACTTATGCAACTTTGGGGTGTCACGTTTGTGAATCGGTAGTCAAACTGCTGATGAACCTGCTCCTATTTCATTTAATGCCACATATCTTTAATCGGCTCTTATCTTCTTGAAGGTTTTCATCAAACCAGTGCCAAGAAGATCACAATACTTTCTGTACACTTTGGTTGACATTATGTGCTCAGGTAAAAAGAAGACATTGGCGACCTTTGGCAGGATAAGTTGCTCTCTCTCCTCTTGGGTTCCAATGACGATTTGATCAGCAACCCATTCTGGCTCCAGGAGGGGGAATACAGAGGGCCATCTAGCTTGGGTATTGTTGAACATACCTGTCTTCGTAATGTGTGGGTGGACAGATGTAAATTTCACATTACTTTTACCAAGGAAATCCATCTCACTGAGCATTGCCTGTGTGAGACCTCTGACAGCAAATTTTGAGCAGCAATAATCAGCAAGAAGAGGACCTGCAATAATCCCACCCAATGAAGAGATACTGATGATGTGGCCGTAGTTCTCCAACATTTCTTTGAATACCAATTTTTGAAGATATATGACACCAAGTACGTTCACCTTGATGACCTTCTCCATCAGCTGTACAGATTCTTCTTCAAAAGATTTTCCAATCACGATACCAGCTATGTTAAAGAGATATGAGATATGTTTGTCTGGTACATTTTCCTTGATCTGTCTTCCCAATTCAACAATATTTTCATTCTCTCCAACATCACATGTGTATGTGTAGATAGTGCAGTTTCCTCCTTTGGCTCTCAAGTCAGCTGCTGACTGCTCATTCAACGTTTGGTTGATATCAACACAGTGGAGGATATTGCCATCTTTTGCAAGACGTTCAGTAACCAGCTTTCCTATTCCTTGTCCAGAACCAGTAATAAGGATATTCTCATTACAGATATACTTGCGAGGACGACATCTAAAGATGGCATAAAATGTCTCCTTAGCAAAATCCAAAGCCCAGAACAAAAGGAAAGACGAGATCTCAACAATGTCAGCTAGCAACATCCTGAAAATGGATGCTTGTAATAATATTGAGTTAGACTATGCAGCCCCCAGTGAAGAAGGTAACAATTTTCATGAAGAGGGCTATAACCAACTTGATACAACCGCGCCGGTGAAGAAAGCTTGAAATTTTTGTAACTATTTTAACTTTACGGTGTAAGATTAGATTAGATTAGATTAAGAATAATATAATAATAATTACAACATTTATAAACCGCCTTATAGCTAAATCATATAACTCGATATAATTTAATCCTGGAGATAAACTCCAGTGCTTTCTAAAGCGGCTCTTACATTAACTGAGCTTAGTTTAATTGAAAATTAGACATGACAAGTTCATTTTACCTATGTAAATGCAAAATCAATCAAATGCTAGAGAAAAGAAGTATGTTTTAAGTTTGGTCTTGAAAGATGTAACTGACTCAGCTGATCTTATGTCGTATGGCAAGGAATTAAATACTTTAACTGCACAGTGACTAAAAGCTTTCTCTGTGTTTACATAGTTAGGAGAGGGCGGAAAACTAAGGTAAAAATAATCATTATCAAGACGTACATTTTTAAAACTTTGCTGCCTAGGAAATATCAACTCTTTTAAGTAAGGAGGAGCTATATTATTTAAACACTTGTAGGCAAGTAGGGCAATCTTAAAATCTATTCTAAATCTAACTGGTAAAAAATGAACTTTCTTAAGTAGTGGAGTAGTGTGTGCCTTTCTTCCTCTCCCGAAAATAAATCTTACAGCAGAATTTTGCACCTTCTGTAAACGACTTAAATCATAAGAGCTCAGTCCAAAATATACGCTATTGCAATAATCAATTCTAGAGAGTACTAGAGCATGAACAAGCTGAATCTTAAGGTTAAAAGACAGTTTTGATGCAATAAACCACAAATTTCTGATCTGAATATTACATGCTTGAACCACTGACGTAATCTGATCACTCATTGAAAGATAACTGTCCAAATACAGCCCAAGACTCTTCACAGTTCCACTAACAACATGTGGCTCTTGATCCTTAACAATCTGTAGAGAGGCTGGAATATTTTTTGAGTCAAATTTAGAGGATATAACGATGACTTCAGTCTTAGAAGAATTCAGTTGAAGGAAATTGTTTGTCATCCATTTCTTGATATCAGACATACAGTGTTCCATATTGTGCTCTAGCTGTGATGGGTCATCAGAATCAAGAGTGAAATACAGCTGGGTGTCATCAGCATACAAATGAATACAGCACCCATGCATACTTGCAATGTTCTCAAGATCTTTGGTGTACAATATGAATAGCAGGGGGCCAAGGATTGAACCTTGTGGCACACCTATCTCAAGAACAGTTGATGAGGAAGACGAATCCTTGACTTTGACACAAAATGAACGGTTAGCCAAGTAGGACCTGATCCATGTAAGAGCAATGCCTGTAATGCCATAAGCAGATCTTAGCTTCTTGATTAATCTTGGGTGATTGACAGTATCAAAGGCAGCACTCAAATCTAGAAGTAAAAGAACAACTTTAGTTTTCTTGTCAATAGTTATCAAGATGTCGTTATGGATTCTGGTTGTTGCAGTTTCACAGCTATGAAACTTCCTATAGCCGGACTGAACTTTAGAAAGCAAGTTGTTATCCTCAAGATAACTGGTGAGCTGTATAGATACACACTTCTCAATGATTTTTGACAAGAATGAGAGATTGCTAATAGGCCTATAGTTAGATAGAGATTCACCGTCAAGGCCACGTTTCTTCAAACTTGGACGAATGAGAGCCTCCTTAAGTTTTATAGGAAACTCACCTTTAACTAATGATTCATTAACTATAAATGAGATCAGAGGAAGGAGTTCTGGGAGACACTTGATGAGAATCTTTGTAGGTATGGGGTCAAGATCACAGAATTTGTTGGACATATTCTTTATGATGCTTACTAGTTCTTCATCAGACACATGACGGAATTGTACTATCTTTGGACTAATGACATAAACATCATCACTAGTTTTAAACATTCTTTCTGATTTCCTCATTATCAGAACTGTGAACATTTCACAGCCTTTGTCATTAAAAAAACAAACAAATTCTATAACTAACATAATTGTCATAATTTATTTACATATAAAAAAGTTTAAAAAGTTAAAAACCGTTAATTTAAAAAATAAATAAATAAAGTTTAATCCTAGCAAATGCAAAATAATGCATGTTCCATTTAATAAAAATCCCCTTCAAGAATATGTATTTAGTGGTGTTACACTTGAATGTATTGAAGCAGAGAAAGATCTTGGAGTTTTAACTTCTTCAGATTTGAAATGGTCGAAACATATTAAAAGTTGTATTAGTAAAGCAAACAGTATGATTGTATGGGTTACAAGGAATCTCATTATAAGAGAAATTAATGTTATGAGAAATGTTTATAAAACTATAATAAGACCCCACTTGGAGTATTGTGCTCAGTTGTGGTCTCCACCTGCCTGCCATGGGAATTGGGCTACTATCATTGAACTGGAAAATGTCCAGAGAAGGTTCACACGCCTTATTGATGATATTGGAACACTTCCTTACAGTGAAAGGTTAAGCTTAGAGAACACGATTCAGGTTTGATCTGCTACGAAACACACTCATCGCACTCAGGGGAATCAGAGGAGGACAAACGTCAAACAGCCCAGCATCTTGGACTGAATGACATATCCTTCAATCTTATTCCTCAGAAGACGAGCTATGAGGTCTCCTAAATTTGCCTATGTAAATTTTGTACATGATTTATTGTAGCTTATAAATTGTGTACAATTTATCGGACAAAATGATTCCAGGGGGAGTCCCAACCCACCGCTTTGACGGGTATTTGATGCGCCTTTCACAAGCAAGAGCCACTTTGGTCTACTTGCTGTGAGGTGTCTCAGATATATGGTTTGGGGGTCCCCCTACAAATTTTTTAAAATCTTAGAGATCAAGCACTCTTCTTACTTTGAGTCAATATAAAGATATTATATACACAAAAGATATTATAATTCGCAAATTGAGAAAAGACAATGTTTTTTTGAGAAAAGACAATTTTTTGAGAAAAGACAATTTTATTATTTATCACCAATTCAATACATAATCAATAAATATATATCCGAATAAATTTGAGTTAAAATTAAATGATACAAGTATGCTAGCAGCTAGCGCGCTTGTATTTGATAAATATTCACGCTGTTAAAATGGGTTTTACCACACCGCCACTCACATTAGCACAGTTGGTGAACGGACCCAGGCGCTGTTAAGCTTTTATGAGCCCTGGTTGACTGCTGAGAGTGGCGACGGGTCTGACATTAATTTTATCTTAGTTTAACCTATTTTCTAATAAAATTTTTTTTTATTAGCAGTGCAATCAATTCATATGATATAATTATAAGAATATAAAAGTATGTCACACCTATTTAACTGTTACGTTTGAGTAGTCGTGCCATGGCTAAATCTAACTAGGACCAGTGGTGTTTTAGTTTTGAGTTATAATTATATGATTTTATGCGATATTTAAGTTACAGCTGCTCGCAATATATTATTGCTTAAAACTTGTTAAATATGCTCACTATACGCTTAATTTTAGATACCGTATGTATATGCACATATCAGCTCATAATACCAAATAACAATAATAAATAAATTAAAAGCATGAAGAGGTCCTAAACCAATTCAAGCATGACACCAGGTTGAATACATTGTCATCGGAAGCTGCAAGCTTATTAACGTTAATAATAATGGTGCAATAGTTTGAGACAATAGTTTGAGACAAACACAATGGTTATCTTTGGTTTCATCCTTATGCAGATAAAAGTTTTATAAATCTTTACTCCACTGGGAAGTATGAATAAATTAAATTATTTAATGTTGTTGTTATTCATGATTAATATTTGATAAATTAGAAAAGAATGAATAAATTACATTCAATTTCAGCAATGGCCAATTGGCTGACTATAAGGTCATGGCCTGAACAAACAATTTTTTTAAATAGTCAAGTGATGCTAAAGCAGAGCACAAATGTGTAATATGTTTATAGATTAAAAACTGATTCATGTGATGCATTACGCAGAGCACAGATAAAAATACTGATTCAATGATTAAAATTATAGTTACTGGGCCGTGCTCAGCCTGTCATTCCGCCTAATCTCTATTCGTTGTTTATCAACATTAAAGCCTGGGGTCCTCAGGTAACTATCCACGAACCCCGATGGGAAGGTTCTTGCGCGCCACCAACCCCCATCGATTTTGGCAACCATATATTGCTTGCCAAAATTTCCCGTGCTTTGCAGTTTCTATAGGGGGTAATTAGGTATAAACTTCAGTACAGCTGTACTTACACTCACATTCACAAGCATGCAAGCTCACCTGGTCCGATGAGTTACGTGACCTCAGGCTCACAATCACGTGACCTCAGACTCATAATCACTTGACCTCAGACCCAATTAATTGGGTTCTGGCCTGGTTAGCCCCTTGTCACCCGATTTTGAGGTGACGTACGACACCTCATTAAACAAATCAATTAACGAGTTGTGTTTTCTTTGTAGCGCGATGCGTTACTGTGCCGCGCCGCGCACTCAATGAGGCTTCTCACAGGCTAGATCTGAGATCGGCAAGATGCACTATTGTGCCGCGCCGAGCTGCCATGAATTGACATCGTCAATTAATGTTTTCTGTTTCTCGCTAGGCTTATTGGATTAGGTGAGCTTGCATGCTTGTGAATGTGAGTGTAAGTACAGCTGTATTGTAGTTTATATGTATTACCGTGAGGCGGGCGCGCACTACTGCAAGCGCAAGGGCTCGGGATTGAGCAATAGTTGTAGGTTTACAACCTACCAGGACGCGCGCCGAGTTGGACTCGTCGACAGTCCTGTATATGGAACAGATATTTTACGAGTATCACCCGTTAAAGCAATAGTTGTATCACGTCGTGACCCCCACTGTCGTTTCACTATAGTGTATAGAGTTTCTACGGGTACGATATAGATACACTTACAGGGGGAGCCGAGCACTCGAGCACTTGCCATTTCGAAAAGTGAAAAGAAAGCAGCGCGCGCTACTTCGAGGAAATTTAATTTTAGACGAGTAACATCCGTCAATAAAATTACAAATCTTTGATTATAATTAACCTATTAGAACAAAGATAAACCATTTTTCATCATCATAATAAATTGGATAATCAACGACTACAATACAACAAATGCAGTTTTTCAATTCTGTTTCATTTCAATTTTATGACAACCCATTGAATTCAAAATCCTGGATACTTGGGGGGAAAGAGTAACTTAAAACCTAAACTAAAAAACTTTTAGCACGCACTTCCAAAAAACTAATCATAGATTGTCTCAATAATAATATCTACTTGGCAATTCAAGTAAAAATCGGCTGGTTATCAAATAAAGGGGGGGGTGTCACGTCCGTCTATGTCCGCTTGTCTCATACAATCCAAAAAGGACAGGACATAGGCGGACATAGGCGGACATAGACGGACATAGGCGGACTTAGACGGACATAGGCGGACATAGGCGGACATAATGGACACCTAAATTGCTAAATAAAATGTTCAATTTTTGCTGTTATAGGGGGATCATGTTTTTTGTCCGTTCGGTACCCTATATTTTCAAAACGGACAAAAAAAAGAGCGGACAAAAACGGACAAAAATGGAAATAACATTTAGATGCTTCCTCCTCCTACTCTTCCTCCTCCTCCCCCTGGGTCTTCCTGATCTTCCTCAGTCCTCTTCCTCCTCCCCTCCTCAGTCCTCCTCCTACTCCTCCTCCTCGTCCTCAGTCCTCCTCATCAGTCCTCAACAGTCCTCCTCCTCCCCAGTCCTCCTCCCCAGTCCTCCTCCTCCTGAGTCCTCCTCTTGGGTCCTCCTCCTCCTCTTCATCCTCCTCCTCTTCCTCCTCAGTCCTCAGTCCTCCTCAGTCCTCCTCCTCATCCTTCTCCTCAGTTCTCCATCCTCCTCCTCAGTCCTCCCCCAGTCCCCCTCCTCCTCCTCCTATTCAGTCCTCCTCCTCCTCAGTCCTCCTCAGTCCTCATCCTCCTCCTCCTCAGTCCTCCTCCTCCTCCTCCTCTTCCCTCTCAGTCATCCTCCTCAGCCATCCTCCTCAGTCCTCCTCCTCCTGGGTCCTCCTCCTCCTCTTCATCCTCCTCCTCTTCCTCCTCGGTCCTCAGTCCTCCTCCTCCTGGGTCCTCCTCCTCATCCTTCTAATCAGTCCTCCTCCGCCTCCTCCTCAGTTCTCCTCAGTCCTCCTTCTCATTTCTCCTCCTGAGTCCTCCTCCTCTTCCTCCTGAGTCCGCCTCCTGAGTCCTCCTCATCCTCCCTCTCAGTCATCCTCCTCAGTCATCCTCCTCAGCCATCCTCCCCAGCCATCCTCCTCAGCCATCCTCCACAGTACTCCTCAGCCCTCCTCCTTCTCAGTCATCGTCAGTTCTCCTCCTGGGTCCTCCTCAGTCCTCCTCCTCCTCATGGGTCCTCCTGGGTCTTCCTGATCCTCCCCAGTCCTCTTCCTCCTCCCCTCCTCAGTCCTCCTCCTACTCCTCCTCCTCGTCCTCAGTCCTCCTCATCAGTCCTCAACAGTTCTCCTCCTCCCCAGTCCTCCTCCTCCTCCTGGGGCCTTTTCCTGGGTCCTTCTCTTGGGTCCTCCTCCTCATGGGTCCTCCTTCTCCTCCTCTTCCTCCTCCTCCTCCCTCTCAGTCATCCTCAGCGATCCTCCTCAGCCATCCTCCTCAGTCCTCTTCCTTCTCAGTCCTCCTCAGTCCTCCTCCTGAGTCCTCCTCCTCCTGAGTCATCCTCCTCAGTTCTCCTCCTCCTCCTCCTAGGTCCTCCTTCTGGGTCCTCCTCCTACTCCTCCTCCTGGGTCTTCCTGATCCTTCTCCTCCCTCTCAGCCATCCTCCTCAGTCATCCTCCTCAGCCATCCTCCTCAGCCATCCTCCTCAGCCATCCTCCTCAGCCATCCTCCTCAGTACTCTTCAGTCCTCAAAATGTTTGTCCGCTAATGTCCACCAATGTCCGTCCAAGTCCGCCAATGTCCGTCAGGGTCCGCCAATGTCCGTCCGAGTCCGCCAATGTCCGTCCGTGTCCGCCAATGTCCCAAAAAACACGTCCGTTGTCTCATAGAATCCAAAAAGGACAGGACATAGGCGGACATAGACGGACATGACACCCCCCCCAATAAATCAATTAATGGTAAACCTATTGTTTGTAATTGTATTTGCTTAAGCTTTTACAGCTGAGCGGAGTGTTTAAGCTTTTGGAGCTGAGCGGAGTGTTTTTCGAGTAATCATTGTTCACGTTGTTAAACAAAATGTTGGAGCAGCTTCCCGCAGATGTTCTCCACTTTTGAAGAACCGAACCCTTCTGTGACATTCTCTTCGCTAATTCCATTGATACATGGTTTTTCCGTCCTCTACCTCGGAAAGGCAATGACGTGGACTTCAAGTTCATCTTTTGTAGATCTACTGGCAGGCTTTCGGAGGAGTGGTGCATTTTACGTTGCACATTTTCAGTCTCCAGTTTTACTGACGTCATCGATCTGGAATGGGGTAAATGTTAACATCAAAGTTAGTCTGACGCAGATCTAGGAGGCAGAAATTGCTACGAATACCAGTTTCTTTGAAGAATTAACGGTAACCGGGTAGGTAATTTAGCAAGTCTTGTTTAATGTGCTGTGTGCTATATAGTACATAGTCTTGAAACTATAGAGTTTACCACCGGCAAATAAAGGTATTAAAATTTCGAAATGAACGTCTACATCGACCAATATGTAGGTATAAAATAATGCAAATAAGTAAAATGGGACAAGTGCATTATTAATATTATACTGATACTAATGATAACAAAACAATAATAAGGAAACTGAGAATGTGTTTAGTTCCTCGTGCATATAAAGCTAATTGATTAACTTTAATTGATTCGTACCTGCATTGGAGAGCTGAATGTTTGAGGCTGTAACCACGTTCGGGGGAGGATTCTCTAGACCACTGTTTGGAACAAGTGCTCGAGGTGGAGGATTCTTCGCAGTAACCCTGAAAAAAAGATCATAGTTAGAGATAGGTTACTAATGTTTTATTTATATACAAGAGATCTATGAGGCACGATTCGTCTCTCAGATTTTGATGGTAATCATATGTATACATAATATGTACTATTTATTATTGAATTTCTTTTAAACAAACATAAACCCGGAAATAAAGCCTTATGTGGGATGATTATAATCCGAGCTACCAGACCGCCTATTATCTACGTGAGACCTATATAACAATCAAAGCAGACTTTTATTCTTACGTAATAATATTAATTTTGAACGCATTGAAGATCTAGATTATAGTTGGTAAAATACTAGTACTAAATTTATTTAAAAAGCTGCTTTTAACACTATAAGACAAATAACCACTTAAAAAGAAAATAATGCTTAAATTTATGACGTTAACAATAATAAAGAATACATGACGCAGGTATCTCGAACGTAATATCAATATAGCATCTCTCTTTACCTTTTTAGCAAGTTTGAAGGCGGCCTGACTGTCCTTGAAAGCACGATATTGCTCCTGAATCTCCTCAGCGAACCGACTTCTCTCCATCTCCTCATCTGAACTATTTTCACTGCCCTGAAAACGAATGTTAGATAGTTATTGAATTTAAATAATCTCCCGAAAATAAGATGATGAATAATTGTAAAACAAAACTTTAGCAAGGATTGTCATTAGTAGTATAACTACTACTAGTTACTACTAGTTATAATATATAATTACTACTAGTCACTACTAGTTATAATATATAACTACTACTAGTTACTACTAGTTATAATATATAATTACTACTAGTTACTACTAGTTATAATATATAACTACTACTAGTTACTACTAGTTATAATATATAATTACTACTAGTTATAATATATAATTACTACTAGTTACTACTAGTTATAATATATAACTACTACTATTTACTACTAGTTATAATATATAACTACTACTAGTCACTACTAGTTATAATATATAACTACTACTAGTTACTACTAGTTATAATATATAACTACTACTAGTTACTACTAGTTATAATATATAATTACTAATAGTATAACTAGTAGCATTTCTATAATACTAGACCGCTAAAGTGAACAAAATGCAGGAGAATGGATCATTTCAGAGTTCCAAATATAATAAATCGGTATAAATAAACAAACCTTAGAATCATTGTAGGCTGATCCGTGTTTGTTAAAATTAGCAAGTCGCTGCCATCTTCGCTTCATAGCTTTCAAAGTAATCAAGCTTGATTGACCAATCTTCTTTTGAGCTTTCCGTTTCCAGTTTGTGATGTCTTCAGGATCAGTTTTGAGGCTGCTTCTTTCAGGTATTCCTGTAAAATAAAGAACCTTATTAGAATGCATAAGGATCAATTCAACTTATTATTTTGCGACTTATCTGATATGTGAGCCATCCTCTCCAGAGAAATAATTTGTGTGTTCAAACCAGTTAACTGATTTTCGAGTTAAATTCGAAAATGGCGATGAAATTAAATCCTGAATATAATTATAAAGAAGTCTTACCTAAGGATTCTATAACAGATTTGTGGATGTTGCGGACCTCTCTTGCTCCCTCGGCTCCGTAGAACCACTCTCCGCTTTTGAGGGTCATTTCGCGTCGGTACATGCACGGCTTACACAGGCGTATCGTCTGAAAAAGGGCGGGGTCAAATCTCTTGGGTTCATTTGACGTAAATAAAGGCTATAAATATATATGTCTAAAAGTGGTCTGTCAAAATGTTCAGCTAATAAATGTTATAACGATCCTATTTTAGGTCTCATAAACGTGTTATTTGAAAGAATTGTCCATTATCCTGACAGTAATTAGAGTGATCTAAGTATAGAACAGGGATAATCGACAGCAAGAAATAACTTTGCAGCTTGCTTTATTAATGAATCTAATTTTAGAAGAGATGCTAAAACAAACCTTGTTTGTAATTCTGTTGTCAAAAGGTCCAGTTTGGTGTTTGGTAAATCCACAGGAGTCGCAGGTAAGTTGACCACAATCCCAGCAAACAAGCGCGCTTCTTCCTTTCTTTACCTTCTGTCTCCCAATTACCTGAACATATTATCATTAAAACCCTCAAACTTTATTGCATATTTGTTATTGAGTATCAATATTCAGTAACCATGACTGGCTATTTAAATTTCTGGCTATTCACCCCAGCTTGATAATATGCACGACCAATCCCATCTGTCAATCTGATTAAGTCGATGCTTATAATTTGACATAATGGCAAAAATGAGAGATATAAATAATAAACTGGACTGGTACATACCGCAGTGCAGATATGGCAGCAGTATTTGTTAGGTGTGGATACGGGAACAGAGGGGCGGCAGTTTGTAACCTGGTTTGTAACCGTTGCTGCTAAGTCGTCTAGACTTTTGGTAAACTCTTCTCTTACCAGCCTGTCAAATGATGATGGGTCAATAAAGCTACACAGACCAAGTATGAGGGAAGATGTGGGGGATGATAAACGATTTCTAACGCGCAAACGTCAATGAGGTTCAGATTTGTTGGTGAATTGATGAATGTTGAAGACTTTGATTTAAATAATAAATATAATAAACAACTTACATAATAAATAACTTATATAATAGAGCAGCAAAATTTTGTCATATTATGATAGTATCTATATTCTTTATCGGTAAAATATGATTTTTACGATAGAGTTAATTCAATATTTCTTTAATTTCTGTTGGGTTTCATATTAATATATTCATGGCAGAGCGCTAGTCTGACAAATGTTATTATGACTGTATATCTCTTCTAATGAACATTATGTACTACAAGAGTTGGGTTATTGAATTTGAATTGCTGCTTAGTGGATCATGGTGCAGCTTAGTGAGTCATGGTGCAGAAGGTGCAAATTGTTTACATTGTATGCTTAGCTTTAGCAAATGTGTGATAATCATTGACGCGATGGGTGGTGCAATAGTAACAATGAGGCGATAATGATATGAATGCAGAATGAGTTATGGTCAGCTTGGCACATAATATCAAAGCAGTAAGAATTCAGCCTAAGATATGATTGTTACTGACATAAGTGTTACTGACATGACGTAAAGTTTTGAGATTAAATCTTATTAAGATAAAAGTTCGTACCTGTCGCGCTGGTTTTCCATGTTTTGAAGGTTCTCAAGTTTAAGTAAGACGCCTAAGATGTGATGCTTCTCCTCCAAAGTGAGCTGGTGCGGTGACAGGAGCTTGGGGGAGGGAGGCGGTGAGGGTAGTGCCGTGCTGTTCCTCGATAAACTGCTGCTGAGGAGTGACCAGGTTAGGCTTACAATTGAATAACGTGCGTGGTCCAATTTTCCACTCTTAATAAATAAAGTCTAACAGACACCTTGTGACCTGCTGTAGTGCAGTTTATTTTTAGAAATAGATTAAACCTATTCAGGAGAATTTTGAACTTTCTAGAAACGCGGAAACTGGTAATTAAGGGTGGCAGACAACTGAACCCAATTGAACCTAGTTCCCACGCAGTTAACAGGCACCCAATCAGCTTAATTGGGTGACCAATCAGCTTAAATCCCAAAACGACAACTGAACCCAGGTCATATCACAACTGCACCCAAATTGAAAATACGACAACTGAACCCAAGGAAATACGACAACTGAACCCAACGATCGGATTTTCAGGTTCTCCTTCTTCGCAGGGGACTGTGCTCATTATCACTATAGGATAGATCATGACCACTGTAATTTAGAGCATTGGAGCCCTGTGCTTACCCCGGTAAAATATTAATACATACATGCTACATGAAGATTGAAGAGGTCTCCTCCTAGTCGTTGGAGTGGCCTGCATCACACACATCTCTTCTACGGTGTTCCACTAGTTTTAGAGCTAACTGTTTTACTGCGTCTCTGCTGATGTTATCGACACCTGTCAGCCGCATCCTCGAGAACACAAGCCATCCAGCCTTTGACCATGGAGATCAGTCCTTGGCCAGCGGTGCCAAACCTCATTCCCACGACCCTGACAACTTAGTAGCTGAGAAAGCAGAGTTCAGAGCAGAATTGAAGCGGAAAGCTGCCGACCAACACCTCTCAGCAACCCAAAACCTCCTCACCGAAGCCTTATCTACATGCCCATCCGAAATCAACGTGGTACTACCTAAACTAGAATCCCTTGCCAGAATTGTCCAACGATCACGAGCAGATAAGTCCGGATCTGCCAACCACTCCGAAGCACCAACCTCAACAGACCGAAATTATAGCACTAGAAACCAGGCAGCAGCTAAACTAGAACGGTATTTGGAAACCTGTTAAACTGTTACTGTTAGTGATTTATGGTGACGATTGGGTTCAGTTGTCGTTTCAAAGTTAATTAGGTAGTCTGATTGGGTTTATAATTATTTTCCCAAGCTACCCTGTCTAGGAAAAGTCCAAATTGGGTTCAGTTGTCCGGTAGCCGTAATTAAAGCTCTATTAGTAACAGTTAAGTAATAGTAAAGTAACAGTAAAGTAACAGTAAAGTAATAGTATTATTGTATTTACCTAACAGGCGAGGCGGTGCACGAAGAGAGGGAGCCGGCGCCCAAGTTGATACTGTTCATCTGGTAGCTTTTAAGTCCTCGCATTTCTCGCTGGTTCATGTATAGCTATAAAAGGTTAAGTTTTAACTCCACATTCAACTACAAATCAAGTTGATACTTTGAGAAAAAAATTCAAGGTGCAATAAGTGCGATAAGTGCAATGAGTGCAATAAAGTACAATATTTATAAATTGCTTTGATGCTGTTTTACAAACTTCAATACATCACAATGTGGCAACATTTAAAAAATAGCCTAATTTTGTCCCTTTTGTTTCCAATTCAACGTAGATTAGAAATAAATTTATCGATCGAATCTCTCGAATTTCGTAGCATGTTGATATCGGTATATATTATATTAGAGGACTAAAAGGTGCGCTCTAGAATAAAAACATTAAATAAGCCGCACTATAATTATACTTTATTTGTCTCAAAGGATCCACAATAATGCCCCGCTGGTCTGTCAAAGAAAAAATGTGGAGACCAAATCATGGGCTTGAGAAGTTTATATTTTTCGTAACGAAGACAGAGCGTCAAGCATTGCAACAAACAAACAAACGTTTGGCCCCATTATAATGATATAATACAAATGATCATTGAGGCTGTCAGGCTCTCCATGGCAATTTAAATGATCGAACGTCAATGGAAATAAGTGTCCATTGCCACATCAAGATCGTCATATAAAACATCAAATAAAAACATGAACAGGTCGTACTGTACTAAAACCAGTCCAATTCAATGAAAACGACTTCATAAGTAAAGAAACCTAACGATTTTGTTGTAAACAACCAAGGAAGAGGACCAAACACAATTGTGACCTTATTGAGTGAGTGAATACTATACATAAGGCGGAATCAGCGAAAGGAAATGAAAATTAGGAAAACCGTAAGACAGAATAGTAATAGTAATACGTACATAGGTATCTACGTTGTAGATTGCCAGTAATTACGATAACAGTAACTTGATAGTGATACAATTCTGCCTGGCACGATTTACAGCATCATTACAATTTTCATTAGAAAACCTGGCGATGATGACGCAGACTTTCAAACAGTGCGGGGAGTAGTTGCTGGAACTCAATATCTTGTGACTTTAGCTGAAGAAATTGGCGCAACGATAGGTTACAGTGCAATGACAACTGCCAGTAGTACTATTGTCGCTATAGTACGCCAAATTAGAACGTTGATGTGACCCCTGACCTAAGTAATGACGCTGCAAGAGGGCCTTTCAGTCCTCACAGTTAAGTGTAGCGATAATATACGTTCAATGTTTTGTTTCTTCTAGTTCTACGACATAGAAGTATATTTGTTGACGTCATGGCGACCATATTACAAATACAACAGAAGCTCGCGTAGTGCTGTGACCTGCGGTCCTTTGTGTCCTGAATCAATAAATTCTTAGCCGAACTGAAGCTAAATTAAACCCTGAATAATTAAATCCTGACTTATTAAACGATCTACCAATCCTCTGAAGTGCAGGGCTAGATGACTAAGACAAAATATATATAATAGCGAACATTTTGTACATTGTAAGCGCATGGCGTAATCAGTAATACTAATATTGGTAATAGAAATACCTCAATAAACGAAATGAAATAAAGTGTTTTTATAGTGTATACCGCCCATATGGATAGCAAATGGCACAAGTACTAGGTACTAACAATGTCAAGGTTGTTCTAGATGGTGAGGTGAAATTATTCAGCAACAAACAACTAATTCATCTCAAAAATGTATTTGAAAAATCGCTTTATAAAGGCCACTTGGTAAATTGGTAAGCGGTTGGAATACTACAGAAAATAATTAAGTAACTGCTGGAAGACTTCTTACTGGCCGTGAAGCTTCAACTTTAAGTATCCATTTAAGCTCTTTAACTCCAAAATTGAAGATCTTATTTAGGCTGTTTAAAAATCACAACTCTATCTGAGTGCCACTCAAATAATATCAAAATAATTAACAAATATGCAGACAGTGAATGGATATTCAATATTGTGGACGGACAGTAATTAGACTGTTTCAGTATCCAGGTTGAAGGTCCGACATTTAGCCTGTTCTAGGACTATAGTATAAAATGCAAAACACTCGTGGGTGCCCTGCTAAAGATAAGGGCCGAATGTAAATGTCAAGTGATAACATTTCAGTTGATGGCTGCACAGTGCCACAGTATCTACGGGGCACAAATATGGTTTTATTGTACTGTTTCTTTTACTGCTAAAGTCAAGCTTTCTAAAAATACTAGTATTTAAAGATATGAATAGCAATACTGCACGAGTCAACACGTCTGTCAACGTACTTAATGAGGTTTAAAGTTCACAAGTTGAGCTACACAAGATGTCAAAGACAGGTTTGGTAGTATCAAATCCAAGGTGTTTACAATTAAAACATTAAAAACTATGGTTATAAAAGTATAACAGTTAAAGCGCCGTCTGGAGCAGCGAAAGCTGCATTGTACGTAAATGGTGTAAAAGGAATCCGTACAAAGACAGCATAATGTTCAGACAAATTGTAGCCGAACCGTGGATCGGCAGCGACGAATCATAAATCCTTTATTTCAAGTTCAACAGCCTTCAGTAAAGTTCCTAATTGCTGGGTAGAACGCGTGACGAACATAATAAATAATGGAGCTAAAAGCTGTACAAGTAAAATAAGCAAAGAAATAGAGTGATGTTATTGAAACAAAGCTGACCGCTGACTAGTCGGGACATTTTATGGTAATGCCAATGGTGGCACAAGTAATTAAAAGGATCAATGGCAACGCGCAAACACCATAACTCACAGTTGATGATCGCCTAGCAACGCGCCGCACGCACCCTAACGCGATGCTGTGGTCACGTGATTATATAGAGAGAGGGAGAGGGAGAGAGAGAGAGAGAGAGAGAGAGAGAGAGCGGGGGAACGAACAGCTGCATCCTTTATCAGCACAATTCTGCCATAGTGTCTGCGTACTCTCAAATGCTTACTGATAGGCGTACAAGAAATTCCTGAGCTGAATAGGGCCGGTAGCTCAATTGGTAGAGCACCAGGCATGTAACTCGGAGGTTGGCGGATCATACCCGCCCCGGCACTATGCCGGCCCATGATTTTCCGAATCGCTTACCAGTGGAAGTCTAGTCAATTCAAATATCTGCTTGCTTGGTACTCATGGTCGATACAATCACAGCCCAACCAACTATACTTGATCAGACCGATTCACCTACATGTGCATACGCCATCTGGGAGCCGTCAGTTGAGCTTGCTCTCTGACTCGTGGGTTGAAAACATCGTGTACAATACTTCGTGAGTAGTACAGTACTTCACAACGATAACCCGCCTCCCCAACCAAATCTCTTAAAATACTCTCAATACTAATAGATTAAAAGGAGATTTTAAAAATGGGACTGCTAATCGTATAAAACTATTTATATTAGAAATTAACCGAAAATAAAATTAAACGGTAAGTTTCACGAATGACTCATGACACATGAAACACGATAGTGATGTAAAACTAATATACTAATCTTTCTCAGAGTTGGGAACCGACTGGACGATTAACCAAGAGTTTAGCCCGGACTAAACAGAAAATAATAACATAAACTGGGAACCACACAATTGGAATCAGAGTATCAAATATGGTCAAACAACATAATTCTTTGAGGGTGAAAACTGATCAATTAAAATTATAGATTAGCTTTGAAGGTTAACAGCCGTAATATCAATTTAATTGTCATTCGAAAGCATGGCACAAAAGCTACCAAGAAATGTGTACATTTGGGAGAAATGAAGTGGAAATGGAATCGCACCAGTTCGTTCAACAAAACTTTATAAAGGGAGGTAAAGTTAAATAGAGTAAAGTAGAGTAAAGTTAAGTAATATCGCAATGCTTGTTAGTTCTGCAAAACAATTTCAGTAAAATAGACTTTGAGAGGAGGCAGACAGTGTTAAGTGCAACTTGCTTGACCCCTACTAGCTCTCCCTTGACCCTCACCTTATACTCCCTCCCACGTAAAACTGAGATTACAAGAATACGGGACTCTGTGCCTAAAGATGGTCTAACTGCGGTGTGTAAACGATACTGTTATTCTGCAGCGGGGCGGTGCAGGATGGGTTGTCTAATCACGTATCACTTTCAGCCACATGTACGGTGATTGGGTGCTAAGGTGCTTTCTCAGCTGCTAACAAGTTAGGGTGAAGTCCTTTTTAGGAATACATGATGGCGGTCTATAATCGTAACGTAAAATCAAAACTAAGTGGTGTAATCAAACGGTATAAAACCATTTCAGTCACACTTGTAGTTTGTACACATAAAAGACAACATAACTATAAGACGTTCTTTAAATGAGCGGGGAAAATAGAATGTCGATAGTCGATATTGACGTAGATCAGCCCGTTGATTACAATATGCAGAACAAGGGTTTATCTAAGATGAGACGTACGTACTGCACGTACTTTTCAAAATATACTTTTAATTTAACCGTACAAGTACGTACTTCTGATCAGGTATGATACGTACTTCTCATCTTAGGGGTTTATGAAGTGCTAGAATTGCAGGGTTAACCATGACAGCATATACAATATTAATTTAAATTATGTGGTTAATATTGCAATAGTATTACAATCTGGTATAGTACCACTACCTTAATTAGATAGTCAAACCATCACTGACGTTACAGGAAATGGATCCGTAGATAGAATGATAACCTCCACCGCCACGTATTATAACTCATACTTCATAGCTATTATATGTACTACTACTAGAGTACCAGTGTACCACTACTCACTAGTACTACCAGCACATAGTATCCCAGGTTCTAACCAGATAGAATTAGATATAATGGCATGATCATATGAGTTAGAAGATTAGCTAATTATTGTGAAATCTATACAGACCCTGTAAGTAGCAGAACTCAGTACTACTGAAGCTAACAGTTGAAATTGAAAACATGTTGGCAGTGTTGGTGTGTTGTCTGTGGGTAAATTCGTGCCGCGTCCCACTACGAGGGCATTAGAGGACTAACTAAATGTACGAGGGTATTGTGTTGCTGGTACCCACCCTGGCACCCTCCTCTACCAGATTCAATTGTCAGACAAGCCAAGCTTATTGTTATACTTATACAGCATACTTCAAGTTGATAGCAAGAAAAGTGCCGATGATGTAATTATAGTTCAAAATTCAATATCATATTTGGCTTTTGATGACAATTTCCAGACTTCAATATCACGTAAATGTAGATAACTTGCCCAGTCCGATATAAACAAAACAAGAAATTCGTGATATTCTCAAGATATTGATATTAGAGATAGACTTGTTGCTCTATAAAGCTCTTTAGTCTTTATGGTGGCAATATGGGTGATTTGAACGGGTCAAGTAGACACTGTCAACGCGAACGCAGCATTGTGACCTTTTGTGTGTGACTGAGATTGTGGGACTGAATCAAGATTACACAATGCAAATATGCACAACTCTAAACGTTATTTGTACATACATACGTTATTTGTACATACAAGGAGTGTTGTAAATTTGACGGGTGATCTAAAATTCACTGAAAATCGTTTTCAAAGAATAGCTGCAGAAAAGCTGCACGCTTAACCAAATATCAAATAAATCAAGAACATCAAACATTTGTAGTCAGACGCCCTAAACATTTTACTGGTGATCTAAATTCTTTTGCGAAATCGTTTTCAGAGAAAAGCTGCGGAAAAGCTGCAAGATGACCAGTCACGAACCATCAGGTACCTGGTACAACCTGCAAATGCAAGTTGCGTATCCGAAATGATTTCAAGGCCGATTTGTCACTGACCTTCCTTGAAATCGATCATTTCGAAACATCTGATTTCTGTGCGTGTCTGAGCTGACAAATACTATTACTAGTTAAGCTGAGAGTAATGAACAGCTTATCCATCATTAACTACTTTACGATTCATTTCAAGTAGAACAAGAACTACAATTCTCAAACTCAAGAATGGAAATAGAATTCAATGCATTGACGTACAAATTCAAAGATAAATCAGGGCAATGGTGCAATTATGCAATTATGTAATCGATATTAAACGATAGAAGTGCACAACCATTTGTTGCCTCACCCTTCAAGTTCAATAACATTTGCAGTTTGTTTCTCTGTGCTCTCCGTCTTCAAATCTAAGCCCAGCAAGATCAAACACGAATATGTCAAATTTGGAGGCAAGACTGTCTAACATGACCACGAAATATTTTCGTTCCGATATCATTTAAATACAAAATGAATGAAAAACGAATGAAAAATGAATGAAAAATGAATGAAAAAATGAAATCATGCAACCATTTAATTTAATTACGTATGCGATTGAATTGTACATGATTGTTATTAAGATACAAAACTGTTTATGAACCGGGCTCCTTAGGGGTTCCTGAATCGTAATAGCAACTGATTCGTACCGCCTTGCAGACTTTGAACCCACCATCACATATTACGTAACCACAAAAAACCAAAAAAATAAATAAAACGAATAATTGTTTTGTTCTCTTATTAGGAATAAGATTAAAAATTTGTTTTTATAATATGTTACAAGTAGTAGTACAACTTATGAAACATAAACAATTCTCATCATCGTTACGATTCACGTATCGCTATCTAAATCCCAGATCATATAAAAGCTTAAAATCATGTGCAGGAAGACGGGCGTGTCTCTTCGTGCACAACTGCTACGCACGTGCTGTCGGGAGAACCACAGCAAGAGTGGGTAGCCACCCTCGTCTCACAACGTGAAACAACGATTGTAAACTTGATTAATGTATATTTTTTGACGTACTCAAACGTCACCAACGTCAATTTTGCTGAGTTAGTCCCAAAATTACGGCATATAAAAAGGAACCTCGATCGTTTTTCATGGAGCACGGAATCAAGCGAGATCAGATACAGAATAAGCTGAGAAAAGGTTCAAACGACGCGTTTTATGACGGAGGGTATTAAACGTTTCCAAATTAATGAACTGATCGAACTCTACCCGGAAAGATAAGCAATATCATCAACCATCAGTATCAAGCAATATCATCACATGTTGAAGTACTTGAAAAAGATTTAGTTACATCTACTCATATGGTTATCACCATATATCCACACGTCAAAGAATCAATTTCAGCTTTTGTCCGTGGGCGGAGCCGGAAACTAATATGAACAAGTAGAAATTAAAACATAACTGATACCAGAATATCGTACAAAACTGAAAACCTGTACAAAAATAAATATCATAATAGCCTCAGCACAGCTCACGCATAAAACATACAAGTGAACAAATATAATCAATCTAATAACTTAATAAAATACACTAAAATCATACAGTGATAACCCGAAGCTTACCCAAATCTGCAAATCAATCTGTAAATATCAAATAAATCAAGAACATCAAACATTTGTAGTCCGACGCCCTAAAAGTTTACTCTCAAGCGAGTAAGCAAAGTGTCCGAGACAGATCAGCAGTCAGCCAGTAAAAACACTGTCACATTAAATAGTAATACATACTAGCAGACAGGGACTATGTAGTTCATTAGCGAGATTAGCAGTGACAGGTTCCTCACCAAAATCAACTGTATTTCACGACTTCAGACATATTACGCTTCAGGGTTCGAGATTTCAGTTCAGGGAAAGGAAGTGAGCCACTATTTAATTAGCGACCTGTTCCGGTTTCTCTTTAGTTCGTTAAGTTCACAGGTTAAGTCCCGGACTCTCTCTGCCCAATGAGCGCTGTCTGCTTGTAACTGGGGAGTTCGATTATGTGATTAATTGCCCTATATATAAAATGGAAACCCTAAACGTTATATTACACAGAGTTGGAGGAAAAATCTGTATCTGGAATTGACCAAATATAGTATTGCTTATTTGCCTTTTTACCCCAATTTTTTGTCGACCGTTTAAATTTAATTGACCGACGAATACATATACCGTTATGGGGCCAGAACACGCTTATTTTAAAGACTTACTTCGCTAACTCTGCCCATCCAGAACTCGTCTTTGTCTACTTTTTCCGCTTCTGAACTCGGTTTTTCTGCTCTTGTCTTGGGTCGGATCCGATTCGGAGAGGTACTGCCTGAACACATCTATACAAACGTCAGACAAGTTGAAGACTTTTATTGTCCTCAAATTTGAAATATGTCTTAAATTAATTTAACTTTATTAATCAATTAATAATGATAAGGTCCTTCAGTTCTGTTGGGAGAAAAATGATCCTGCATGAATTAAAAAACGATGGTATTTCGTTAATTTGCTAAAAAATTCGTCGTATCCGAAAACGAAAGCAACACATAACAAATCTCCCCATACCTCGGCGTATTCTTTTAATTTGTCCAACTCTTCTTCCAGTGACCTCTTTAACAGTGACTCCTTCTCAAGGGTCGACTTAAGTCTGTAGTTCTCTTGATTCAGAGTTGACAGCTGGGATCATGATTGTTTAGAAACTTAGATCAATACAAAATTAAGTAAGCAGTAAGCAAAAATTTCGGATTAATTTCACTATCGTTAGTATCCAGGCTTGGTCATCATTTATTTTGGTAAATAAGTTCATAGTCAGTTGATTCAAATTCGAGACCGACCAATATAATACGAAATATAATACGAAAGCCCAGAGAAGGGATCTACATGATGCAAAACCTGGTTATTCTTAATCGCTAAATTCTTATTTCTTAAATCATCCTTGTCCCCTAGACCGTAGGAAATGTCGAAATCTTAAGACGATGAGGCTTACTGGGCCGCGCTCAGCCTGTCATTCCGCCGAATCTCTATTCTATGTTAATGAACATGATAGCCTGAGGTCCCCAGGTAAGATGAGGCCTGAGTAAGTCGTAAATTCTGATTGGAGAATGCAGATTGCTGTTGAGAAGTTACCAAATTTACGTGAGTACTCGATTCTTTTCAGTCCCAGTTTATTGCTGTCATACAAACTTCTTTCATGCCAAATGTCGTCTAAAACATCCTATTTCTCAAAAATTTTCCGGGGTTGCGCCCCCATACCCCTGCCGGAGCTTGCGTCGCTCGCTTCGCAGCTGGGTTGGACACGTCGGCTAGCTTCGCTCGCCGAGCCCCCCCCCCCCCCCACAAAGAAAAATACTGGCTACGTGCCTGTACATGATAACTAAATATACCTGTCTGTTGAGATCCTGCATAGTGTCCATGTGGGATTGAAGTCTGTTGTGCAGGTCTCTAATAACTCCCATTTGTTTTGCTATTTCTCTGTCCTGTAATATTAATCACTGTAAAATATCATTATACAGCTCTGAATACCTTACATAATACATACTGACTCAGACATATACTACATATTTAGTGTCAGTTGGAGTTAAAGTAAGTAATGAATATTTGATGACAGTGGTGACAACACTTATGACAACTAGATGACCCAGTGAAGTGACTTTTAAAGAACGTTTTAGTCAAAGATGAGGCTGGTTTGAGATGAGATTGCTTTCAAGAACAAAACCAAATTGAAAAACATTCATTCTGAACTTAAATTTTAAAGAAAATAAAGTCATGTGAGAAAATTAATAAACTTGCGAGGTAAAAATGTGCTTTATAATGCGTGGGCGATAATATATGACGTTAAAGGTCGATTCTTGACAGATATTTGATAATTTACAAAAACGGTCGAAAGGTTTTGCTGCTTGGTGCCGCATAAATGCTTATATAGATTGATTTCGATAATTCTGCAATTTTATCCTAAAATTGATGACGGACTCATGCTGCACCCCTCTCGCTCGCTCTAATGGTGTTTTTGACAGTTATTAAACGCACCCCTAGGCTATCATGCAAATCGATTGATCTAAGGAGTTCAACAGAAAAACGAATGTCAAACGACGAAATTCGATCGATTTAAGGAGCCCCGCAGAAAATAAACAGTGGTTAGATAGTAGATACTCATGCATCACCAGACGTGAGAATAAGCAGATAACTGGGATATCTATGCTGCCGTTTTCTCAGAAAAGGAAGTAAGTCATATTTTTCGAAATATGGCAATATTGGTATCCAAATTTTCAGTAGAAAATTCTCTACAAGTACAATATGAGCGACATATTAATGTAGGGAAACGTCGTAATAGTCTGGAAAAAATGATGTTCGGTTTTGCCTAAATAATTTCAGAGAGAAGGACGTAAATCCAAACTGATTCCCTTTTCTGAGAAAATCTGGAATATTTTATGGGACATCCTTTTCTCATCTAATATTGATATTGACCAATTTATGGACTGAAATCTATCAAAATTGGTGTGTGCCTAAATACTTAAATATGAGCATATTACGATTCCTGATAAACATTTGTATTATGATATGGAACAATTTTAATTTACCTTGTTATTTATATTTCAATGTTGTTAGTAGATAATGAGTAGATAATGAGTAGATAATGAGTAGATAATGAGTAGATAATGAGTAGATAATGAGTAGATAATGAGTAGATAATCAGTAGATAATCAGTAGATAATCAGTAGATAATCAGTAGATAATCAGTAGTTAATCAGTAGATAATCAGTAGATAAGTAACAATCGATAAAACCTCTCACCTGATCAGATTTGGACATGCCGTGTTTAGCTAGTCTATTCTCCAGCTGATCTATGAAGCCTTCCTGTTGCGTGCATTTAACTTGCAACTGATTGTATCGTTCTATCTCAAACTTGTTCGCTTCTAACGAGAGAGAATTACTTGATTTAAGATTTTGTAGGGGTTCATCATTCAAAAGTTATGAAAACAGTCAGCAAAGCTGAAGGGGGTTAAGTGCGTTTAAGGTACGGCTATAAAGCTATTTCCTTAGCTACCTTCAATGTGGCAGATATTTCCGTTCGTGAATATTGCAAAGTGGAATTCCAGCCATCCATCATTGAATAAACCCTTTTTAAGTTTACGGTAATATGCACGCACAACTTAGAGTGCCTTAAATAAAATAAACACGTTTTGATCTTCAATTAACTCTTGACGAGCCTAGAAGCTCAAAGAACAAATAAACGGTTGGATCCTTCTAAAGAATCCGCACCCACCACTGACAATGCCAGCTTGACTTCCTGTCCCTTCATTTCAGGGTATGAGTAATGCTATAACTCTATATTAACCACGCTTATACTTATAGTTAACAGTAGGAGACTGCCTTCAAATCCAGCAAATGAAATAAAAATACGAAGGTCGCCAGAAAAATACCAACAGGGTCGCCAGACGCTTCGTAAGAAGCAGAATTGGTATATGTCTATGTGATACAAATACAGCGCATGTTTAAGAGTTGTTCTGATCTCAAGACCTGTACCTATAGGCTATAAGTAGTACAATTACTGCATGCGTCATTTCCACGACATTTATACTCATAAAGTCATATCTGATCAAATTTGATCTGGATATTACAATATTATTAGTGAAATATGCTCCACTATACCCCGCAAGAAAAATAGCCGCTTGTATCTCATCAGATTTTCCTTATTGTAATTATAATTCTACCAACTGCCAACCCAGCATTATATCGCGCATTATTTCTAATTTAGATATGCCTCCGGGGCCTCATATAATAATCTTGACAAGGTAGGATTACAGACCGCCTAAAGAATAAATAATTTGATATCTTCGTGGAACACCATTGACATTCTAGACATTCATTATTTGATTTGCAAATAATGTCGGGAAATGGAGAAACTTATGCAGATGTCGACTACACATAGAATAGCACTAAAAGAGGGGAAGGAGAGGGAGATATACTGTCCAACAACAGAACAACTGGCATCTACAAGATCAGACATTAAACTAACCAAGATTAGCTTTAAGTTGGGCGTTGGTGCTCTGAAGAAGGTCCGTGGCCTCCACCAAACACCTCTTCTCACTCCGCAGAGCACTGGCGACTCGGTTAGCCTCTCGGTACTTCTCCTGTAGGCTGCTTATATCCTCTGCTTTAGCTTGCATCCACGCGTTAGATTTAGTCGTCATGCTTTCACTGTCGCGTGTTATCCTGAAGTGGTATTTAGTTCATAACTTAGTTGTAATGACGAACAAAATGATTGATCGACCGATCAATCAGTTTCGTGTTATGAAATAGGAAATTGGAATGGAGGTAAGCAATCACTGACTGAATTTAGGAGCACAGCAAACTCATAATTTATCCTTAGAAAACAGTAAGCCAATTATTGATCAGTAATAAATTTAAAATTCACGGTGGTCCATCATGATCAACTATGCGAGCAAGGAGGTCAGTCCAAATTCTCTAATGTCCTAAAAAATGATCAGGCCTCATTTTGTTGCCGCCCCATAGAGCTTTTTGCTATCCCTCTGGGGGCGTTTTGTACCCCAAATATTTGTTATGCGTCCACCGAGCGTTAATATGTTCGGAATAATACACAAGTCCGACGCTAGAAAAATATACGTTCAATTAATGTCCGTCCAAGTTAAAGTCCGTTGAAATTTTTTCAAAAATTATTCCATTTCGAACTTTTTGTCCAGAATATGACAACTTTGAGAACTTTATTGTGCCGTAAGTTAACAATGGAAAGGTTCTCTTTGGTCTGCCGGAGGCACAGAAAACTTTACTAGTATATGATGTTTTCAAGGGACACTTGGCGGAAAAAAGTCAACGAAATTATGGCACTCAACAACATAGTTCATGAACTAGTCCCCGTCAACATGGCAAACTTGTTCCAGCCTCTAGATATTACGGTAAATCGTGTTGCCAAGGACATTGTCCGAGGTTAAAGGTTAAGTTTTCTAAGATAAAACCACTTCACGCCGAATGGCTTGTAAAAGTTAACACTGAAATGCAGGACCGGGGTAGTTTGATTAAAAAAACGGTTTCCATAAAGCTAGAAATCACTGATGCTTTATGCATGGACTATTTCATGCACAAAAACCCATTTGATGAAGATGATATGTGATATTAGAAACAAACATTTATGACATATTTTTGACAAATTTAGGTTCTAAAGGGGGGTTTCTGGGGGCTCGTGATTTGTTCCAATGGTTTATAATAGTTTTCAGGGATAGTTCCTAACCCTGAAAAGAAATTTGGGGTAAAGAATTCAGAGTTTCAAAAATGGTCTTTTAGCACATTTGTCAGAAAACGGAAGATATTTAGTGAACATAAATTGTGAGTGTTAAGGAAACCTATTCAGTTTTACAGAGTTTGACGAGAATCTATAGCTTGTATTGGCCAAATGTGATATTGCCCAAAGCTCTTTTACGTAACCGAATTTTCAATCAACCGTCATCGACAAATAGGTTTTCTTTTAAGCAATTATACAAACGTAAGAACGAAAGAAACCATATGTTACCTGGATATGGTATCTCTAGCCTCACTAAGCGCTTGTCTCATAGTTGAAATCTCCTCCTCGGCTAGCTTATACTTGTGTTGTGCACCTTTTAGGTTCTCCTTCATGGAGCCCACATCTTCTGCAGCGTGGCTTAGTCGACCCTGTATAAGGATAGTACGATTGAGCAAGTTACACTTTATCAGGAGTAGGATGGACAACAATGTTAGAATACAATCATTTTCTCCGGTTTCTGTATGAAAAAAATGTGTAATGTGATACGAGCGCTGATACAATGTGTGTGTGTAATACATAGTGCGCAACTCTTATTTGTTTTGAAACTTCCCGCCAGCCAGTCGGAGGTGACTCACAGACCACAGTCTGTCCTGATAATACGCTGGCAACCCTTGCGGGAAATTATCTGTTACCAGTGTTCACACTTCACGACTATTCGGGAATCGGGGGTATAATTCCCTGAAATGATTGTAAGGGGGGAGGATATACAAACATCGGGAAGGGACGTTAGGGTGGACACTGGACAAACACAGCTGTTTGATGTTTACAAAGAAAGTTTTGTTTATCACTATCCCATCCGCCGACCGATATTATTTTAGAACCTCTTTGTCGTATAAAGAAGGAGGCGATAATCGGATAATAGACTTAATAATTCAGCAAGCATATTTCTCCTCTAATTCTATAATATTACGATATAGGATATGAACTATGAAGGATACTCGATATAATAATACTTGAGCAAGCAATACTTGAGCAAGCAATACTTGAGCAATACTTGAGCAAGCAATACTTGAGCAAGCAAACAATTGGGCAACCAAACTGAAATGCAGTCAATATCATGATGGCGTTTATTAGCTTTTTATATACATATAATTGACTACTCAATCTTCAATAAAATGCGGTATTTATTTCAAAAAATATCTATAAATCTTGCCGTAAGATCAAACTTCAAGCTGAAGTGCAGCTACGTGGGTGTCTATAAAACGCTTAACAATTCCAACAATGGTGAATAGTGATGCAATCATGAATCAAATAATCTGCTGGTCAAGAATTCCCAAGGGTAAATTACCAACATCTCGTCAAAATGACTTAACCTGGTTACTGGTATATTCATCAGCATTGATTACATATTTGCCATGTTTTTTCTTCGGAATATTATAAATGTGCAACTTGATTTGTGATTTTTTAATTTAATTTTTTTAAAGAGAGGCTGGGCCTGGTTGACCCACGAGAGGATAGCATATGGATGCTTTGCCTACCTCTGGGGTATGGCAGTCCTGTGGGAGGATTGTGTGATTTGTGACTAGAACAAAAATAATAAATAGAGCCCGCCCTGTTCAAAGATCTGAACATTGTACTTAAAAATCTAAGTAAAATAATAAAACTGTACCTGACTCTGAGCAAGTTTCTCCTTATTCCGCATGCATTCCTCATTAAGATGCGCGTTAGCTCGCTCTATAGCTTCAACTATCTCATTCTGTTTTGATAGTGTCTTCTCTTTCTCCTTCAACTCGTGAAGGTTTCTCTCCAATGCATCCTGGGTGGTTGAATTGTGGTTATACATTATAAGAATTTGGTTATGTGTTTGTTTGAAGTCTTAGTTTGGGTGGGGAACCATCTAGCCGTACTAGAATAATGACATTGTAGGAATCTTTATCTTTTAGTTATCTTGATTTAGTATTTATCTGTATGCTGTAGTAATTTTGCATGTATAATTCATTAATTACATAGTTGTAGATCGTTATTGGTAACGGTCAACCTTCAATGACTAAGTCTCACTCATCATAGAAAAATATAGGTAAGATACCTCGAAACTATCGAAACTATCGAAACTATCGAAACTATCGAAACTATCGAAACTATCGAAACTATCGAAACTATCGAAACTACAGAAACATTAGGTTGAGGAATACGATTAGCAAAGAGTCCTATAATTAATACTATGAAAACATAAACTCTACAGTCTACAATTGGTGCTACGACCAGCCAAGATTCATACACTTAGTAATTCGACAATATAGACTCATAAATTATGCTGGGTCAACTTTTATATTGAAGATTACTCAGAAATTCTCATAAAATTCATAACGTAATTATGGTAATGGTATATCTCGTAAAGCAATAAGCATGTTCTATTTTTGCGGGTTACATAATCACGACCGTCGACTTGTAATTAGTCATACGTTGAGCTCTTAAAAGTTCTCGAAGCTGCGAGATATTATTCAGACGATATTTCAGTCGCTCTTACCATGACGTTATTTACACTTCATACTTTGAAATACTTGGAGAGGTCAGGTGGTTAGTGACTGAACCGGTCAGTAAATTTAAACCCCAGACCTAAACCATTAAACCCCACCAACAGATAAAACCTATATATATATATATATATATACACTCACCTGGAGTTTTTTCAAACATTTTTTTAATTTGTAACTTAATTTAATTTCTTTAATTTCTTTACCTGGAGTTTAAGAATCTTGTTCCTCTCGACAGTAAGCTGCTCTTCAGTGTGGCACTGCTGTTTCTCACTGCAGCTCAGCTGTTCCCGTAACCTTGACAATTCTTCCTGGCGCATCTTACTCTTCGCGTGGATGTCTGCCTTCATCTTAGCGACCGCTTCCTCGCACGCCGTTACCTTTAATACAAAATGTTTGATAAAGGGTTAAAGAGAGGCGTGATGAAGGGAAGAGTTAAGTATTTACAAGTACTTGTCCTGGCGTTTTAAGAGTGGTAGTTCCAAGATGCAGTTTAAACGAGACGATAACCAGATAGATAAAGCTACGTCATGATAATAAGTTTGCGCCTTTTTATGATTTAACCGACCTCAAAGGCTAAGGGATTAACTAATCGGAACTGGAAGCAGGTTTACAGAACGCGAAAGTACGAAGTTTATGAATTTAATATGGAACCAAATGGTTAATGCAAATTAAATATTCGGAAATAGAATGACTCCATTTATGGAGTGTACTTCTCGTCATTTGAATATGTGCAACCGAACTATTAAAGCACGCCAAATAACAAAGAGTATCAAAAATTTAAGAAAACCTTGATTTAAAATTGACGAAAATAAAACATTCGGAAATATAATGGCTAATCACCTCGACGATGGCACGTCTGTGTTTGTCATTAGCAACGCTTAGTTCGTTATGGAGGGTTGTGATTCTACTATTCTTTTCTTCCAGTTCATCCAGCACAGAAGTTAGTTTGGTCTTTAACAGCTCCATCTCAGATCTGGGGAATAGACAAGTTATTTTAGGTCTTAATTCTAAATTAAAAAATAACTCAATTTTTGGAAACTTTTCTTTTATTCAAAGTCATTCCTCTGGGAGTTCAGAGTTGGAACCAAAGAGGGTAAATCCATTGAAAATGTGCAATAAAATGGTCGATAACAAATAGGAGTAGAGAAAACTGAAATTGACGTACATAACAACCTATTATTTCGCAGTGAATCATAAAATAAGACGAAATCTTTAAAAAAAAAGGGGGCCTTGTATTGATGAACAGATCGTTTTAATCCAGTTTTGAGGGAAAATCATGTCAAGATTATTCATCGTACTGACCTGATTGTATCAAGTGTCGTTGCAGATAGTTTCCCGCTCTTTTCAGCCACTGCACGCTTTTCCTCTGATTCTCCCAGCGCCTTCTGGAGTCTTCTACATTGTTCCAAGTGATCAGCTAATTCGCCCACCGCTGACTTGTGCTTACCTTCCATTGCCTTCAGCTGGGAAAAAACAATAAGTGTTTGTTGGAAGACCCATTGTGAAATGTGAGGGTATAAAATATTCATATTTCAAGTTTTTATCCAAATCAAATCAATTTGAAAAAATCTATATCATACATTAAAATTTAAAATAGACAGATACATCGTCATCATTTCGAGTCTGAGTTTTTATTTGAAATTCATACCACAATCCACATCTACCAAGTACCAACCTTTGCGGAGAGTTGCTGCTGTTTTAGATCTGCTTCATGTTGGTGACTAACCACCAGTTTCTTCAGGTCCCTTGCTTTGCCTTGCAACTCCATGATGGACTCATCCTTCTTCTTTATTGAAGTAAGAGCCTCTCCAAGCTTAGAACTGAGCTCGTCAATCTTTTTCTCCAAAATTGACTTTTTATCCGTCTGCAAGAGAATCATGATGACGTATCACGTAATATCTAAATATAGGGTACTTAAGTGCACGAAACTATTAGAATAAAACCCATTATCGGGAATTTCCCCACAATGGGGAAATGATAATGCACCATGGTCCGTGACGTTGGTAGGGAGGGAGGGTGTGTACTCAACACTAATCGAGGAAAACACTTACAATCAGATTGAGATCGTCCACTGCTTGTTTATGAGTCGCATGTAGCTCCTGCAGTTCCTTATCCATGTGTTTTAAAAGTGTCTCTTGCTTCTCAACCTGGAGGAGAGGTCAATTCAGTTATCTGAATTAATTTAGATAATTAGATGATTAGATGATTAGATAATCAGATAATAATATAATAAGTAACCTGTCACCTTCAACTGTCATTAAATTGTCCACAAAATCATACATCTGTCTAACACAAAAATTAACAAACATTTTAATAATAAATGGTGTTTAAATAATATTAAGCGACACTTATTCAGTAGTGTGAAAAGGCTATATTAATATAGAGGCCCAAATACTAAGATTCAAATAAAATGCAAGACCTACCAAACAAAAATACCAGTTTTAACTCTCAAAACTGCACTGTGACATACTCTATATACCCATTAAACTGATAACATCTTGGGAATAAAGCTTCTCCAAATCATGTTGTGACAAATTGAATAAGTATGTCTTTAATAACACACCTTAAACATTTTAAATTTTAAAATGTTTAAGAAACACTGTCAGCCACAAAATAAGACAGCTAAATTGTTATAATACGTAAAAACTACAGAATATCCTCAGTGTAAGGATGCTCACCTGTTCGGAGAGGTGCTGGTTATCGCTGCAGACTGCTGAGATCTTCTGATCTTGCTCTTCTAATTTTTCAAACTTTTCTTTGTTCTGAATTACAAATTACAATGTCAAGTTTGAGTGCAAACTGAAAGTTTTCCGAATCAAATCAACATAATACTTTTGATTTCCAATTTATAAAAAACTTTAACATTATATTCCAATTTATCTTTTCGATTGAGCATAATATCTCTCCATCGTATGTTGATGGGTTAAATTAATGAGTTTTAAAAATTATCTAAGCTACATCCTAGATCTCTCAGCTATGAGTACCCTAGTTCACCACAAAGAAAAGAAAATATTGTGACAATCGAAGGTTAATAGGGCTACGTACACGGCTGAAACATCTACGATCAAAAGCTTTCCACAAATAAAACGATCGGATACAATTCGAAATTAGAACCATTTCGAAGTTGCTGGGAGTATGGTAGCAACCTTCTTTCGTCACAATATTATATATCTCACATACAAATACATAACTTGTCACCGATATTTATAAATATAACTGTTACCAAACAAAACTCTGTACCAATTAACCCTGAAACTTAACTCTTTATCCAACTCAAAAACTGAGTTCACGTTAAAATATTAATATAAATGAGGTCTATAAAAGTTGACCATCAAGGATTCAAGTCGGTCAACAACTGATAAGCAAATCGTATCCTGTGGAACTAATCGACACTATAGTAAGCACATTCTATCACTATAGTGACGAAAATAAACAGGTAAAATCGATTGTCTACGTATAAGGTATAACATTATTTACAATTAATTAAGTTTATTGATTTAAGAAGATCTGAATTAAATATGAATCAAGAAGAAATAGTACACTTATTAAAAGAATGGTTAAGTTCATACGCTTTTCTTTCGATAAAATAATAAGCAATCATAACTGAGAGAGAGAGAATAGTAACATGAAAATTTGTGAGTGTTATGACGTCATAACAATGACGTCATAGCCTCAAGAGTATCTGTTTTTGTACATGTCCATATCCCGGAGATACCGGTTTTTAATTTTCTCATCCTTGATGGGTGAGCTGGTGCGGAGCGGTCTTATGTTTCTAACCTCGTCAGTCAGCTTATCTGAGATGGTTTCCGCGTGGTTCAGCTGGTTCTTCAGCTTCCGTACCATCTCGTCTTTAGTGGCACTCTGAGGTGAGGGTTGCTTATTAAGAACTGCTTGATAGTGATGATTTAGATGAAACTCACTACAGAGTGGCTGCAGTGGCATTACATCTTCCTCTGACAAGCGCCAGACAAAACAAAAGTATTTTGTGCCTCACAAGTATGTACTAGTCCCACTCCCTTCACGAAATAAAAATAAACACAAGTATATACCTCTTCCAAAGTTTTGAAGTGATCTTCTTCGCTTCTTAGCAATCTACTTTTTAGTTGCTTGATGGCAACGTCTTTCTCCTCCATTTGTAAGGAGTACTTCTTTATCTTGTCCTGAGTCGCTAACATCTCCGCTCGTAACTCCTGGGAACGAAAGCTCTTAGATAATTGATAATTGATATGTTTCTTTACATGTTTTCCTCATTACTAGTGTCATTTAACGGTGCCAATTTTGAGAAAATGGAAGTAAAACTTGAAAACTAGGAACTCAGATGTTTACGACCCGAAAGACCGGCCGTAAACAACAGAACTAACCTCAGTAGCCTTATTAGCCTGAGTTATCTCGTCCATAGCATACTCATATCTCTTCTTGTAGTCCGCTAACTGTCCGTCTGAGTCCTGGTTCTTGATGTTGAGCTTGTCTCGCTCATCTTCCGCGTGTCTGTGTTGAGCTCTTATCTTCTCCAAGTCTTGTTGTCTTCTCTCGCACGTGCTCTCAATCTTATCATTCTTTACTTTGAGATCGTTGTTTTCGGTTTGAGATAACTTCAGTTCATTTTGTATGGCTTTGTTTGTGTTTTCACTCTGTTCCAACATTGCGTAGTTGTTCTTTAACTTCTCCTGTGCTAGCTTCAGTTCACTTGCGGAGGTGTGTCGTGCGTTCTTGCTGTGTTCTCGATACTGAAGTGGTTGTCTTGGTAACTTATGTGGTTGTTGTCATAGTAATGAGCGATATGTTTGCCATGGTAACTTATGTAAAATTTGTCTAGTAATAAGTAGTAAGTTGAAAATGAACGAACCAAATGGAACTCCTTTTTAAGCTGATGATGGTTTGCCTGCAACTTGGCATGTTCCAGCTCTATCTTCTTCAGAGATGCTTGGGTTGCGAGAAGTCTGCCGTCGGTGTCCCTCAGTACCCTTTCTTGATTATCAAGCTGATGGATAGACGTGATTATTAAAATCATTATTTTGAAAATTTGAAAGCATCAAATAGTTTATAGCTTAGGTACAGTGAAATTTCATCAAGAAACATATTGAATGAATATTCGCCCAGATCTACGGGCAACTTGTGGCTCACTCTAAAATACCTAACATTCTCATCATCTCCACGGTTATACTCTGAGTATTACTAAAATATTTTAGCGGAAATTCTCGCTTGTGTAATTTTCGATCATGTCCAGCGAAAGCTCTCGTCGATATTTGAAGCACTAGTCGGCTTTGTTGTAAACTGTTTCATTTATGGATTGGCTAGGCAATTTAACTTAACAATGGTTTCTTCTAAATACTTCTGCAAGTACAGGCGATTTAGTCTGGGATATACTGATACAGTAAATAAGATTGTCAATTCTCGCGGTACTTTAACTACGAGTTAAAAGGATATTTATCTTGTAAAGAAGGAACACTGCTGCCATCGAGACAAAAGTTATCGGACGTTTAAAAAGTTACAGAATTTAACAGATTGGGCCAGACAGCGATCGTTATATCGAACTCTTTTCTCTTTACTACTACTAGCACATTTCCAATTCAAGCACTCTTCCAATTCTACCCTTGTAATCATTTAAATACTTCCACAACGTAAAAAGTTGCTGTCTAGTAATCCACTCATATACTTGTATCTGGTCCCTTGTCCAGACGACATCATTGATTCATTCCAATATCCCTGTCTAGTCATGATTGGAGGGGGGATGTTTACCGCTAAGTTAATAATCTGAGGAAGATGACTGATATCTTACTTAGATAAGAACCTACTAACAGAGTACAGTGAAAGAAGAAACTTATGGATTAAAATAGAGTAGCTGGGTCTTTGACAAAAATCGTTGCTTTTGTTGAACTACATGATAAATGTCTACAGTATAATGACCTAACCTAATGATAAGGACAACTCCAAGAAACCACCCAAGTCGTAAACTAATTACAACACTACAAATCTATTACATTTATTGAGAATTATGTAATGTAACGTGATGGAAATATTTTAAGCGGGCATATCCTGTCCAAACCCAGGATGCACGACATGAAGAATTCGTTATAACTTTGTATGAAAAGCATTAATAATAGTGAACCAGAAATATTCGACAATTCCGCGATTTTAAAACGGACACAAACTACCCCTCGTCATTCCTCAAAATGGTGCACCGCCTCACGGCCAGCAGCACTATAAATTACCTGCAGGGACTTGCTCTTCTTGAGCTCAGCGAGAGCTGCAATCTCATTGTCCGCATTGTGCAGCTTCTTCTCCAAGTTAGCTGTCCCGATCTGGGCTTCTACGTATTTGTTATTGCACGTGTCAAGCTCGCGCTTCAACTGCGCGATCAGCGAGTCTCTGTCCTCTACCTGTGAGAAAGGGGTGTTGTAAGAAGGTTTGTCTCGGGCTGCTGGTTGAAGTCAGCAGTGACATGAGGTTTGTTAAGCTTATTGTCATGTCAATCAATAGAGTTTGACAATGACATTGGGGCAACGTAATATTTCTATGGTCATTATATTGTGTTTTACAACAATTAATAAGGATAATGGTGCTTTATGTTAGAACTGGTCAATATTTTAGGACATAATAGTTTTATCAGCAGTAAGTTTATTTATTGTAAAGTACAGACTGGTCGCCATTGTCATATCCCATCTCTACTCTCTAAGATGTTTTCAGTTTAACTTTTTCTTTTTTGTTTTTGCAACTTCATAATTCATATTCACTATCGTTATTTAACAACCAAACAAAAGAAAGATATTCTAAGGGGGAACATTGTAATACGTAGGTGAGAAGTATTCATTAGTCAAGGGAAATTATCATGGTAAAAATTTCTTTGAATGGAGAACTGCCTAACATATAATAGAAATATCATTAAGGAACACCTTTAGTCATAGTACTAAGGCAAAGATATATTCTACCAATTATTGTCCGCTGATATGCTAAGACCATTATTCTATCCCATTGTCAACACTCGAGCTTTATAAGTCACCATGGCGTCATAAATAATTCATTTACAGTTGTTTACTTATTGATTGAGTTTACTGGTTTCCTGAAAGATGATCTCCCTACTGTTACTGTTGCTATCACTGGTGCACATGGGCACTTCAGGGACACTATCACATCGCCAGCTCATCAGAAAATACAACCAACTTAAGGAAGAATATCATCAGGTTCGTTCACTGCTAGGCTGCAGCGTTTACTTTACCTTCTATTAAGACTTCAAAAATTGGCGGCCAAAATTTACATTTCGGTTTTCATTCAGTTCAAATCTGTATTATAATTTATTGATTATATTACAACTCTCAGGATAAGTTATTTCGGTCAACAGCTGACGATAAAGCACACTTTTTGGAATTTTCCAGAACTTCAGAAATTATCGAAAAACACAACGCAGACCATCAAAGCCTCTGGAAAGCTGATTACAACGACTTCGCTCTGATGACCCAGTCAGAAAAAGAACAGCACCTCGGAGTTAACGTCTCCTCACTGGAGAAGCTGGCACGCAGACAGGTGAGAGAGGAGGTAACCCTGGTGACCAGAGGACTTCCAAAATCTGCAAACTACGAAACGAAGATACCACCCCCTAAACAGCAAGGTAGCTGCGGAAGCTGCTGGGCCTTTGGATCCAGTGCTCCTTTAGAATACCAGATAAACCGAAGGAGCGGAGGTATACAGATCCTAGGAGAGCAGCAGTGGGTTGATTGCGTGTACGATAGGACCGGTTGTAAGGGAGGCTGGATGTCCACGGCGTGGAAATGGTCACGTGATAACGATCACATGATTGCTAGAGAGTCTGACTATCCTTACAAGGCAGAATATGGAAAGTGTAAGAAGAATGTTAAAAGTGCTCTTTCGGGGTTCGCGATCATCGAAACCATCAAAATTGAGAAAGGGGATGACGCTGTCGCTAGGGCCATAGCAGATAAATCAATCGGTGTTCTAGCGACGGCAGTGGAAGCTGGAAAGTCATTCTTTCAGTACAAAGAAGGTATTTACGACGAGAAGAAGTGTGGGGATAAAGTGAACCATGCTATGGTGTTCGTAGGATATGGCATTAAGGATGGACGGGGCTTCTTCAGATTACGGAATAGTTGGGGATCGTGGGGTGATGAGGGACATATAAATGTTAGGAGAGGGTTGGACGGAAAGAATTACAACATCTGTAGAACCACTGACTTTGCCCAATATCCGAGCATATCTGGAGGCGATGATGATAGAGAGGAAGATGACGATGACAGTGATGAAGATGACGACGAAGATGACGACGGAAGATGGAAGAAACTTGTCGGGAAACAGCTGAGAGGTGGGATTACGAGCATGAAATACAGTGTGGGAGAAGCCAAAGTGAAATGCGAGAAAGATAAGGACTGCGTTGGAATTTGTTGTGAGGGAAGTAAATGCGAGCTTAACAAAAAAACAAAGTACAGAGAAGACAAAGACAGTGTTTCTTATCTTTTAAACCGAGATGGAAAGGACGATGATGAAGAGAAAGATGAGAAAGACGATGACAGTGATGACGACGGAAGATGGAAGAAACTTGTCGGGAAACAGCTGAGAGGTGGGATTACGAGCATGAAATACAGTGTGGAAGAAGCCAAAGTGAAATGCGAGAAAGATAAGGACTGCGTTGGAATTTGTTGTGAGGGAAGTAAATGCGAGCTTAACAAAAAAACAAAGTACAGAAAAGATAAAGACAGTGTTTCTTATCTTCTAAACCGAGCTGAATAAGAAGACCGATCTTGTGGATGAGATGCCATGGTTTCCTGGGTCAAGGAATGTGGAAATGTGAGTAGGAACAACCACCTTAGATGAAATACCTCTATATATATATTATACAGATAGTGACAATGGTACCTATTTACGTTTAAATGCGTAGAGCAGAGCAATTTAAGGAATTTGTAGTGTTGAATCTTGTATAGTTATTAATTTTCTCACTCAGAATTTTTGGGATTTTTACACATATTATGTTCAATACTAGTTGCACTTGCACTGTAGTACGTCGTTTTCAGTTTTTCTGACTATGAATCTCAAGAAATCACGACCAGGCTCGATAAAATCTAAGCTCAAGAAAACTCAAAATCAGATCAAGACTGATAGCGAGAAGGAAAATATAACTGTGAAACAAAAATAAATTTGACCGGAGTTACCATAAAATTAAATAACATTACAAAATAAAAATGAAACTAAACAAAACTGCATCAACTTACGTCTCTAGAATATTTGACGTTTTGTTCCTTGCCTTGGGCAATCTCCCGCTCCAGCTCATGAATCTTTCTCTCAAACTGTTCCAACTCATCCAAACACTGACGATATTGTTGTTGGGACGAATGTAGCTCGTCCTCCATGTGCTTGAAAGAGTCCTAAGAGACACATTTATAGTTAGGAAGATAGTGTTAGAACCTAACCATTAGGATCTACAGACTACACTGTACAGGTTCTGTGAATCTTACGGTTTTCTATAGATTCACAGAAACAAAAATCAGCCTTAATAAAGTTCTGCAAGCAAAATTTTACCTGAACAAATGCTTTGTGTTGTTCTCCTTGGTGATTCATCTCAGTTTTTATCTGAAGTATCTCAGACTCTTTAGAGGTGATAGTGTCCTTCTTGTCTACCAGGGACTGTTTCAGAGATACTATCTCCTCCTCGTTCTTAATTAGATCTCCTTCCAGCCGGGTAATCTGGAAATGGTGATTTTGTGAAATACTTAAACAAATTTTTTAGCAATTGTTATCAAACCGATAAATTGGTTAATCAAAGTCGACTGGTTGACCATTGACCATGTCAACAATAACAGCATAATTAATGAATCTATACTTCAAGAGTTTAAATTTCCCAATTGGTCAGACTGAATCTATACTTATCTAACCTCTGTGTGTTTCTCCTGCAAGCGGTCCCTCTGTTCCTGGTGCATGGTCTGCAACCTCACAACATCCTCCCTCAGTTTCTGTATCTCTGTACATTTGTCCTGGTAGTCCTCGTCCAGTCCCCTCAGATCTTCTGAGACCACGTTACACTGGTTCTCCAAACTGTCCCGCTCTCCCTGCACTCTGAGGGGGTAGGGGTTACAGACAAGTTGGTAGGATTGTTGATCTTTTCAAAGTAACACTGCCAAGTCTTCAAAAGTGAGAGGGTTCTAAATTAGATCCACACCCTTTTATCTTTCAACTCTCTTACAATACCTGGTTTATAGGGTGCACTTACCTATTCCTTTCCTCAATCACGGTATCTATCTGAACCTTCAAATCTTCGATAGTTTCCTTCTTGTTCTTAACATCACTCTCCAAAACCGATACTTTGTCAGACGCCAGCGCTAATTCGTCTCTAGTCTGAGCCAGGGTACAAGCACCTGACCTGATCTCCTCCTAATGAAATCATACTTTATAGTGAATCGAGGACAAATTAAATACAAAATTATATAAAGTGAAAGTGAAGGTTGAGAATGAGATCATATAAATAAAGTAGCTACTGGTCTAACCTTGAAGGTGTCTATCGACTCGCTCTGAGACTTCTGGAGATTGCTGTTATCCCTGATCTCATCTCGGAGACCAGATATCATCTTGTTCTTCTTGCCAATTTCCTGACTCAGACGCTCTACCTCCGCTACTTGGTGTTCAACCTGGTCCTTTTGCAGGTCCCCTTCTTCTGTCTTGGTCGCTAACTGCCTCGTTAACTCTCTCACCTGAAGTGTATGGTTCGGTTGAAGAAAATTAAAAGCAAATTTTGTGTTCACATTGTCAAATTGGAATAGCAAAAGATAGGCTAAAAATTAAATTGAAATCAAAAGTAAGAGCAAAAGTGTACCTGTCCCTCGAGGCCTCTTATCTGATCCCTCTTTTGGGCGTTCTCAGCGGTAGCAATAGCAAGCTCCTCAGTAGCTGTCTTCAGATCGCATTCCTTTTGTTGCAAGATCTCACTATCTCTCTTAATCTTGCGGGCCTGCAGAGATAACTCCTCCTTTGCTCTGAGGAAATTGTTAAACAATCAGCCATGGTTGCAACTGAAACGGATAAACACTGAAAGGGATGAACATTGGCTGGGGCCTGGGAATTAAAATGTTCTCATAGAATAGGAGAGTAAGTTTTCAATTAATTGCTAAATAAGGAAGTAGTTAAGTTAAACTGACTCGAAGAGGTGTCGTTTCGTCTGCTCGAGCTCTCCCTTTCTATTCTTCAGTTCCTCCTCAGCAACTCTGCAGTGGTCACGTGTGGAGCTGAGATCTGAGGAGAGGTGGAGGATCTCCTTCTCGTTCCCAATCACCTGTCAGAAACACGTATGTCAAATAAGATTTACGTGATCATTTAAATGGTGTTTAATACGGTATATGAATGAATCCATAAACCAGCAGACAAATTGGGACAAATTTAAAAACAAGATTGATTTCAAACTTCTATTAAACATTTAGACTTTTCGAAAATTTCAACTATTCAAACATTTAAACAATTTAATCTTCTGTTAAATGCTGTTTGTACTAAGATACGGATAAAGTAAGTACCTAGTTAAGTGTTTGTATTTTATAAACACTTAACTATATATACACTTCAAAATACTCTGGAGGATTATAAATTATCCTCCAGAGTATTTTTGTAGACACTTTGGGACATCGAATTATTGGCTGCAATTGAGAGCTGGGGAGCCTCAATTCTGTTTTTTTATGATGGATGTAGTTATAGGGGCCATCGAGAGTCGCAACAAATGCTCCAGGTTCATGAAATGAACCAAAATGGACAATAATAACAATCTCCTAAAGGGGCTCAGCATGGCTCAAAATTGGTAAGAAAGTGTTTGTGTCGATCGTACGACCACTACAGAATTACCTTATGTCTAGAACTGACATGAGGGGGTGCATGATGTTTTCATTTTCGCTCATTCCATCAATATTGAACCTGGGGCATTTTTTGCGACTTTCGATGGCCCCTAGGCCTAGCTAATAGTAATACCTATATACATTATACATCATTTACAAATGTTTTTGACTTAATTTATGACTTGACAGGGCAAATAAACCAATGTCCCCGTTTTGTCCCAATACTAGTGTATCCAATTTGTCTACAAAAATCCGAATTTATCGGACCCACTTTATCGGATCTATCTTAATATAAGCTTAGTCTAGTGGCAAAATATGGAGTGATTAAGAAGATCCAGCAATATATTTGTTGTCCATACAGATGTTCTACGGTCAAACCAGGGACCTTCTATTCCAGACAAAACGATATCTTCATCATAATTTACAATATCTTCATAATAACCAAGGTATAACAAATGGTTACCTCTTTGGTTTTGTGGGCCAGTGACTGCGTCACATTAGCTAACTCTGTATCTAGTTGCAAGACCTTGCGTTCTTTGTTCAGGATCTGGTGGTTAAATAGTAAATAGGGGCATAGTTAGCATATTATAACTTTATAACATAGTTAGCATATCATAAAGATATGTAGTCAGCATATCAAAAACAGAGCTTTAAGTTTAACTTCCTGTTCCAGGACTATACTTACAAAACTGTCATGATAAAGGAGTAGTAAACCGCACAATAAGGCAAGTAAACAGTTTGACCAGCGGTTAATCATGGTGACGCATTGAATCGCACCACGTAACCATCATTAACCAGGTTATATTAATCGCGTCACAGTACTTGACTACTGACCTCTTCACAGCGTTTCTTAAAGTCTTTCTGCAAGGCTGCGTAGTCGGCTTGGATCCTTGCCATTTCTTCTAACCTGGAAACAGCCAGGCTGGTCAAAAAACGGGAAGATTTATGTAGATTAATTGGATTTTGGAAAATATTTCTGCTTTCAGACAAAATCAAGTTAACGGTGCAGGTTGCAGTATCTTACTAAAATGCTAAAATGCTAAAATGCTAAATGCTACAAACTAAAGGTCGAATATATCTTTCGAGCCTTCGAGGCCTGTTGATAAAAACAGGTTTTTAATAAAAAATTTCTATGGTAAGTTTCTGCTCTTAAACTGGTACTTTAACAATTCCATATTAAGGGAACTTTTATATTTACAAAGATTAATTATGCACTATAATATAATGCCTAGCATAACGGAAAAATAAAAGTTGAGAGAATAAAGCCAATTCTCGATCGAAATCAAACTTATATGGCCTGCATATGATCGATAAGCGGCGAAGAATAAACTAATAAACAACTTTTATATAATGACAAATAATAATAATACCTGTCGCTTAGCTCTCCCTCTACAATAGAAAGTTTGTTGGAGGTGGTCGTTAGTTTCTCCTCCGTAGACTTGAGGGTCTTTGTGGTGGACGAGTACTCTGATTTTAACTCAGCCTAAAGGAGCAAACATATTAAATTTAATATAAATAATGTGTCTTATTTTTTGCTTTATTTTTGCGTCGTATTTATAACCGATATTTAAAGTGTTCACTCTTGCAAGCTGCATTTTATCAAGTAAAGTATGGGAACTCTAATGTGCACAGTTCCAAAAATAGACAACAAAAACTTTGCAGAAGCTGTAGCGCACAAATCGATCTAAAAATATCAGATCAAAGAAAATCCATTAACTTTATGATATATCTATTTTATCAGTCTTCAATATCTGTATCTTGATAGTAAAATGATTGCGAGGCTACTAAAATTCGAATTAAAAGACAGAGATGACCTTAAAGCGCAAGCTGTGAGGAATAAGCTTGTATTGCTCAAGACTGGAAACTTTTTCGGGTTAATATAACAAACATCAAAAAGCGTTTAAGAAAGATAATTCAGTATTGAAATTCAGCGCTCAAAGAGTTTCATACACATTAGACAGATATCAAAGAATTTGTACGAGTCGGTTTATATTTCTTATATGGATCTTCGACTGTAAATTGTCTACTAGGCGATCAAAAATTGTCAGCTATTATATTAAATCATTGACAATAGGTTCACTGTTCAGTAAGAACACATGTTATCAGGGCAATAATACACGAAGGAGCAATGTTCACAACCGTGTGACCCAGCAGGGATTTAAAGTGAAGATTAAGCGAGCATGTATGTAAACACTAAGATACTAAACATTTGGTAATGACAATTAGCTGATGGAAAGTGTAGAGAGGGGGCTGTAAAACTCCTGTTATTTTGTAATACGAGAGCGCAATTATGTGGGGATCAGGTGGATCGTGGTTACTTTCGGCGGTTACCATGGCGAGTAGCGGTGGTTATTATGGTTACCGGTTACTATTTTGCTGACTGTGTCCTAGAATTCAATGGACTTTATTTTTAAAACTCTAGTGTAACGGGTAAAATTAATTTTAAAAGATAAATCAAAAATACCGAAATTTTGTAATTCGATTTCAAAGTTTAATAACTTTCATATCAAATAACTGACTTCTGAACTGAAATTTTGAACACCACGACCATCGCAGTGGTGTAACGAAGGGCCCCGCTGACCCCGCTGTGCGAATTGAATGTGGGACAATTTTGAAAAACTTAACTGAGGTACTAGCAAAACTAAACGTTTTGCTAATTGCTCTAGAAACACACTTTTTTAGGGAGGGGCGCCAAAAGGGGAGGGGGCGCCAACAGGGGGGCCCAACAGGCAACGTTACGCCACTGGACCATCGCAAGAAAAAGTATAACGACAAATAAAAAATGATTACAAACATTATTGAAAACATAATAAACTTTATAAAAATATTCAGAGAAAAAGGACGATTAATTAACTAATTAATTAATTCATCTGACCTGTTCCTGGTGCAATCTACCAAGCTGTCCAGTCAGATCCTCAACCTGAACCAAAGTGCACTGCAAGGTGTGTTTAGTGTTGTCGTAGTGTTCAGTTGTTGTTTCTAACTTATCGAGAGTATCTTGTAATGTCTCTGTTCGGTTTTCGAGCTAGCGGGAGGGAAAATGTTAGTTGGTTAAATAGTTGTGAAGTTATTTCGGAGGATTTAGATAATTAAAAATATTTGGTGGGCTAAATATCGCGGTTCTTAAAGTATTTCAAAATAGCAATAAAGTTAAATAGTGTCTCTCCCACAAGCTATTTAATATACAGGATGGCAGGTGGGATGTTTGGAAAGATATTGGATAAATTCCAAACCAATCTAAATTTAGACTTTTAAAATCCTGGGACCTCTCTAGAGAGGTATCTTAATCCTGCAAGTACCTGATAAGTACGGTATTTACATTATAAGCCCGGTACTTATCTGGTTATCCAACCAAAACTCAGATATCACTGAGTTTAAAGACTTCCCATCTGTGCCAATAATTATTACTGACAAGAATTTCATCACATTATTGTATGGGGCGGATGAGTTTAGAAATTAAAGGAGGCCATATCAGCAGAGGAAGTTGTTATGAGTTAGATAATTAATGTGTTGAATATCTGCACTAACTCTCTGGGGTTCCTTTACCTGCCATGATTCGACGTTATAGGTCTTAATAATGTGTCAAGCAAATTATAGTTAGAAAAGTACTGACGCTCTATGGAAGTGGAACACTTTGAACATGGCCTATTATGTCGAATAATTTATTCATTTTTCTATACGGAACAGCTTTGCTGACCTAATTTTAGGCGGGGGACGTACAGCACCTACGTACTGTGAGAATGAGGTATTATCCAAAATAACCTTTTAAGTCGAAATTTTGGTTTAACTCTTCTACAGCACAACTGGCTAAATAAAGCGAAAGGAAAGGATTAATGAATTCCAGGAAATGACATATTGCACATGTGGTCCATACCATCCTTTGCCTCAAATTATCTTTATAAAAGTTGCGTTCTAAGTATCAAGGCCGAGGATACTTTTCATTAATTAAAGCATACGGCAATAAAAACTGAAATCTTTAGTAAGAAGATTAATACTTGATGTTGTCGGATACAAGTTGATTAATAAAGGGCTGAACCCTCCCTAATCCATAATACCAGAGTCTGTGTTACCAAGACGACATGAGTAATGAATTTATACGTCTGAAAGAAAATTTATAAAAAAACATGCCAACTTTAGATACTTAGATAGTATATGTTTTGAAGATAGCGAGGTCCAAAGAACATTAGCATGGCTCATGGTGTATAGAGGACGGAAAATTGTAGTTTAAAATTTTTGCAAACATCTTGAAACGATGAAGATCAATATTTAAGGGCCAGCCCAGGAGTTTGTTTCATTACTCAGGACAGACACAGACTTTCTAACTGAAACATGCAATCTAATCAATCGGATAAATATTATTACTAATGAGATCATGTTTGTCAATAAGCCCAATCCCCAACATCAACAGTGCTTTAAATACCAGAATATAAAGTTAAAATTAGCAACATATTTGCAGAGAATGTGAAGAATAACACGTGAATTCCGCTTAGATAAAAACAAAAAACAAGTAACTACTCTCGTACTTGAAGCGTCTACGGACCACAGTGTAAAACTACACAAGCACAAAAGAGAAGGCTACATACAATAGAGCGGCCGGTCTCCCCACTACAAATGAAGCGTTGCCTGGGCAATTAGTTGTCATGACAACCGGCCCCCCATATAATGAAACACATACACTCCCAGTAAAGTATGCCTTGCTTTATCCCATCATATGCAATAATGGGAGAGCAGGTGAGGTCATTAACTTTAAGCTATTAGCGAATCAGTTCAGGGGTGAAAAACACCATTCGTTAGGCTGGGTAATTATGTTATAAGATAAGGTTTAAACTTATATTCTAGAATACACCAGGGTGCACAGCTGTTTACCTCCAGATATTTGTCTTCAAACGTTCAACCCTACTATAAGTTCCCTGAATTCGATGTATGAGACCTGACCTTAACTCTGCACCTTACGATATCCCAAACATACTTACATCATACTACACCTACAGAACCATATTTTACAGAACAACATGGTTACATGGAACGTTTCACCCCTATACTCTGATGACGATATAAGAGACCTGCCCGGCTGACCCTATCTCTGTACCTTGTATAACCCAGTAGTTAACACCTTATACTAAACCAGAAGCACCCTGCAACTTATACTGAAAACAGCTGTTCGTATTAAACCCTAGTGCATCTTAAGTGTTAACCCAGCACCTAACGCTTGTTGAAAGAGTTGGTCTCCCAAAACAAACCCATACTGCTAACATCTGCCTTATATTATCACAGAACTTAAAGCCTAAATCAAAATGTTTAACCTCCGCAACGGTGGTAAAAATAGTGAACAAAATGTCGAGGGCTGCAATCCGTTTAGCGTACATTAATAAGAAAAGTTTTGCAGGAGATTTCGAAAATTTCAAATTAAATCGTATACGTCATACAACGCAGAATTTAGGACGGAACAAACAACCACAGCAAAAAATCTTCGACACACAAAAGCTGATGTAAAATAAACAAGAAGCTTAGAAACAATACAACAGTTGTTCACTGCAAGTGAAGCGCGATCCAACTGCATTTTATGATGCTAAAAAGTATAAAATTTGGCATGTAAAGTCCAAAAGTTCAAAGTTCGTTTGATAGAGTCTGCTTGTTGAACTCTGGGCCGATGAATAAGATGTGTTGCTGTGTTTGTTGCTATGTGAAGCCTCCGATTGGTAGGTCAATAGGTGATTCAAGCTGAGCGGAATCGTGTATGTTTTCATGTTTGAGGTTAGCATGTATGCATGTATTCATAATTTTTATCGCGAATATTGAATGTATTTGTTTCGAATTATTGGCATAGCTTCAAAACAAAAAGAAAACGCTGAGAAACATCCTTTGAATTTCCCACAATAAACGCCAACTTTTATTCAAGCTTAAGTGAGAAATAACTTACCTTACTCGGGAATATTATAGCGGGTTAATTTATGACTGGGAAAATTAATAACCGGGAAAAATATGGCGGAATTTCCCAAAACCCGCCAAATTATCCCGGTCATGTATTTACCGGTGGCCGACCTTTCAAGTTTTTTTTCAGAGGTCAACAATTTTTCAACCGAAATTTCTGTTTTTGTTACTTGTTAAAGAAGTTATTTCAATTTACAGTTACTGATATTACTCATAAATAGAAAAAAAGACACGTCTAGTATTTGAAGGAAAATAAATCTATAGCAATAATAAGTCAAATCTTCATTAAAGCGTATTCTCATTCTCAGTATCGCTAATGTCCCCTCCATTATCATTATTGATATCCCCCTGCTGCTGACCGTCAAATTCGAAGTTGTATTGTTGTCTTAACAAGACTTTCATTTTGTCCGCTAATGGGGCTACTGCTCTGAAGGTCAGCCGGAGCTTAATTTCCTGCCCACCGCTTGGTATTGGGGAACGTCTTGGCTTTGCATCTTCAACTGCTCCAGTAATCAATCCACCGTGGACCATGAAATAGTGGCACAGTTTACTCACTTCATGGGCAAGAAAAGTGAGAATCACGGTCCACCCTGAAATCTGATTTCTATAACCAAATTGTGATTTTTATAACGAAATTATGGTAGCAACCGCCAATAAAGTTACAGCCCTCCATCCACTGCTTCAAAAGTCTTCTCTAGCACATATGAGACTTCAGGTAAAATATGATGATCACCACCCCCTTGGAACCCCATAATCTGAGTCGGCGGGTTTTTTTATGACTGGTAAAATTTTTGACCGGGAAAAATATGGCGGAATCTTCCAAAACCCACCACTTTATCCCGGTTATAATAATCCCGAGTAAGGTAGTTAATAGTTATGGACAATTTTGATGATTTAATATGCACGGACTGTATTATGTGATGATAATATTATATTAATACTTATCATATTAATACTTAAAAGTTGGATGATTTAATGGTTGCTTGTGAGATAAATTGTGAGCATAATCACGACAGGGCTGGCTAAGACCAATGGGCTAAATGTATTCAAGATACCTTAGTGCCACTTCCATAGTACGTTAAACGTACGTTAACCGTGAGTTAGATAATAGTTTAATGTTTATTAACCGTATGTCAAGGGTCTGTATAAAGACACTTTATACGTTAAGGGTCTGTTTAAATGGTTGGCTAAAAATAAATTAACTGAAAATCAAAACTAAATAAAATTGCTGGCAACTCAATAGTTTAAAAAGGCTCTAACCTGATACTGAGTCTCCTTAAATCTCTGAGACATTTCGTCCAGTTCCAGAGAAAGCTGCTCGACATCGCCCTTCAGTGATTCTCCCTGACAAGGTAACTGTCAGATTACAGAATTCTATAAGTATAGGTATTAGGTAAGTAACATTTACGTCACCGGATCGATTTGGAAAGCTATAAATATAGTGTTCTTCTGCTGCAACTCAGCCGATGTGGCCTCGCTGTCCTACTATGGAATTTTATTTATCGTATTTATCAGCCCCTCACGAGAATTTGTAATAGATATCTGAACTGTTATTAACCTTGTTCTCTAATATCTTGCGTTGTTGGCTGAGTTCTGATATTGCCAGAGATTTTCCTTCCAGCTCTTTCTGTGCTTCTTCCAACTCTTTGGTGCACTTCTCCAGAGTGATAGTCAACTGTAAGAGTTCGAATCGTCAAAAATATTTCCATTTTTGTTTAAAAAACAAAATGTTTGAGATAAGGATTATATGACCAAAGATGGACGAATTATCAAAAAATTTGATCAGACGGTTTGAAATGTATAAATACCTTGTCATTCTGGAGTGCGAGTTCATCTCCTGAAGAAGAGGAAGCTTCCAAGTTGGCTTTTGTTTCTTGGAGTAATTGTTCAGCGTTCGCTAGCGTAGCTGTTTTTACAGCCAAACTTTCTTTCAGAGTACTAACCTGGATAGCAAACTAATCAACAAATGTTCTGAGACTAGGGTTATAAAACACGTGACCAGTCAAACAGAGAAATGGTTAGATATCTCAAATCTTAGGTTCTTTAATTCTACAGTACTTGTTGTACGATTTGTTATCTAACAATTATTGACCTGTTATCTACTATTATTAATTTTGTTTGGCACTTTAAAGTCTAATCATACAAATCCATCCAATTATTTGTGAAATCTAATTATAACCTCCTCCCACACCTACCGAGTTCTCCAGGTCGGCCATATTGTGCTGGAACTTCTCCACCAACTGTTGAGCTATCTGTTTCTCCTCGTGGAGATGTCGGAGTTGTTCACTCTGCTGGGTCAGCATCAAATTCTGGTCCTCCATCTGGTGGACACAAACAGATTTACAGAAATGTGTATTATTTGGATCTGGTGAAACCAAAATGAAACAATATAACGATGTTTCATGGAATTTTGGAATAGCTAATGTTTTGAGTGAATCGCAATAACCAATAATAATTAAGTAAGCGAACCTGCTTTTTTGCATCACTCTTAACCTTCTCCAGGTCCTTAATTTCATCACACTGCTTGTCTAAAGACGAAGTAAGGATTTCACATTTCGCTTTCAAAGAAACTTTAGGATCCTGAAGCAGTGCCCGGGTTCGTTTGTCAGCGTGGAGGAGAAATTCTGTGCAACTCAACAAATCGGTTCCTACAGAGGGGAGATGTCATGTTATTATAATGCGTCACTAGCATGGTGTTCACTGCTCGCAACAATTTGATTTATTGTTTATTGTGCCACACAAACGAAATCTGACAGAGTTGATTAACTCTCATCCTCCAATAAACACTTTCCCCAGCTCCGCAGAACTGGTAGAACAAGTTCCTCAGAATAGTGGGATATCATCCACTCAGTCGCTCAGTTTCGAGCGAACAGCTCAGGTTTCAATTTTAATCGATCCATCCAGTCAGTGATGATAGCGTGAAACAAATTAAGCGGAAGGTGTTCTAGGTGGTCGGGAAGGTGTTGTCGGTGGCTGGGAAGACTGCGCCAATATACGCAGGTTCTACAAGGTGTCCTCCATATAGACCCAATAAAGATTTATAATAATATAACTTTAAGTACCAAAACAATATTACACATCATCTACAAACCTAATTCCTCCAGGGCAAACTGAGATTGCTTTAAAAGATCCTGAGTTGACCTACTCTCGTCTGTAATCGTTGTTAACTTCTCTTCAAAAGATACTATCTCTGACTCGTATCTTTCTATCAGATCTTCACTTGATTCAAGCTGAGTCGCTACGGAATAAAACAGTTATTGAGAAAAGTTCTAGTATGGGATTTTTAAACAATTATTGTTGAATTTGGCAAATTTTCGCAAAACGTACAGCATAGCAAACACACATTGCTCAACAATGGAATGTTTGCAATTTGACTCACTGGTGGTCTCCAGGTGAGCCCTGAGGTTCTGTAAATCCCCAGTATTCTGCTCCTGCTCCTGTTCCAACATCTCTATCTCTTTTTTAGCTGTCTCGTGAGCTAACTGTAGCGAGGAGTTCTCCTCGTTCAGACACGTGTTTAGGCGTTTTAACTCATCTGTTGTGTCGTCTAGCTTGTGGATCTAAAGATACAAATATTATTTTAGCTTTATTCACATTTAGTTGTTTTCACGTGTTTTTATTTTTGCCCCATTTTCGGATTTTGTAGGATCCCGTAATACCGAAGTAGTTTAGCTTTAATACTGAAGTATAGCGAGAGTTCCCATTCATCCCGCTAGCTTCACTGCCTCTTAATCAATAATATAATCAAATGTTGAAGTTATATAGACTATAGACAACAAATTCCACAAGAATTATAACTTTCAAATTGATGTTGATCAATTGATCAATTTCTGAAAGGTAAATCGAGAGGGGAATAAGTTTGTTTAATCAATTTCTCTGTGATGACAGCTTCATCAGAATATCTCAAATTATCTGTGATTTCTCATGACAGATTCATTAGAAATTCTCAAATTTATTATTATGTATATATAGCATTGTTGATAGTATGTCAATAAAATTCAAAATTGATTGAGGACTAATACGATATTGACAAACATTTTGTGCATTGAGACATCATTATAGACATTTAAAAAATGTAATCATATTATTAATTAAATATCTGGCACATTGCGTCATTGCTGACGTTTTAGAATTATTATTAGAATTTCTCAAATTAATTATTAAATATTGTCGGTAGTATTTAACAGGGAAATCATTAAAATTCAAAATCGACGGATGGCAAATATAATAAAGTGACAAACATTATGTGCATAATAATAAAAGTTTTAAAAGTTGAAATATAGCATTTATTAAATATCTTAAACACATTTTTAACGTTTTAGGTACCTGATCTTGGCAGTCACTGTACTTTGCCGCCGCATCATCCACCATCTTGTTTAGGTGTGTTATCTGTATCTGTTGTCTGGCTATCAGATCTTCTCCTTCCTTAACCTTATTGTCGGCTGTTTCCAGAGCAAACTGAACGGTTAGGATTTTTGTTAGGTATTTTGTTGTATTATTACCAGCAGTTTTGAGTTTTATCAATTTTGATTAAATGATAAGAGATAGTTTTATCAGTATTGATTAACTGATAACATATTGTCCACACCCATCCTAAAAAGAATATATCATCAAATATTTGCAGACTTCATTAGAGTTGTGAAGATAGATAAACGGCACGCCTACTAGCAGTGACGCTTGGATATTATATAATATAATCCACATTATCATATGTCAAAGAACTTTATCATTATATAATAACATGTGCCCGACCCGCCGTTCCAATCTATTAGGTCCACAGGTAGAGAATCTAATGGTGGGCGTCAAGGCTTTGACCGTTATCAATGGTCCCACGAGATCCCATGATTGTATTTGCAACGTCAGAACAGCCATTTAAACCCGGTATTATCCTAGTTCTAGTTCAGTACCTTAGTTGTGCTGAGCTCCGTGGAAATGGTCTCATATTCTTGTTTGAGGTCGTCAGCTCCACAGAGGGCGTTACTCAGCTTCTGTTGAACACTACTAAGCTGAAAAAATCGGGAAATCAGAATTTAAATCATTGTCATATCAGAAATCAGAATAATAACCCCATTTTAACACCTGTAAGTGACCCCTATAATCTAAATTACCTGTCTGACCCACTATCCCTATAAGGAAAAAAGAACTCTCTTACCACACCATTCTAATAACAGATAATGCTGAAACTCACCTCTTGCTCCTTGAACTTGATGCTCCTCTCAATCTCGGCAGCGTGGAGCTGTCCCTGGTGTATCTGTTCCTCACGTGACGCAATGTCTTGTGCCAGGTGCTCACACCTCACCCTCAGCTCATCTACCTCTAACTCAGCGGAGGCTCGCTGCTCTTTCAGTCTGTCGATCTGAAGTATAACAGTGAAACATCATGTTACAAGAATTTATAGATAATTGGAGCCACACCTTAATAACCTCCAAACTTCAACACCCAAGATTGTGTTGGTGAAACGGTAATTAGCATGTTAAATGAGTTAAAAACAAAGCATGCTTAGCATTTCAAATATGTACAGAGTACACAAAGATTACTGTATGAAAAGTAAACTCACATCCTTCTTAGCAACCACCAACTCCAGCTCTAGTGTCCTTTGTTCCTCCTTCAAGCTGGTGTTATTGTTCAACAGGATAGAGTTCTCCTCCTCTATAGAGCTCTTGTCTGCTAGTAATGCTTCGTAAAGCTTTCGGCTGTGCGTCACCTGGCCAGAGATTAATGTAATATCATAATGTCATTTCATGCTGAAATGTAATTTCTCATCCAATTTGACCATTGATCCCTTTATACCGAAAACTACCCTCCATTCTCCAATAAGACAAAACATAACATTCCAAGAATATCTAAAGATAAATTCTTACCGACACCGAAAGATCCTCTATTTGATCACCGAGAGAAGCTATTTCTTTGAGGTGGCTGTCAATTTGAGTATCTTTGTCCTTTAGGCAGTCTGTCAAGTCCTCGCACGTACGTTGAGATTTGGACAGTCTCTCACTTATATCCTGGCAGGATGTTAGTCGGGCTATAAAAGAAGTGGTTCGAGGGAATATTTATAAACTGCCGAGAGCCAATGTGAGGTAAAGCGAAGTTAGCGAACCAACCGTTAAAGTTTCCAACAAACATAACCATTAACCGATGATTTGATTTAGAATAATTTGTTCCATTGAAAAACAAAGTTCTGAGAACTTAAAATTATTCATTTAAGAGTACCTCATGCAGCTCCTTGAGGTTGCCTAGTCTAGCCTCTAGGTCACGATTATCAGTCTGAGCAGCATTTAAACCTTTCTGGATGGCGCTCAGCGTACTCTCCAGAGCTAAATTCTAAAAGGGTATAATAAGTTGGTTATAACCAGCTTTCTATAAATAGAAAGCTATTTTAGAACAAAATCCTCCTGTTTAAAATGACTAAAACAATATGATGAACCAACAGATGAGAATCAAGTCACGTGATAAGATAGGATAAGAGCATCTCACCCTCTCCACCATTTCGTTAAGAGCATCTTTCCCGGTCTGGACCTCTATCTCAAGCTGTTGGTTCTGTTCTGATTTGGCATTTGCCGAACCTGTGAGAAAGAAATGTGAATGAAAGTAGGGCCAACTACTTTTCCAACGAACTACAAGTACATACGAACATAGAATTAGAGGAACTGTTGTCTATAAGAACGGACTTATCGACCCCTAGATGGGATAAAGACCTCATAGCGTACTTGATTAGCTACTCCAGTATTAATAAAGTCTAGACAGAGAACTTCTCTGAGAAGACAGAGAACCTACGACCTACGTTCCAAAAGCTGACAAACTATCTTGTGCTCTAGAGAACTCAGTGTGCAGTCTGGTGACCTCCTCTGAGAAGACAGAGAACCTAGAACCTACTTTCCAAAAGCTGACAACCTACCTTGTGCTCTAGAGAACTCAGTGTGCAGTCTGGTGACCTCCTCTGAGAAGACAGAGAACCTAGAACCTACTTTCCAAAAGCTGAAAACCTATCTTATGCTCTAGAGAACTCAGTGTGCAGTCTGGTGACCTCCTCTGAGAAGACAGAGAACCTAGAACCTACTTTCCAAAAGCTGACAACCTACCTTGTGCTCTAGAGAACACAGTGTGAAGTCTGGTGACCTCCTCTGAGAAGACAGAGAACCTAGAACCTACTTTCCAAAAGCTGAAAACCTACCTTGTGCTCTAGAGAACTCAGTGTGAAGTCTGGTAACCTCCTCTGATAGCACCGCATTCTTCTGTTCAAACTCTGTCACCTTGTCACCCAGTGACTCTATTGTATATGTGCTCTGAAGTAGTTTTCAGTCAGAATATAATTAATTAAATAACTCAATAGCCAAATTTATTAATTAATTAATTAGAATTAAGAAATAACATATTTAGTTAGATCATACCTCCACGTTCTTTCTCTCAAGCGTGCGAACTGCATTGGTTTTCGCGTCGAGTTCCGAATTGGAGTGCTTCAATTTTACCGACAATGATTCCACCTGTGAGTCTAAACCCTTGTTTGTGCCCTGAAAATTGTTGACATAAGGAAACTGCTATCAATTTCTAAGAAAGACGTTTGAAAAGAAGTAAAGTTAGAAGGAAGAAGGGAACACAGTGTTGTACATACTCGGGATTCAGCAAGTCTTTGTTCTGCAGCTGTCAGTGTCTCTGATACTTGAGTCAGTTTCACTTCTGCTATCGACAAATCACCTGGAGATGGTATGTTTTTACAACGCGAACGGAGAGAAAAGCTATGCAAAAATTATCTGCAACTGCTTTCTGTCGAGGTGGCAGTTGACCGAAAATTTTTTTCTGCGAATTTCACCGAAACCAAAAAATAAAAATAACTTTGCGGAGTAGTGGTAACAAGCGAATTAGACTCACCGGATATTTTCATGAGAGAAGTGTCTTTGTTCTTCAACAAGTCCCTTAACTCCTCATTTGTGCTTGTCAGTTCAAGAACCTTAAATTGAAAATCATGAACGCTTGATTTTATAATAATAAATTGTCAAAATCGTCGTTTTTGGCTACTACTACATACTATACGAGTTGCTTACAATAATGAACGGCAAATGCGTAAACGTTTTGGCACGAATCAAACAAACCTGATTATTCAGTCGCGCGCATTTCTCTTCGAGATCAGAGATAAGTTCTTTTTGAGATTTCAGCGTTTTGTCCTGTTCACATGCCCGGCTATTCAAGGTATTGTAAGTTTCTTTGATACCTGTAAAATGGACATTAAAATACCAATTAATACAGTTAAAACTTAAAACTACCTGCCATTTTTATTCCGGTTAAAGACTGAATTTACTCATTATATTATTTACTCATTATATTATTGTGAGACATTTCTGAGGAAGCTGTGGCGAGCAGCAAGTATGTCCGGTGTCAAGTGTCGACTAACACTCTATTGACTGTCATAAACCCGAACTATCTGCATGACATCGTGAGCTGCAAATTAAATGATCCTGCAGATTTGGGAGTTACTTTTAGTTGGCAGGCTGGTAGTTATAATATGAGAAGTGAGCTAGAGTGCTTTGAAAAGTGACAGCCATGAACAGTAATAAGTAGATATTAGTTACACCTAATCATTTTGAAAGGTGTCACATGGACCAATAAGTAACTGTCACAATTCAGATGTATTATTGCTGTCACTAAAAATAGAAACCAATTTTCCCATATTTGAAAAAGTTCAAATCTGACATCGACTTCTCATTCTTACTCCGATTCTTACGTCAATCGAGCTTAAAGTATCTAAATCTATTTGATTAAAATCTTCCTTATTTTCAGTAGCATATGCAAAACTATTTAAATTACAAGTTCGAATTAGCCATCAGCATCATCGCCAATTATTGCGATTGTTACGTCAATCGAGCTTAAAGTATCTAGAAATGTTCTGTATATATAATATAATTACAATCTTAAATATCCCACAATTTTCAGTTGTAGCATAAGCAAAACTATAAGTAAAAACTAAAAGTTTGAATTGGCCATCAGCATCATTTTTGATCCAGTGGCGTAACGTTGCCTGTTGGCGCTCTCAAACGGCGGGGGCCATTCGTTACGCCATGACTGCCTTGATCAAAACGCTCTTGAAACTTGCGTAGTTTTCCGAAAATTTTTAAATCCCGCAGAAGTAAATACCAGATTAAACCTTTGAAGTCTCCACTTTAAAATATACTGGTTTAGAATACAGAAAGTTTAAATGGTTAAATAACAGCCCAACCCTCTAAAATTCAGTACTACGAACCTAAAAGCCACGCATTGTGGGGGGAGAGTAAGTGGTGTTCAAATTATAATATATCACAGTCGAATCAAGACGGTGGTACAATACCATGTCGTAACCATGTCGTAACCATATAATAACCATGTCGTAACCATGTCGTAACCATGTCGTAACCATGTCGTAACCATGTAATAACCATGTAATAACCATGTCGTAACCATGTCGTAACCATGTAATAACCATGTAATAACCATGTAATAACCATGACGTAATAACCATGTCGTAACCATGTCGTAACCATGTCGTAACCATGTCGTAACCATGCCATAACCATGTCGTAACCATGTCGTAACCATGTCGTAACCATGTCAGACAGGCAGGCGCAATAATAATAATTTACGGATTGTAACTGAGCCTTTGTTCAATTTGTATGCAAAATTTACGAGTTTTAAAGTTCAAAATGTATGGTACTGACGTAAAAATTTGATTATTATACGAACCCTAAAATTTTGGAGCACCGTATTTTAGTGCTAAACCTACATTTCTTCGGGATCATACAATGCAATATCATATTATTTTGTTACGGTTATTAAACTAATTTGTCTAGGATTACCTAATCATTAAACATGTTGAATTATCCTTCATTCCATAACCGAATCTCCAACAAACCAGATCGAGCTGTTTATCACAATTTCCGAATAGTCTACGATTACCTAATCACTAAACATGTTGAATTATCCTTCATGCCATAACCGAATCTCCAACAAACCAGATCGAGCTGTTTAAACCGATTTTATAACTATTTGATGAACTTTTGACACAAAATCCGAATAGTCACTGAATTGTTTCAACTAAAACGAATTTTAAGAAGAATTGATAAGACAAAAGTTAATTGATTGGATAATTATTTGATAATCTCCAAACCTGAAAGTAGAGCCTCCAGTTCGGTGATCCTTCCTTTCTTCGAAACAAGGTCCTCCAGTGATCTCTTTAAGTCTAACGAGGTTCTGTTAACTGTGTCATCCAGCGTCCTGTTTGTGAACGATCAATTTACTAACTAATAATAGATAATTAGATCATGCGTACAAATCTGTTACCCCCGAAGATACAAATATTCCGTTGATACATTTTTTCAATTTCAAAATATTGGTAACCAAACAGTGCACGTACAAAACAGTGCACGTGCGAGATGGTGCACGTGCAAAGTTCCAGTACTAACCGGATGGTAGCCATATGGTCAGTTAGCTCCTTGTTCAGTTTCCTGTTTACTTTGTCCAACTCATCGTAATCAGACTCCAGCTCCTTGTACTCCTCCAACAGGTCACCTTTTTCCCGCTCACATTTAGTGACCGTGTGTTCCATCTGGGACAGTAACTACTGTTATTATCTTCATTGCACAAATCATCACAAATCTGTTCAACTGCCAAATCATAATCTGCTAGAAAAATATTCCGACCTCACAGCCCTGTCCTATCAATTTTCACGGTGGAGTGGTTGTTTTTAACTGGAATGTTTAAATATTTATCAATGACACAATCTAAGATGTTCACCTCGAGTTTGGACCGTTCCAGCTCCTTCTGCTGCTGGCTCAGAGCCATTAGAGCGTCCTGATACTTCCTCTTCAAGGAGTCGTAGTCAGCTCCTAATGTCGTCAGATTACGGGATCTCTTTAACTCCTGAGCAAACGGAGGGGTTAATTTGTCTATCCCAGCTGCATCGACAGTTTTATTACTTTATAAGTAGCCATGAAAAATGAGCTATAATAGGTGGATTAGATTTCGTGATGAATCGAATCAGTATACTTCATTTGGGCGTGGGCTTTAAATAGGTGAGGAATTATGTTACAACGATGTCATGGTTTATTCCTAAAATAGAACGCAAAACGCTTAATTTCGCAACTCTTTGTAAAGTAATCTCTTTATCCAGTCAACCATTCGGTATACGATCTTTGCAGGAGATTTGACAAATTCTGTACAAAGATTGCAAATTTGAACTAGAAAATTTGTAGGTACAATTACGCAGCAATGTTACAACATCTAGGTGAATGGAACCAGGATATGGTTGTGCAGGATACTAACCCTGCCGATTGTGGTTCTGAGAGGGGGTCCACCATTAAATACTACCCAGCCGACATAATATTTTAAGTGCGGAGAATAATAGCTTAGTTAACGATTCCTGCTTACGTTAGCTGGTTAATTTTAATTTTTTAGATGTCTCGTCAAATTCATTTTAACTTTAACTTAGAATTATGATTATAATTTTTATGGACCATTTAGTTGATACCTTGGCTTTTTGTAAAATGCGTTGAGAAATTTAAAAAATATTGAATCCAGTAAACCAAAATTCTCTTGCTCTTAATATGCTTTTAAAATTTGATATTTATAAATAAATCGATCGCTTCAAAGAGTTTTGTAGGTATTCTGCTTGAGTGCCACCTTGCAATTTGTGCAATATCTACTAGTGCTATCCGCCATAGTTAACAGATATTCCGTGTTGCAATACGAATGAAATTAAATATTAATGAACATATTCGATTAGAAGGATAAAAAAGAAATCTTGGATGGTCAACGTGCAAAAATTAATTATTTAAAAATTTGAAAGCTGCAAAAAAATTGCAAAACAAGAAAGTCTGAGGATATATTTTGTTGTGAAAAATCGATGCCGACCAGCTAAGTCAAAGTAATTAGGTACTGTCATATCAAACAAATCCCAGGGTGGCCTGAACAAGATTTTTAAAATTTTGTTAAAATAGAAAACAATACAATTTTCCAACATGTTAATAGTTAAGATTCGTGTATATAGCGGGAAAAGATCGAATATTTACGAAACGTGTTTCTGTGCGATCTCGGAAACTTCTTATTAAAACTTAAATATAGGTGCCCAGATTTCTATGTTTTAAACTATAAGAATACTTGTGATGATGGTATCTCTAAAACAAACAGCATACAACATACTACATACCTCATGAATCATCCCCCTCATAACACTTACCATCATCCTCCACTATACACTCTGATTTCTCCGGCATCCTCCCCTAGGACTGCCATACCCCAGAGGCAGGCAAAGCATCCAAATGCTATCCTCTTGTGGGCCACCCAGGCGCAGCCAGCCTCTCTAAAAAAAATACTGCCTACCTCTTCCAAGCTGTTCTTCATTTGCTCCTTATACTCCATTAAATCCTTTTGAAGGGCTCGTGTGTCAGCATCTCTTCTTTCCTGTGTCTCCTTCATATCACTGTTGGGAGATTGGAATGTCAAATATTTATTTGAATAATTATTTTTAATATTCAAATAAATTTTATTGAATTACCATTTACCTCACCAGATTTATATCAAAATAGGAATTTTATTTTTAAGTGGCAAAACAAACAAGAAATATAAGCATAAAAGTTAACCTGATCTGATGAAGGGAGTTAGCCAGCTTGTACTCGGCTGATTTGAGTTCGTCACGTGTCAGGGAGAGTTGGGATGTAGCCCCACTGACTTCCCGGGTCAGCTCCTCAACCTTAGTATCACTCAACTCCAACTAAGACAGGAGGGGGTCAGGTATAACCACACTAGGCAGGTGTTTTATAGTCTTGTCAGATGGGATACACCCCAGACAAAATGAATTACATGTACACAACAATAGTACTAGCCAATGAATCATCCACCCAACCTATTCGCAAAAATTAAGATCACCTTCTTCATCAGAATCTCTATGTCCCGATTTTTATCATTTAATGCGGACTCCAATCTCATGACACAGCTCTCGTTGTCGATCTGTATCTTGTTCAGAGCTAGTTCTTTGGTCGTGATGGTGTCCTTGTGTGACACCAGGTCTGATTCCAGTGAGAGGATGTCCTCGTTTCGAGATTTTGCCTGAGAGTTAGACAAAGATTCATAAACTGTCTAGGTATTTAGATTTTATGTAAAATGCGCTTGAATTTTATTTGCATTTTTTCAAATAGGTTTAGGAACACATAGTGTCATAATATGTAACTACCTAATCATGAAGAATATGGAACCAGCACAACTATTTAAATATTACAGTCTATAACCTTATAACCTGCTGCTGATGTCACTAACTGTTAGTCTCCCCACAACTATCACAGCCTCCCCACAACTATCGCAACCTCCCCACAACTATCACAACCTCCCCACAACTATCACAGCCTCCCAACAACTATCACAGCCTCCCAACAACTATCACAGCCTCCCCACAACTATCGCAGCCTCCCCACAACTATCACAGCCTCTCCACAACTATCACAGCCTCCCCACAACTATCACAACCTCCCCACAACTATCACAGCCTCCCCACAACTATCACAGCCTCCCCACAACTATCACAACCTCCCCACAACTATCACAGCCTCCCCACAACTATCACAGCCTCCCCACAACTATCACAACCTCCCCACAACTATCACAGCCTCCCCACAACTATCACAGCCTACCCACAACTATCGCAGCCTCCCCACAACTATCACAACCTCTCCACAACTATCGCAGCCTCCCCACAACTATCGCAGCCTCCCCACAACTATCACAACCTCCCCACAACTATCACAGCCTCCCAACAACTATCACAGCCTCCCCACAACTATCACAGCCTCCCCACAACTATCACAACCTCTCCACAACTATCACAACCTCCCCACAACTATCACAGCCTCCCCACAACTATCACAGCCTACCCACAACTATCACAGCCTCCCCACAACTATCACAGCCTCCCCACAACTATCACAGCCTACCCACAACTATCACAGCCTCCCCACAACTATCACAGCCTCCCCACAACTATTACAGCCTCCCCATAACTATCACAACCTCCCCACAACTATCACAGTCTCCCCACAACTATCACAGCCTCCCCACAACTATCACAGTCTCCCCACAACTATCACAGCCTCTCCACAACTATCACAGCCTCCCCATAACTATCACAACCTCCCCACAACTATCACAGTCTCCCCACAACTATCACAGCCTCCCCACAACTATCACAGCCTCCCCACAACTATTACAGCCTCCCCATAACTATCACAACCTCCCCACAACTATCACAGTCTCCCCACAACTATCACAGCCTCCCCACAACTATCACAGTCTCCCCACAACTATCACAGCCTCTCCACAACTATCACAGCCTCCCCACAACTATCACAGCCTCCCCACGACTATCACAGCCTCCCCACAACTATCACAGCCTCCCCACAACTATCACAGTCTCCCCACAACTATCACAGCCTCCCCACAACTATCACAGCCTCCCCACAACTATCACAGCCTCCCCACAACTATCGCAGCCTCGTATTATATTGATTATGAAATATGTATGGGGCGGTGCTATATTTAAAGAGTTTGACCATTTAGCTATGCTCGACCCCTGGGTTCCCTCGATCACAGGTAGACTTCCATTAGTAAGCTGCCGGTATCAAGACAACAAATCTACAATCTTTACCAAATCAACAAGCTTTACCGGGAGCAGCCTTTTGCACGGACAAACCAATCAGAGACAACTTTTATGGTCACGTGACCAATAGTGCGACCATTAAACCAGCTACGCAGTGGTCGCACATTTAACGTTTGAGACGTTCAAAATTAAACAGAGAGCACACTGGCCTTGACCCCGGATGAGCAGAGTTTCCACTTTCCGGTGTGCTGGCTAGTGGCTAGCAGGTAATTAGCAGGTAATTAACAGGTTATTAACAGGCAATTAGCAGGTAATTAGCATGTAATTAGCATGTAATTAACAGGTAATTAGCAGGTAATTAACAGGTAATTAACAGTTAATTAACAGTTAATTGGCAGGTAACTACAGTGGGTAGCAGGTAATTACCGGGAGGAACTTTAATGGTGAGTCATGCTGGAGTTGTCACTTTGTCACTAAATGATTAAAACAATTGTACTTCATGTGCAGATTTGTAGGGATATTAATCGCAGAGCACCGTCTTTCCAATTTTATAATTTATTGAAGTTGTACTTGCGTTGTGCAAGAAGCATTTTCAGTTTACAACCATGTCAATTTCTACAGTGGTTTTCTACAATAGTTTTTCACCATTTTATTTTAATTCTAAACTGCCCAGGGAATGGTTTGTACTTAATAAGAACCTAAGAACCTAAATTTGTGATAAATCTGCTTGATAAACCTTTACAAATCTTGGCCATTACTAATTTTATTCCATGAAAGTACAACGCGTTAACTTTTATTAAAACACCTTGGTCAAACTTAAATTATACTGTTAGTGATCCTTTGTGCAAAAGTATAAATAGTATACTGACTTTGTTAATTGAAGCCATGTCATATTTCAAGATGGCCCACTTAGTGAGGTGCGGTTGGGAATAGTTTCTGTGATGAGAAATCTAAACTCTAAAGTAAGTGATGATCTAAGTCAGAGACAAAAATATGGTCCCGATTGCAATGTCTGCAACATCTGCAACAGTCAAAGGTGTTTCTTTAAAAAATGCTCGCCTCAATATATTGCTCAATAATAAGTGGATATAACTGACCAGATTTTCGAATCTGAAAGCTATTTTCAGATAAGAGAATGTGGTTTTGAATAGGTGTTAGCGATTCAGTTTTCTTCCTGGTTAGACAGAATAAGGAGGGATATAATTAGGGACAATTCACACATTGCGTAAACCAAGCTGTGGAGTTGGGGAGGGGGTTTGAAAACGGTGATGCAAATGTAATTTCTACACAATAGCAAAGTGAACTGTGGCTTACCGAGTTGATGTGGAGAGGTTGTGTAAAATAGCCAAAATAGCCGGTGTAATATCAAATATGTAAACGAGCTGATATGGAGATATAGCCAGCGTAATATCAAATATGTGAACGATCCCTAATTAGATCTCTCTAAAAAGCAGCACTTGCCCAATGAGAGTTAACTCTGGCTTCACAAACTTACTCTGGGCCAGGGACATGGTTGGGAGTAGTAGCTATAGGATCCAGAGTAAGGGGTATACATACCACGTGACTGGAGCTTACTATCTGAGTATCACGTGACAAAAGGGAGGTCTCTGTAAGCAAACTGTGGACTGGATGTTCCCCAGCTATGTGGACTGGATGTCTAGTTCCCCAGGTATTTGATATCGGTAGGACGCGTCAGTTGCATCGAAAACGAGGGCTTCGGGCTTGTTAAAGGGCGCAGGGTTCTTGTGTTACATCTATTGCCTTGTTACATGAAAGTCGTGAGTTCTATTAGTTTTTTCACGTCCATCGAACGTATAAATCGGACGTTTTTTCGTTAAAAAAAGGCTCAATTTTGGAAAATGCCCCCCTCCCGGATAGCAGGTCTGCGCGGGTGGTCATTTCGCCTCTGCATTCACGTTTCTAACTAAATTTTTCTTGTAAGGTAGAAAACTTTACTTCCCTTGCCATTTTACATGACGTGGGTAGGATATAGCTTGTCACGTCGAGACCAAATTTTATATCAAAATAATAGAATATCATATTATGTTGATAGTTGGACATTTCCTACAAATTAAGTGCCAAACTTATTTTATTTATTAAGATATAGGCCAGCTAGTCACCTGACAGTTCAAATAAGTTATTTTATAAGGAACCGTTAATTGAATATCTCGACGAACTGCGTAAGCAACTGCTGATATAACAAACCAATTTTTATTTTTTAAATCAAGGGACAGCTTAAATATTCTACCAAATTTCCCCCTGGGATCATAACAAATTATTTGATCTGACCACATTATCAGAGTGACAAGCTTGTAATTAACTATTGGGGAGTAAAAAGGGGGGGGGGGGGGGAGATAGGGGGGTAACAAACATTCAGGACAAACATCAGGGTAAAGGTTTCAAATCGAGAGACTGTGTGTCAATGTCTAAGATAAATTATAACGGAAACCATTCTACAATACAAGCAAGCAGTGCATCTTAACAATAACTGCAAGGCTTGCACCAAAACAAGATATTGTGTGGAATTAAGGGCCCCGAAGCTTTATTTTCTCTTCCAATCACAACACGGAAAAACATCACGTGACCAGTAACCCACCAATCAGAGATCAGACCGTAGTCACGTGGCTGGAACATTAGCCAATGGGTACCCAGGGCACGTGATCCCCCAGCAATTATAACCTTCATTACGGGTCGAGTACATCCTATACCCCTCTATTTGGGCGGTAATTGCCAGCTGCGTTTTGTCTCCATGGCAACCGAATATACCCATATGGGCGGTTGCTAGGGACATAATGTAAGAGTGTATATTTAAGTGGGACTGTAGCTCTTTATCATCTCTTTGTTCACACGAGAATACGCAGTTTACCGGGCAATGCAATTAGGCAGCTTCATTAACAAATAACGTAGAGTCAGCCTACTGGGACAATTACTGTAGCGACAGTCTTCTAGAATAATCCTTGTGGGCAAGGTATTTTAATCAGCTGATGTCAATCAGAATAATGGTTATAGGAGTAATCTAAAGTTAGAAGCTATGAAGATTGAAGAAACAAGAGGAAATTGGTTATACGAACACAGAACCCAGGAAACACAGTACTAACCTTACTTTCCAGCAAGCCAATGTTTTCCTCAAACTTCTGAGTCTTGGATTCCAAACTCTCAATAAGATAATCTTTTTGAGTTAACGTCTGTCTCAAAGCTGAAAGTATCGAAAACGTCAAATAGAGAGAATCCAAGATCAACTCAATACTTAGCTCATGTCCCTGACCTTGTATACCCAATAAATATGTTAGGAATGTCTTGAACAATCCTAGCAGGTTCCTAACCATCCAAAAATCATTACCCATTACATTACTCACCCCCTAGCTCGCGTTGTGCTTCCAGCATCTTATTCTGGGTCGTCTCCAAAGAGGCAGCCGATCTTTTGTTCTCTTCCTGGATATCACTGCATCTCTGTTGGGAGAGTGATATTGCTTCTTCAAGAGAGTGGATCGTCTTGCTATCTGCTGCCATCTGGAGTTGGTAAGTGGATGAATATTATTATCACGTGATTCAGCTCAGTCACTGAGAATCGTCCCATGGATTTTAGTTGATCTACAAAAACTTTCAATAAATCAAAAATTATCTCGAGGTGAACTGTATTATACCTTGTCATTGCTATCAGTGATGGTGTGTTTGGATGACTTTAGCTGTTTATTAAGTTCGTCCAAACGAGTTGTTAACTTCTCACTTTCTGATAGACTTTCTATCAACTGGCGCTCCTGGAAGTAAGCAGATTCGATTAAGAATCGTGACAAGGAAATTCGCCGCTAAATTTTTTCCCGATCCATGACTCGTGCCGAAGGCAGAAAAGAGTCAAGGACAAGGGTTAGCGATCGAGGTTTTTTTTTGTATATGGTAGCTTTGCGACCGTGCCTGCGAGCGTGCGAGCGTGCGTGCGTGCGTACGTGCCTGCGAGCACTGTTATCGCCCACGTGACTACCTGCGCAAAGTTATTTTGCGTGATAATCTGAATTATATAATTGTTGGCGCGCGGCACTGAACCAACCAAGTACATTATTAATTTCATCATGTACGTATCCCACTAGGCACTAATTGATAGCATATTATTATTATTTTGAGTTAGTATTACTATGTTGCACAGATCCGTGTCAGGTTGCATAAACAATAAACATATGGTTACATAGAAATATACACGATTTTCAAATTCAATATAGAATTATATTAACTGGGCGGCGCTCGGCAGTCGGCATGTCACTTCGCCATATTTGCATGTTTATATAAACAGTAAAGACTGGGCCGTCCCCAGGTTGTATGGAATATGATAAATACGCCATCACGGATCGGGAAATTGAGCGGCCATCCACAAAAGAAAAGCGGCCGCATTTCTTGTTATGCTTTGAAAAATTTAAACAACCTTAAGTTTTTAAAGACACTCCTGAACAAATTTGTCAGATTTTATGGTGGTGTTTAATTTTTTTGGTTTGAGTCGAGGATTTTAAACGTATTTCAAAGCTTTTCTCATTCTATACGTGACTAGTTTAAACTGCCTACGTGACTACTTTAAGCTGGTTAGGCTGCTTAGTTTAGCGTGGGAAAGGAAATGTATTTGCAAGGAAGTAGGCTTTCTACAATAAATATGTTCCTGAGCAATTTACGATATAATTTGCAGCATATTGCAAAAATCAAGGTGTCAACGTCAAAAACCGATAGCAGTGTACGTGTTACCACAATCCTCAAATTGAAATGGATAGTGAACATTTTGAAGAGTTTTACGAACCCTTATTAGGGATCGGTATTAAGGAACGCTGCAATCTCTCAATAGTCCTATGTTTACAGTATGTACACTACAATGTATTAATGTATATTGTAGAGTAGATGTACTCAAGGGGTATCATAAGAAGATCTTTTGGCAACGCCCCTCCTCATTTAACCCTGGATCACGTTTCCGGTTTCCGATCATTCGGCTGAATCGACCAAAGAACGCTACAATCTCTAACACCCACAAAATTACAAAATAACCCTACCTTAGAATAAAGCGAGGAGGTGACAGTCTCGAGTTGAGATTTCAGGGATTTGTTGTCCTCGTCCATCTTCTCCAGTGTCAAGCTACTCTCCTTCTGTTTACTGGACAATGTGTAGTTCTCACTTTCTCTACTGGCCAACTGACCAGTTAGTTCTTCTATCTGGGATCCTGTGAGATAGGAGGTAGAGTTAGCAGTTAATGAAACTTGGTGACCTCCGGTTTTTTAAGTGTTAACCTTCATCCTCGACACAAAACAAGCGTTTTATTTTTATAAAACTCAGTTTAAAATAAGTCAAATTACCTAACAGACCAATAACATGATATATTAACCATCAACCTCTTTCATAATAAACCAATTATGGGCAATTATGTACCTAATTTAGAGTTGGACTTCTCCAGTCGCTCGATGGTCATCTCGCCGTGTTTCACCTCCATAAGCCGGGTTTCATTCTGCTGTTTGGCTAGGGCCAGCTCTTCGTGCAAATAGTTTGTTAACTGCTTCTGTTGTGCAACCTGTCCCGGTATGTTGTTATTAGATTATTTAACATTCAATTGATTAACTAATTAAGCCATTATTGATTAGTGAATTAATTTTGTGTCTAAACTCTAATGTCTAAACTTTAAGCAATATTCATGTTGCAGAAGGTATTAATATTATTATGACCGTTAGATTGTTGAAATAGCTAAGATGTGTTTTCGACGTATATATTCTCTCCGTTAAGTCTCATTTTATGATTCTACAGGAAATTTTGATTTTGGGCGTTCACAATTTACGTGATCGTAGATTTGTCTGAATTTAATTCGAGCGCAAGATGGCAGAAATTGTGTTCTATAGGCAGTATAATTTAGCCGGTAATGAAACCTGTGCTAGCCACCTTTAGTTTTAGTCGCCTATAAAATTCTCAATCCTTCTTTCATCTTAGCAAATAATATGCTCTGTTCGTGACGGTTATATTCCAAGAAGTTAATTCTCCAGTGGTCTATTGACGCAGGCAAGATCGGTCACAACGCAACGGAACCATCCGAAATGCAGCCACTTTTTAGGAATCGATACATGGTTTTCAAATGACATCATGATAAAATATTAATAGTCCCAAGAATCAAGGCAATTCGGTCTCTTCGAGAGCTTGTCTAGTGAAAGTCGAAATCTGAAACGGCCATCGTAACTGAGAATTTCTTACATCTTGGGTGGTCCATCTGCCATCACAGATAACCGGTTGTATAACCCAACCGGTCTGTCAGATTACTCATGATTGAAGCTTGAAGAATGCCTACTTTTTATAATTATAAAGAACCAACCTCGTGGGAAAATAACCTAAAAGCAGCAAGTTTGTCTTTGATGACAAGCAAATATGACAAGGTAATAACAAACCCTTAACTTATAAACGCATTGAGAAAAATATTAATATTTATCGCGTTAAATTTCTATCATTATACTAAATACTTATAGCTAAGCCAGTACCAAGGTGTATGCAAAGTATCGGCAAAGGGAGTAGCTGGGAATAGGCAGTTACTTAAGAACGCTTTGCTTGATAATTTAAAACCTTTCCCAAAGTTTCAAGTTCATTGTTCAAAATTTGGCTGAGTTATGACCATTTCAAAATTCATCGGATACGTGATTAGTGAATTATCTGTCAACCAATCTGATCAAACTTAGAATGCAGTTTGCAAAGTATTAATAGTTTTTATACGTTGATTTTAAAACTAATCGAGTAATATTCCCGTAGTCATTTTGATTTACCAGTAAATTGACTTTGGCTAGACGTAACACCAATTTCTTCGTAAAAGTTAGTCTGAATTTAACGAGGAAGATGGCGAAGATTGCTGACTTTATGCAGTAAAATTTTCAGCCGGTAAGAAACGCTGTGCTGCTCCTTGTGATTTAGTCGCCTTAAAATCTCATCTCTTTAGATCTTAGAAAAGGTTGTTCGCTGACGGTTAAGTCCAAGATGTATTTCGTGCCAATTTGACGCTGTAACATCAGGTCACAACACAACGGAGTTTACCTCCGAAATGCAGTTCGACTTTTGGAATCGAAAGGGTTTAATGAATCATGATAATATCAAAGCCCCAGCAAGGCAATTCGGTCATCTTTGAAATTGCTGTTCTATAAAAGTGAACAGTCTCATTTTATGAAGAAAATAGTGAAAAATAGGGAGTGTCACGCCACGCCCACTATAATTGGGTGTGGCTTACAAAACTTTCAGGAAATCTAAGTTTGACCCATATCTATAATCTCTGAAATTTTGGTGCAATTTGAAGACGAATTACGTGAGTTATTAAAAGGTTGCGTGTGGGTAGTCACTTTTGGGCCACCCTGTATATAACTTATATAACAAATTATATGCTCCTTTAAACCTGTGCTGACTCGCCTCTCAGACATAAATAGAATGAAGATAATTTAACGGTTATTTAGTATTTATAAGTGGAAGTTGTAAATAACTTTGAAATTAAACTTAAACCTGGCGCAGAATAAACTGTTTAGTTTACAGTGCAGTTATTGAGTTAAATTTATTTAAAGATTTGACTCAAGAATTCACTCGACGTAGATTAACCGGCACCGTATTTTTAGAAACAATGTCACGTATTATTTCTAATTCTGGAAATAGGCTTGTGGTCATTCTTGGGCTTTAGATTTCGTACGGTGAAATATCAGTTGCCAAAATCGCGCGGCTCATCAAAAAATTCTCAAAATAACGTGTACTCCTTCACAAAGTAAACCTCATCCCAGGTGTATCTGGATACGGGAGAGTAGGATCTAGTCTTGTTGGGGGAGGAAGACGCCCTGTGGGTCGGAGAACTGAGGTTAGAACCCGAGCTCATCTAGTCATCTGTTATTATATACAGTACTCTGATTTGCTTGGCTAAAGATTCGATATATGATAAATATTGTTGCTTTGAGAAGATATTATCATGCGTAAAAAACATTTTATGAGAAAATTATCAAGTGAAAACGAACAAATTGTCACACGAAAGATGGAAATATTCAAACTGCAGAATCAGAGTTTAGATGTTTATGAAACGCATATCAAATCAGCTTAAATTTATTTTCTTAAGTAAATCAGAGTAAAAGCTCTTTAAAACAAAATCCATTTGGAAGTCAAGCAACAACCTAGTACAATAAATATGCGGTTACAAAGTTACAAAGTACACAGAAAGTCTCAAAAGTATCAAGAAGGAATTTCCAAAATGCAAAGTTTTGTGGCAAAGAAAATGCTCTTAACGATGAGCACAAAAACGTGAGTGTCAGATGTATGAATATACACAGTAAACTATGTACATGAAAACACAAGTCCCTACTGCAACTGTCTACATGCTTTACCAGCACTCAGCCTCTTCCACACACCCCTCGCCTCTCAGCCTTTGATTGCACGATAAGCGCTGACTGTGGAAGAGGCGCCAAGAGTTAATAGCATGCCACCTAGCTGCAGCACAACATGTCATGACACGTGCTGTATCACGTGGACAGAGACCTTGGATCTGATTGGAGAATAAAACAGGGACTAAGCTCACTGATTGGACAGAAGGGAGAGATCTGTTACAATTGGAGGATGGCGAGGAGGGAGAATTTGAAATCGAGGAGGTGATTTGTACACCTGACACTACCGATAGCAAGAAAGGATTATAACTGAGAGTGAGAGGTAAGGGAGTCAGTTCAAATGTGACTCAGTCTCAGTGAGCATGTGGCCTCGGAGTGTAGGGTCATTTGTGACATGTAACTGTCACGCTGCTAATTTTATCATGTTCTTTTACCTTGACTCTTTCTTACCAGGTGGTGGTTGCTGGTTACACACTACACAGCATAATTTTCGGTTAGAAATTTATCTTAACGCGGCTAAAGATGTAGCTATGTTTTTTTTTCTGGCTATAACAACGTTATATGATACCTTAATCAGGCAGGTTTCAAGAAATTAAAGAATTTCTTGAAGAATCTGAAGTATAACTATTCAGTACTCATGAAATATTGAAGTAATCTGTCACGCACCTGTTCCTTAATTATAATACAATTCTTATCCAAAGTCTCAGCATCCTGTAAAATCTCTGACTTTTCCTGCTCCAGACCAGATATCTGAAAAGAATATTTTTAGGAAGCACTGCAACAATGAAAATAATGAATACCACAGTCTCACAGTCTGCATTCTCAGAATTCAGGCGAGATGGCTGTTGAAATTGTGGTGTTTTAGAGGAACAATGTGGTTGAGAGAGTATAAAGATATAAAAAGACGGTATGAACTATGAATACAAGGGATACGTTTAAAGTAACTTAAATAACGTCACAATTAATAATCTCTTCAACTTTTATTACTTTTGCTATTTGCTCACTACACGCTATTAATATGTATTTGCCCTATTATTGAACAGGACCAATAATTTGAAGCTTGCTGATCTACCTGATCTTTTAGAGCGGATACATTGTGTTCCTGCGCTGCTATCTCACCCCTCAACCCATCACACTGCTCCTGGTAGGACCTCATTGCGGTGATAGCTTGGTCCCTCTGTCCCAGAACCTCCTCCACCTGAATTTGTTACATTCAAGGAGCGTGTAATACTAACCACATTCCATAGTCCACATTCCAGATAAGCAATTATAATTTAATTTAAGCCACCTTATTGAGCAAGGAAAGCTAAAATTTGACAATAATAAAATATCTACAATCTGATAATACTCGTTAAAAGAAATGATTCGTGTGAAAGTAGACGAGGGAATATTCGACCCTTTCTCTATTGACCTCTTATCAACGATTAGACAAAGGGATGTCTAATGTTGGGTGCATGGCCAGTTCGAAATCTTCTTCTAGTTATTTTTATATTGCGTATAGTTAACTTAGTGAACGTATAGTTAACTTAGTTAACGTATACGTTACTTAGTTAACTTAGGGAACTGGGATAACCTACCTCCTTGTTGAGCTGCTCTATTTGAACTGCCTTGTTTTCTCCTTTTTCTGCTAAACTCTCGATAGTCTTCAGGTGTGTGTTCGATACCTGGGCACCATTGTGCAATATCAGTAAATAACAGTTTAACGAATTAAACGATCGCAAGTGTTTTAATCGATCGAGGAAAAGGTGTGGTTGGTACTCGTAAAAGAGTGGTATTCGTTATAAACATCAAAAGCACATCAAATGTTGATCAAATTACCTCGTTCAGCTTGTCAATCCTATAGTCTCTGGTCTGTATATCCTCGTTCAGCAACTTCACCTCGCTCTGGACCTCATCCAACCTGCTCAGCAGCTCCTTGTTCTGCTGATCCAGAGATGAGATCTCCCCCATCTTCTCTCTGATCTCGCTCTCCAGAGAGTGAGCGTCTTCTTCAGCTTCATGCCGAGTTTGATCTAGGTTTGACTTGTACCGCTCTAGTTTTGTCTGGAAAGACGGGGAACTTTACTTTGGGGACACGTTTTTTTTTAAGTGTGGTGAAAATGACTTTGAGTGCCATGACACTTTTGACAGTGAAAGTGATATGACTAGTAACTAGAAAGTGTTGCACAGATATGCCTTCAATCTTAACTGCCCCTGTAAGGAAAATCCATTACTTAGTTAATATGTTATAATATAGTACCAAGGCAGTGCCAGTTTTCAGCATTTTGGACTATAATGTTGAAAACGCCCATAAAAAACTGAATTTTGCGACTTTTCTGTTCAAAATTCAGATTATGTCTCAGAATTATTCAAAGAATATTTGGATTTTGGTAGGAATACTTGAACTGTGCTCAAAATAAGCAAACAGTCATTTGTTTGGTAAAATTTCTAGTTTTGTTGAAGGGGTTGTACAAGGCCCATACTTTTGATCAGCTTGTGAATGAACTGTAACAACTTTCAAGAAACGTTGGTCTGTAATAATGTAACCTAGGAAAAACCTATTGTGTGCCTGTATTCAGTAAAAATTCACTCACAAAATTACAATTGATTTTTTTACATTGCAGTAGCTAGACAGCAACAAATTAGAACGTTTTTCAATCATACTGTCGAGATTAAGTCTGCTCAACAGCATTCTGTTCGAAAATCAAATTAAGAGTGTGTCAGTTTTCAGTAAAAAGTCATTTTTAGGTCAAATTCATCACGATTAAAAATTCAAAAGAAATGACTCTTTGCTGAATATCGGCACTATACAATTGATGTTTGACAGCATAAGCAGGTTTATCAAGATGATTCTTTACAAAATCTAACGATATTGTGTGTTCTAATTCAGCAAAAAGTCATTTTATAAACAATATTTCTAGCTTAAAATCTTCATAGAAATGACTTTTTGCTGATTATTGGCACGATAAATTAGATCTCTGACAACAATATCATGTTCATCATGGAAATTTGGTACATACTATTGATGTTTGAAGTTGATTGTGCCAGTTTTAAGTTAGTTATAGCAGGTTATCACAACACTGCTTACAAAGCACAAATTTTATGTGATTTACCATTGGTATATGCCTAGAAAAAGAAGTCATTTTAAGCTGAATAATGGCACACAGTGCAACAAAATTGTGCCACATTAAACAAAAAAGGCACACCGCTCCCTCAAACAATATTTTGAACTAAAAAGAGTGCCATTTAGCAGTAAGAATGACTATTTCTGTCAAATAAGTCACTTATTACTGATTTTCAGGACACATATGCTGGTTCAAATTATCAGGATATAAGTAAACTAAGATTCGTATCTGCAACATAAACAATTCGGTGGTTTGAGATGATTAATAATGCTGATATTGACTTACAATAGTTGGTAATTCCCAGGTTGACTGCAGCAGTCACTACAGCTGATTAGTGGCACTCTAATATTATTATCTGTTTTTGACCCCTTTATGAACACATTAATTTTCGAAATAGATGCTTAAACTAACAATAGTACACCCATGGATCAAGAAATAGACAATTTTTGTCTTTTTACATCATTTATCTATATGACTGATATGCTGAATTTTGGCACTCGGGACATAATTGAGTGTAAGCAGTACAGAGTTCAAGCCTTCTTTTAACTGATTAATGGCACCTTCAATCTAAAAGTCAATATGGTGACTGAACAAGAGAACTGAAATTTCGATACTTATTTCATCAATTAGAAAAAATTAAATTTCATGCTGATACATGTGTGACTTTTTGCTGATGGCTCGCACATAGACATGTAAGAATAAGTTTAAAGACACAACCAATCATTGTCTTATCCAGAAAAAAACACAGTTATGCCTTGATCTTTTTAATATTTTGACAAGAACCATCAATAGAGCAGTCGTATTCAGATATAAAAATGACTTTTTACTGACTTCTGTCACTTACTGGAATTGCTAATAATGACTAAAATGCTGAAAACAGTTACTCACTCCAATCTACTAGTGTAATGTGAACAATATTTGAGCAAAATATGGCGAAATCAATGGAATTAGTCAATTGGAGGTTAAATTGGTTTGCTGATTTTTGGCACTCAGTTTAATTGCTCATAAGTCATATTCTGCTTGAGCCTGGCACTTCGTTTTTTCAAATCACAACTGCTGAATATTTTTACTTCATCTTATGTACAAATTTATGGTTGCACTTTAAAAAGTATTGCGACTTTTTCCTCATTTTGTGCACTCTACTTTGAAAAAGGTGAAATCAGCAACTCACCACACTTAAAAAAAACGTGTCCTCGGGCACAGTGAACATCAGCTTTAAGAAAAAATAATAAAAGTGTTTAATTATCGCCATCATTATTTCAAACCGTTGGCCTTGACACGAACAACTAAAAGCGTACTTTAAAAATGGTATACAAAAGTTTCAAACCTGAAGATCGTGAATCTTCTCAACATTCCACGCATTCTTCTCTAACTCCTGGTCGTGTCTTTGTGTGATGACCCTGTTGTCAGACTTACCCTCCTCAACCTTCTCCCTCAGGTCCGTGATATCTTTACCCTAGTACAGATAAGATGGTGGTAAGACTGTGCATGAGCTGGTATTTTGCCACAGCAGATTCATTTTGATCATTACAAATTCAATAACTTAACCAGGTATCCGGCTGAATCCAGCCGGATTATTTTACAATTGTAATTCCGTCTTTATTGGGGATGCGTTGGAGATTTGTCTTGCATTCAACCCTAAAATTCAATAATATCACGTGACTCACCTTATCAAGAATCTCCTCCTCAAGTTTTGAGTTGAGTTTCCCACACTTTTCGTTGGTATCACGCAATGCTTCCAGCAGATTACTGAGCTCTCGTTTATCGTCTTCACTTCTCGATATCATTGATTTCTGTGATAGTATCTCCTCCTTTAACCTGAACATTTTGTCAGCTGTTGAGAGCAACGAAACATTATTTACAAACAGTCGCTATAACGAAACACACAAAAATAACACAACATGATGAGTTTTGATGCAACATGATGAGTTTTGATGGAACATGATGAGTTTTGATGGAACATGATGAGTTTTGATGGAACATGATGAGTTTTGATGGAACATGATGAGTTTTGATGGAACATGATGAGATTTTGACAACTTGTTTTTACCACCAGTAGGAACTCTACCTGTGCGAATCTTCCTGGCACTCTGCCAGTGTTCTCTGGGTATTGTTCAGTGTTTCCACCTTGTTCTGATAATCCTCGTTCAGTTTTCTCATTGTTTGTTGGTTGTTAACTAGTTCTGTGTTCAGACTTTGTAGCTGTGAGCTGCAAAAACATGGTCCTCAAAAATTAATATATTTGTTTGCTTGTTGGTATTTTTTTCCGAAAACCTGTCCCAAAATATCAATATTATTGGTCACTGTAATAGTGCAACAACTCTAAATCGTTGCACTTGAGTGTAAAGTACTAGTGTTTTTACAGGTCGAATGTCTATAATTGACTAAAAGACTACTGAACCTATTAGCTAACCTGAAGTCTTTGCAATTGCTTACAGCAGTTTCATAATCTGAATTCCTTCGATCTAGCTCATTTTCCACCTGAAGAATAGAATAGCATATCGCGTTTTACTGTAGATAGTAGACATCGAACTCAATCTTTCATTTTTAGTTTGTTCAAGAATATAACAATAGCGATGTTTAAAAAATCTACCCAACGAGGATCTAAATAAGCTATATTATACAGGAACCAGAAAGAACTTTAAATTCGTTTAAAATTCCTGAATGCAGGGAAATCCTAATAAAGTAAGGTCATATATAAGCTTCGGCAAGGTGGAGCTGACAGTATCCTTTCAAATCCAGTAATTTCTAACCTCCGATATTTTCTTGCTCAAATCTGTTTTTGTAAGTTCCAAATCTCGCACAATTTTGTTTTTTGCAGACAGTTTATCTTCCAGCTCCTGTATTACCTCTGATTGTGCTCCTGCCTGAGAATTATTAAATATTGTTTAATCCATAAAACGTCAATTTATTCGATTATACATAAGAAATATCATAAATTAAGGATATTTTCGATCTTAACAATTTATATTCTGACGCAAATCGAAGATTTTAACCGAACAGTTTGATCACATGCAGTCGGTGACGCGTTCTGCTAATTCGAGCGAATTAAAGAGATGTTCTAAAGAAAACCAGAATATTCCCGAAATATCAAAGATCGAGACAAGACGTATGTTCAATCAAACTAATTCTGTCAACTTTTGGAACGTGAAGTGTAGTCAAGTATCTCAAACGAAAAAGATCGCAAAAGATATTGCTATAATTAATTTTATTGTTGATCGTAGATCAAGGCGATTGCATCACGATGACGGCAATGTAGGCTATTTCTAATAAAAAGCTATCAAATTGTAAAACTATTATTTCTTTGTGATTATTAAACTGCAAATCAACATTTGAATCAATCATGCTAACTACTATCACCATGCCAGCCAGCCTCAACAACTCTTCACCTCTTTTAGCTGCGCAACCTGCCTCTCAATAACACCTCTACTCTCCTGCGCCTCACTCCTCATTCTCTCCACAATCGCACCAAGCTCGTCGCGCGCGCTCAGCGCCTCATGTTTCTGCTCCAACAGGTGGTCTATCTGCACGGTCATTTGTTCGTTCAAATCATCAACCTGTTGCTCCTTCACAGCGTACAAACCCTGCAGCTTCTCGATCTGATCCGACAACATTGTCTCAACCTCTCGGTGTCGTTCCTGAGCGCTCACCAGCGTCTCACTTATCTCCCGCTGTCTTGTTTTAGAGTCAGACAGTTCACCCTCCAGCATGGTTAGGCGGCGGTGCAAGTGCTCTATTTCACGTATCTTGTGGTCTAGTTCTGTGTTAAAGGAGGCTACGTCTTTGTGGTGTTTTTCTGATTGTTCTGCTAGGTAGGCTTGGGATTCTTTGAGGGTAAAAGTAACGTTGTCAAGGTTTTTTCTCGCATTGTTCAGCTGTGTTTCTATACTCTTAAGTTCTCGCTTCAACTTTGCTAATTCCCTTTCATGGGATTCTTCTTCCCCCGCTAAAGTCAGTTCACCTTTCTTCACCATCTCCTTCAACGTCTCGATCTCTAGTCTCAATTCCTTTTCCTGTCTCTCCAATTCCATCATTCTCTCCTTACCTTGAGCTACTTTCCCTGTCAGTTCCATCAGTTCCGTCTCCAAACCAGCCACCTTATCACCGTTACTCCGCCTCATCTCCGACATCTCAGCTCTCTTTTTATCCAGCTCCTGGTGAGCCACCTCGCACTGTCGAGTTGATTTCTCAATCTGTTGAACATACTCGTCAATAACTTTATTCATCTCCACGATCTCCCCACTGTATCCATCTGATTTCCGCACCTCCTGCTGATACTGCAGTTTGATCTGGTTCATTTCATCTCTTATCTTGAAAATTTCGTCGTCGTGATCAAGTTTAGCGGACTTTATCCGAGTTTGAAGAGATTTAAGCTCGTCCTCAATCCCCTCAATCTGCCCTTCATATCTTGTGATGGTATCTCCAGCGGAGTTTAACTCGGAGTCCTTATATCCGATATCCTCCCTAAGATGCAGTACGGCGGTGTCCCTGATCTCAATGTCCTTGTTAAGTCTCTCAATAGTCTCCTGGTGTAGACTGACATCGTCCGCTAGCATATCACACTCTCGTCTACTTTCCTCTATCTGTAGCTTTAAACTCTCGTTGTCAGCAAGTAAATTCTGACTCTGCGCCACGTTTCGGATCAGATCCTCCTTTGTCTTTTCCAGATCGAGTAACATATTGTTCAGGGCTGTTTCCTTGGTTTGGTTGGAGTTCTTGTTTTCGTTTAGTTCTGATTTCAGGTGAAGGATCTGTGTCTCTTGGGTGGAAATCAAGTCATCTTTTCGTGCTTCAGTTTTTCGCAAATCTTCGGTTTCTTGCCGGGAGTCAGAGAGACGGTCTTGCAGTCGAGAAAACTGGGTTTTATAGCGTGAACAATGAACAATGAACACGTTGAAAAATTCATTTAATAAGGAACCCGAAAGAAAACATACGAATGATTGGTCCTAAACATTCCAGACTTACCCAGCCCTGAATGTTTAATAACTTACGTCGCTGGATAGCCTCTTGTTATCTGCCTGTAGAGTGCTGTTCTTGCTCTCAAGTTCGTGGAGAGAGTTGGTGGCTACCTTCTGCTGTCTTCTAGCTGCTGATAGATGTTCTTCTGATACTCTTAGTGACTCCTGAAACGATGATTTATATCTTATTTTGAGTGAATACCTACGTCCTAAAAGTACAATAACTTTTAGAAATGTGCAGCAACTGTTTTATAAAACAAAGTTTGATTCACGAAGTTTCTTTAATAGAGTTGCATACTTGGGAGCGAGCAAGCTGTTCACCGAGGGAACGAAGTTTCTCCGAGGTTGACGTTTTGTCTTGCTTCAGTATGCTGACCTTCAAAAAACGGAGGAATTAATTTCAAACTTTTGTTTAAAAGCGGACATTCAAGATAGGGAAAATAAAATACCGTTTTTAATCCACTATTGGAGTTGAAAAATTATTGTTAAAGCACTGAAGGATGGAGCTTACCTCGAGGTCAGTGTTTTGTTTATCCTCCTGTAGTTTTGACTGTAGAACTGACAAGCTCTTCTGGTGTTGCACAAGCTCTCGGTTCAAACACTGCACTCGTCCTTCTTCCTCCAGCAACTGATCTTCCTTTGCTTGACACTGTACAAACAGAAAGTTATTATTTACCGTGAAGTGTCCAGGTCGAACATTCAAGGTTAACAGTAGAATAATGCTACGTAAACGTACAATCAGGAATTCTTAAGAATTTCAAAAATGGTTTCCCAGCAAATAAGCACGGGATTGTACCTCTCTGAGAGCGATGTTGTATTTGTTGTTGAGTGCTGCTAACTCAGTCTGGCACCGAGCCAGCACCCCTTCTTGTCGGTGGACTTGGTCGGTTTTTGTCGTGTCGAGGTCTGAGAGCTCGTATTGGAGTCTAGACAGTTGAGCTTCCAGACCTGATATCTGTGATGGAGTTGATAAATGGTTAACAGGCAGATGGTATATTTGTTAAGGTATTCTGGAGACACTAGAACAGTAATAATTTGAATTGATCACACCCTGTGACAAAAATAGAAAAAGTAGAAGCTCAACCAACTACAAATAATTTGGCTGTACCTTCTGAAGCTGCTGTTGGTGTTGCTGCCTAAGGTTTTCTATCGTACCGTCCCTTGTTTTGAGCTGAGATTCGAATGCATCGCGTTGACATCGAACAGCGAACAGCTGCAGAAAAATTCTAAATAGCCTGTGCCATGCTCTCGGGCGCTGGAAATTAAACTTTTCAAAAGCACGATTTAAAGTAATTGTGCTCTGATATGAGTTATCAGTAAGCAGTGAAATGAAGTAAATATAAGGGGTGAATTTGAACCAACTTCATTTGAACTGCGAGTTTCTTTCTCCTGAATCTCAGCTAACTTAAGAGCAAATGCCTTGTTCTCTTCCTTCAGACTGATAATCATGCCCTCCTTGATGGAGTCCTCCACCCTGAGCTCATCTTCACGAGTCTTGTATCGCTCCAGGTCTATTGCTTTCTGTGTTACCTGTTTGAAATTGTCTGAAACTTGCTTTATCGTATTTATCTGAAGTTCGCGCGTGATGAAAATTAGTAATTTAATGCGCGCGAATTATGAAAGCAAGAACGATCACCATTTTGTTTTAGTATAAAGTTTACGCGCGCTACATATTTATTCGCTGATAGTTTTGTATGCAGAAGGACTTTCGACAAATCTGTTCCAAATAAAAAGTTCGAAAATCGAGTGTTTTTGTGAATAACTTAGAATATATTTTTGATTTTCACAAAATCTGAATGACAGATTTTCTTCAAAGTTTCCAGATAGTTAGATGGCTATATAACAGATAATGAGTGAGAGTTTGGGAGAATTTCTATATGCCAAAATGGAGATATGACTTCAAACACAAGAAAATATCTCCAAATTGGCGGTTTCTAGCGGAACACAGGCATATATTTAGAGATCTGAATGATAGATTTTCTTTAAACTTACCAGATAGTTGTATGGCTATCAGACGGATAATCTGTGCGATTTTGGGCGAGTTTCTATGTGCCAAACTTGAGATATGACTTCAAACACAAGAAAATATCTCCAAATTGGCGGTTTCTAGCGGAACACAGGTATATATTTAGAGATCTGAATGATAAATTTTCTTTAAACTTTCCAGATAGTTGTATGGCTATCAGACGGATAATCTGTGCGATTTTGGGCGAGTTTCTATGTGCCAAACTTGAGATATGACTTCAAACACAAGAAAATATCTCCAAATTGGCGGTTTCTAGCGGAACACAGGCATATATTTAGAGATCTGAATGATAGATTTTCTTTAAACTTTCCAGATAGTTGTATGGCTATCAGACAGATAATCTGTGCGATTTTGGGCGAGTTTCTATGTGCCAAACTTGAGATATGACTTGGCGGTTTCTAGCAGAACACAGGTATATATTTAGAAATATGATGGATACATTTTCTTTAAACTGGAAAGTTTAAAGAAATTCTATCATTCAGATCTCGAAATATATGCCTGCGTTCCGCTAGAAGGCTCCAATTTGAGATATTTTCTTGTGTTTAAAGTCATATCTTAAGTTTGGCACATAGAAATTCGCCCAAACTCGCTCAGATTATCCGTCTTATAGCCATGTAACTATCTGGAAAGTTTAAAGAAATTCTATCATTCAGATCTCGAAATATATGCCTGCGTTCCGCTAGAACGCGCCAATTTGAGATATTTTCTTGTGTTTGAAGTCATATCTTAAGTTTGGCACATAGAAATTCGCCCAAACTCGCTCAGATTATCCGTCTTATAGCCATGTAACTATCTGGAAAGTTTAAAGAAATTCTATCATTCAGATCTCGAAATATATGCCTGCGTTCCGCTAGAACGCGCCAATTTGAGATATTTTCTTGTGTTTGAAGTCATATCTTAAGTTTGGCACATAGAAATTCGCCCAAACTCGCTCAGATTATCCGTCTTATAGCCATGTAACTATCTGGAAAGTTTAAAGAAATTCTATCATTCAGATCTCGAGATAATCGACTTTCGTCAAATATCGTTCCGCGGAACATACGGAACGGAAAGTCCAACTCTTTGTATGTTTATCTGTGTATATGTACAGGTTCATGAGGATTTTCGACAAAATTGTTCCATTTTGCGGGTACGCTTTCCAGTAACTGTGCCTTCCTTCAAAAATCAAAATCTTAATCTTATCGCTTGAAAAATAGAACCTGACGCAAGGGCTTCAATTGCAGTCATTTCGCGTTTATCAAGCCACTACCTTGCTTAAGAATAACAAATTCGGATTACAAAAAGTTTGGTTAACATCATTTCGAAATTTTGAACACTTTTTTACTGATTATGGATCGGGGATATTTAGAATTAGCAGATCCGGTCTTAATCTTGTTTCAAGCAACAGATGTAGTAGAAGTTTAACTAAAATCAAGAATATCCAGAAGTCTTTTCTCCCGGAGTTGAAATTAAATTAGAAGGATTTAAGAAATATATGATTTCTAAAAGTATTACAAATGATTGCTTTTTTTGGAATGGTTCTAATGAAGTTTTAGTAAGAATTGAGGGAGCCAGTTATGTCAATAATAAAGAAAAACATAATGATTATCTTTGGTTTCATCCTTATGTGGTAAAGAAGCGTTTTCTAAATCTTTATTCCACTGGGAAGTTTGATTAGGTTTTCAAAATAGGATGATGTTTTGATACATTTAAAATTATTTGTATTAGATAAATAATTAATGTTGGTGGAGAAATATTTATGATATATTTTTTCACATAGTGCGATGATATTTTGTAGACATGTGTGGTGCTTTCATTATTATTTTACTTTACTTTACTAATTACTTTACTTTAGTCAATTTATGTCAACTTTTTTAAAAGATGGTTATGCAACTTCGGTTATATTAATTGCAGTTCCACTATTTTTGTTAATCACACTGATTAGATGGGATGGTAAACGAATCACACTGCTGAGTTACTTATCACACCCCTGATCATCTTCATTTGTACTGTCCACGTGACTATGAGAAATCAACTGTCTTCTCAACATGATCCTGGATTATAAGCCCAAATCTTCAATCCTACTGAAGCTCATGTCACGGGTTTACTACTAGACTGAGTACGGGAACCGGTCACGAGGGCGGAGAACACAAGGGCGGTACTTTTTAAAAGGGCGGACACGAGGGCGAATCACATGAATCACTTTAACATTGACGAACGGGTTTTTGATTTTCTCAACAGTCTGATTAAGGTTAAACTTAGCTCGAAGAATTGGATCTACTCACTTGTAAATTTGAAACAAAACATAGTGATGTGACAAATAATCACCCAGATTTTAACGCGCCAAAAATTGAGAGATTTTCCTTAAATATCTCAGCCAACTCAGCAGCAGATTTTGGGGTTTGGTAACGTGCTTAGACCAATCAAACACTGCGTAGATCTTCATCTGACAAACCTGGCCTTCAAAATATCGCAGTCGCTGACGCTACGGTTATCTGGGTTTAGATCAGGGGTAGTACGTACCAAAACGGGTATTCTCTTTGGGTAGACGAATTTCACTGAAGTGTGTTCACTCAATTTCGAACCATCAATCCTTTCGGTTAAAACGACCATCATTTGGACGGTTTTTGTTTCGCCTTCGTGTCCACACTAAAATGAATCATGTTATTCGCCCTCGTGTCCTCCGCCCTTTTAGGAAAGTCCTTGTTTCCTATGCCCTAGTGTCATATACCCGTTGAGCACAATCAAACAATTTGAAACATTTGATAAAAGAGAATTTATCTGTACCTGACACTTCTGCCACCAGTGTATTCCTAAAAATATGTCTGGATTGTGGAATGTGGATAGCAGTGCCGGGTAGAATTGAAGTACTAGGCGTAGGTCATGCAGGCTTTGTTCAACCAAGCCACATTCCTTTAAGCGTCACATACAGCTAATAACCGCTAATGCTTTTTAATTAAACAATCGAATTAAATGAACGGCTAAATTAAACCATATATTTAAGATACCATTTTTATACTGGGGATTCATGTGTTGCTCAATGCTCTCACACAATTATGTATAATCAGATTTTAAGACATACAGGGGAATTAATGATTGAGTTCTATTATAGTTGATCTAAAGAAGGCGTGATGACGAGGAATATGATTGCCTCTAAACCGTACAATAGAAGGTAGACACAGACTTTAACTTGGACGGCGAACGGCGCATTAAACCTGTTTACCTGTTTTCTTTTGCGATCACTTGAGGAACAAAATCTCTGCAGCTACTCCTATGACGATTTCTCATAAATACTCTAACTTTACAGAGTACGGTATCAAGAATGATGCTGAACGTTTGGTTTGGGCGGGATGGCTCATGCTTATACTCCTTGTTTCTGTCTTGGGTAACACAACTATTCTTGTTGCTTCCATCAAGTATAAAGCCTTCAAGCTTCACGGAGTAATTGTAACATTTATTCAACACATCGCTGTAAATGACCTGCAAATAACGATAGCAATGGTCTTCACACAGATAATTAACTTGTTGACCAACAAAAGAATCTTCAGCAGCAAATTGTGCTACGTAAGGGCCAACCACAGTCCCTTTTGTAATTCAGTAAGTTTGTTTATGGTTTGCGGGATGACGGTCAGCAAATACCTTCTGATAAAGTTCCCATTAAGAACAAGATATTGGACAAGAAAACAAGCCCAACAGCTCTGTGCTTGTCTCTGGATATTATCACTTGCCAGTCCAATCTTATCACTTGCTGTGGATCCGATGGACGTCTACTGGGATAGTAGACTTTACACCTGTTTCAACGCCTTCTCATCTCAAATCTGGAAAATACTACTCCCAATAACAGTTGTAATTTTAGCGTTCACACCGGGCATCGTGACCGTTGGAACCTCCGTCATGCTGGTGAGACATTTATTTTATGCAAGAAAAATAGCAAAACGTATAGGAGCCAATGTTCCTTGTCGAGGGATTGTGACGGTGCTTCTTACCGCCACTGTGTACATCATGTCATTTCTACCCATTTCACTTTACTTGGTTATTCACTCAAGTTTGAAGGACGAGCATGTTTCTACCTACCTCTTCCGAGTAGGGGATACCTCTAAATATTTTAACGTCGTGGCAAACATCTTCATCTACACCTTCTCGGTAGCCAGTTTCAGGGCATTTCTCATAGACAAGGTCAAGATGGTAAAATCATCCGTGTACCAGACTGCTTCTGACGCTGTCAGTGATAGACGGGCAACGTTTAAACTTCGGCAGACTGAGACTGAACTCATCTGATCACGTGACAGTTCTGAGTTCACTGTTTTACTGATTTTAAAGTAATTTCGATGGGACATATTTGATCGATGAGTAAAATTTTTCTATTATTAATTCTTATGAAAATAACCATTAACCAGGTTACTATTTAGAAACGGCGTTGTTGTGTCAAATGACGCTCAAAAACCTAAAGAATTGTTCAAACATATACACATACAGAAATAAACAATATTCTGGAAGTGATGGTTTGGGTCAAAGTGCTCACCTCTTCGTTCAAAAAGTTGTTTTGTAGTTTCAAATGTTGTGCCTCTTCGCTTTTAGTTTTCTCTTCGCTGTTGTATTGCGTTTCTTTTTCCTAATAACACGATCGTTATTTATTCTTTAAAGTCTATTAAATATTCGATTAAAAGTAAATGATAGTATTCATTGACTATTAGAGTAAGAAAGCTGTTAGATTATTATATCCAAATTCCAAGAATCTTATCGCAAATCACTAACTAAACAAGGACAACTGGTTAGTGTGTTTTGGCGAAACAACATAAATCAGATCTAGTTCTGGAACAATCCCGCGTTGTCACGTGACTCTGATCCAAACTGCCACAAAAAGTCTCACGACATAAGAAGTTGATAGATTTTTAACACAAGCACACATAATTTAGCATGCATTAGCAGCTCTGTCTGTCTGCCAGTTCCAAGTAACTATCAACAGCAATAAAATTACAACAATTCACCGAGGATAACGATTCAGTTTTGAGGATAAAAACTATAAGGATCTTCAGTCAAGCAGTTGACTTTATTAAAGATGACGTTATTAAAGATGATCTCATGTTACCGTTATTAGACTTCAACTACATGGACATTTAGAACAAATTGGTAGGTAAATGGAGGTTATAAAGCAAGTCAGTGACATTGAATCGTTCTCGACTAGACATTTTTTAATAAATTCGACTGTTTGCAACCGTCTGTTGTTTATGACGCTTCCGACGTCCGATCGTTCTTTGGCACTAAACCATAAAAAGGAAACATATTGTATCAATTTCTCAAGCAGACCTAAATTCGGAAAAAAAATGGGACTTTTAAACGAAACCAAAACAAGAAATGTAGCGAAAGATACATTGGCAACGCCTAGGGATAAAACTTGTCTAAAAACTAATATATCTCCACACAAACTACTTCTCCCTCTGCCAAGCATGCTTGCCAGACATCAGCAGTCACGTGACCATCACCAACCAATTAGAACGAGGGGAGCAGTTGATCGACCAATAAGCAGCAAGCAGTGAAGACTGAAGAGGATTGACCAATAAAAGGTGAGGTGGAGACATGTACTATAGAGTTCTAGTAAGCAGGCTGTTGATCTGCAGAGATCAGTCACGCTCTGGGTGGTAGAAGACCGGAACAGCTTCTCCAATTACACGTCAATTACAAATGTTTCATCTGACACGTGCAGTAATTACATAGTGCACGCACGTGGAGCGAATTTAATGCACGTGCGGTGATCACAACTAGATACTATCAGTGTGATCTGTCTCAGTGCTGTCAGATGAATGATTGCTTGATGTTTGGAGTTTTTATCCCACTCATTGTCTACCTATTATTTTACTTGTGGCAATAATGATTATTGGCCTTAATTGTTAAAGTTCAATTAAGCTCGAGGCAGACCACTGGACGGATAGGATCACAAGTCAATATTTGCAGCCCTGCCCAACGTTATTAGTTGATAGATACAATAGCCCAACGTGACTATATCAAAGGATCGGTTATCAAGTTTAGTCTGAATCTGAGAGGACTTCAGCCTCTCAAGGAAAAAAATCTGCCAGAGCTAGAATGTTGAACTCACTATTTGTATCTTGAGCTTTTCGATGTATCTATTTGCCTCTGATAACTGTATCTCTGTGTCAGATATCCTGTCCTCCGATGTTCTTATCAACTCACACGCCTGATGGATTATGTTCGTAATGAGTGGGAGTTACCTGGAACTACAGATAACAGATAAAATTAAGATAACAGCTTAATCTTCAAAATATTCATTGTTTAACTTCCGAAATCAAATACAAATATTCACCTTTTCAACGAGGGTGGTCACTGTTGCTGAAGGATGAGTGCTGGGTAACGCCCGAGCCAAATCGTTCTCACATTTTTGTAGCATGCTTTGCACGTGCGAGTAGCGCGTCTCCGCTTCACTTATCTCAGTTTCAAGATCTCGGGTACTACGCTGGTACTTCTTCAGCTGGAGGGATTATTAGATAGGTTTCAAATGGTCAGTTTTACGAAAAGCTTTTTAATGAACAAAGCTAAAATAGCGTAACAGCCGGCTGATATCGAAGGCTGAACATATAAAATTATCCATAAGATTATTTCTAAAAACTTGTTAGTGAGTCTAAAATATAATTACGTAATAGTCTCACTTTGAGTAAATTTATAATTTCTTTTATTTTCTTACACCACTTAGACATTATAATTAAAACAATTTGAGGCCACTCACAACTTAGGCCCGACAATACCTAGTTAACCGAAACCGGACGACGCCTCTGGTGTCCCCCTGGCCCTCCCTGTAACACCGAGTGGGTAAATGTCATTACATATTATTATCCTAAAACAACGTACAGAAAATTAATTTACATTGTTGAATCTTTGAAAATTTGGCTCTACCCCACTCGATTTGATTATTCTGAACATTTTAATGCCCAAGATGAGCGCTTAATTCCCATCAGAAGTTGAGATATCTTGAAATAAGTGTTTGATTACATCCTGGGAATAGAGCTTTTCCAAATCATATTGCGACAAATTGAATAAGTATGTCTTTAAACCAATTTTAAACATACCCACTGTATAACACATTTTAACTGATGGTGGTAGAGTGTTGTAAATTTTGGGTTTAATAACTCTGAAAGTTCTTTGCCCAGCATGGAACTTGCACGAGGAACAATAAGTTTGAAAGAGTGCTACATGATAGATAAACGAAAACGTTTCTGCTATTGTCCATGTACTCATGAAATGTGTACATGTAGATTGATTTACACGACAGATTCCAGTACATGGTATGCTAGACCAAGTTGTCCGCTGCCGCCAATATACCTTAGATACTAAACCAGGTAATATGATTACCACTGATGATCCAACTGTTTGGGTAGCAGATGATGAGATGAAACCATCTGTTTCAGTAATAAACAAATGGATATATTGTTTCGAGCTAAGCTGTCGACACAAAACTCCTCAAGGGAGTTTCCAGTTTAATTAAATAGTGGTCGTATTTAAAATTAGGACCTTCTGTCAAATAAGAAATTATAAAATCATAAGGTCACTATTTTTATTTTCCAAAATTATCTTAATTCCTTGATTATTGTATCTCAATTTACCCAGTACACTATATTACCTGAATTTCAAGATCATGATAATCAATACTTTTGCTCTCTGGTCTCTGTACTTTAGATAGCAAATCATCCCGTTCTGCTGCAACTGTAACAAATCTCTTTTCTTGAGCAGACAACTGTGGAATCAGGTTTCAAGTTCAATGAAAATGTACAATTGTATACAATGTACAATTATATACATGATAAGAGTGATACCTGAAAAGATTACGAAGAAAAGATATAAACAAATTATAAAAGCGCTAATGCTCAGTTAAAAGCCCCTTTTTAAGAAATACAGTTAATAAACTAAGTTTCTAAACATTTATGAGATTGCGCACTGTGAATACAGATATGCAGCTTACGTCTACAGAGGGCATATCTGCATGCTTGATATTCAGCTAGACCCTCAGACATATTTCAAAAACCAACCTTCTCCTTGAAAATGTTAACCTCGTCCTCAGAAGCAGCAAGTCTAGTTTTTAGTCTGTCTATTTCACCTCTTCCTTCAGTGGTGCTGGTCATCTCTCTCTGGTACAGATCAGCTCGTTGTTGGGATATCTGGCAGGAGGAGGAGGAGTTTAATTATATCTGGAGACTGGGGGCATTTGTTTAAAACATTTAGGTGATTACGAAAAGTTGATTTCCATGTGTAAATCGTCTTCAGTTAAATTATATGTTCAGTAACAAAAGTTATCGTATCAGTTATAACGGTCATGGTTAAAAGAAACTTGATATGCGAATACGAGATAGGTGGCTCTGGGTTATCATAACTTGTAGGTTACTTATTTTGTAACTGTGACAGACTCTGTAACAACATGTAGGACCTACATGTTGTAGGTGCGGTGATACTTTGTAAATATTGCGATTCCGCACCTGCTCAAAACTTGCTTCGAATGAAAAAAAGGCGGGATGACGATAAATTTTATATGCCATTATTTTAACGGCATGGCATTGTATGATATTTTAAATCATTACAGTTTTAAACATTTTACAGTCGTTAGCACTGATTCAGCTGATTTGTCGCTCAAACCCTGAATTACTATTCGTTACCCACACTCCTGCACAGAAAACAAAAATCTCATCTGCTCTACTCTAAACCTGGTAATTTGTACCACAAGTTTGAGTGTATTTTAGTCTGTTGGGGTAAAATTTCAAACCAGCCCCCTGATCCTAGGTTCGAATTTGCCGCTACTCCAGGTTTTAGAGGCAATGTACTCCTCTCCCCATTGGGTGTTATTACCCACGTGACTTAAATACCGCCCCGTAATTGGTCCCCTACTCGAGCTAACTATCACATCATTGGTTGGAGCAGGGATAGTGTATTACATGGTGGGGTACAGGTGGCGTTGTGACAGTTATAGGTCGCAAAGTTGGTCACGTGGACTAGTCACGTGGGCGCTGAAGTCACGTGCACAAGTCAGGTGGGTGCTATAGTTACGACTAATACATTCGACCGTTAGAGAGGGAGGTGGAATGATTGTAATGTAATGACAATGTGTTGTTTAACGCTGATTGAAGTAATTATGTTATCTAATTATTGACCCATGCACCCTGGAGACATGGCATTAGAGGTTAGGGCAGCCAACAATGTGATCGCTATTGGAGATCAGCGGTCTAGAAAGTTCAGCTATAATAACACAGATGCTACTTTAGATGACAGGTATCAAATCAAGGTAAAGTTTTTTCTCGACTGTTTCCTTTTTGAGTTAGCACTGACTATTATATGCCTAAACACAGCAGATTAACCGATGGCTATGCCTTTTTAGTACATCATGATTTGACTCATGAAATCAGGTAAACTTTATAAAAAAGTTCTTGAGACAATCAATTAAAAGAAATCAAGTTTTAACCTGCATGTCTGTAGCAACTTGAGCTTCTTTTAACTGTCCCTGTAGATTAGCTATACACTCCTGTAGCTCTGATATCTGAAAATACGAGGATTAAAATTTACCATTAAGAGTATTGCTTATTAATTGAGGTTGGCAATGGAACTGCGTTTCTCCCTTTTCGCTGAGCTTCCCTATTGTGCCACAATCCATATATCTATATGGATTTACGGTAACTAAGCGGCCAGGTAGCGCAGTTGGTTAATCATCGGCTTTGTAATCGTGAGGTTGCGAGTTCGAATCCAACTGCCTGCCTAGTCGTGGGGTGAGCGTCGTTGACGCTCTGCTAAGGATCCCGAGTGGTCTATGTAGCCCCACGGTTCACTCAACCGAATGCTCGAGAAATCGGGTGTGAGGGTTAAATGAGGAGCTGTGCTTGATCAACACAGCGAAGCTTCGGGCGAAGAAAGTGTGGCATAGTGCCTTAACCGTCGCTGGCCTTAGGAACGATCCTTCGGCTTCCTGTAAAGCTCTTCCTTGAAAGTGCTGGTTTACATTGTAATGCAGGTAATGCCGAAGTAAAATAACAAAGGTGGTCGACTCATTCGATGGCCTTGTTGCGTCGCAACGAATCCTCATAAGATAAGATAAGATAAGAACTCGGTAATCTGCCGATGCACATCGGCAGATTATTTACGGAATAATATCTTGGAGACGTCATCCGGTATCCCGCTTGACGCTTGTGACATATCGCATTATGTGTCCGATATCCACTGACATTGTTTTGTACGGTGCCTATTTAAATATTTAGTATCAGAATGAGAGCAACCATAGCTCAGACAAATATTATCTTAAAATTGATTAAGAATATTCCTGGAATAAACTCGAAGTTTCTAATATTTTTAAGAGGGCATGAAGTTGTGGTTACAACTGAGATTGAGTAAGTGCATACTGCATAGACACCATTCTGAGCGGTGTAGGGATGGGGGTAAAATTTATTATTATAAAATGTATTATTATATTATTATATTGAGAGTTGCGCTCGATGAAAACATCAGAGTTTGCTGATTTAGAGCTGAAGAAGTTCGGATCTGTACGGGTTTTGGTGTGGAAACGTGTCGTGTTGGATTGAGGGCGCTAGAATTTGGATTATGGTTCGAGTTGGGTATCTTAGTTTGGGCTACTATCGTGTCTTAGCATTAGTAGAATATTGTAGTAATAGTAGGAAGCTTCCTCTTTTAGTTATCTTTATTTTAGTGTTTATCTTTATGTAGTAATAAGTTTGCCATGTATAAGTGTCGAAATCTTTAATGACTGATTTTCACTTCTCTTAACAATTTACAAGTAGGATGCCTCACTCGCTATCTTTAGGATATAACTTGCGTTAAGAAGGACTCTACAGTCTGAGCTCATATTATATGATCGTTTTGGATCAATTTTCATTGAAATGAATGAAGTTCCACAAAAATATTGCAGGATTTTTGGTTTTGTGGCCAGATCCTCGAATGGCTCATGAAAATAGTACACTACAAAAAGAGATTAGATCTATAGTGAGTGAGCTATTATAGCCCGAATATTTAATTAGTCGAGGTCCTGATCCCCTCTTTATTAGCGGTACAGCCACATTATTTTCAGTACAGATTTTACTGCAGCACAGTCGGGACGCAACCCCCATGCAATCATGTCATTTTCAGAGCTATAACGAGAACTGCCATAATTTGGTGAGTCACGGCTTCTGTTCATCTTATGTTGTACTAATAGTTTTAATACTTTCAACACTACTATATAACAAATAATTTTAGGCATGGCTACCGATGAGTAATCCGTTGGAGTAAAGTCTGCCGGTGTCCTGGGTGTGATGGATCTGAGTTAGATGGCAGGTTGTGGAGGTGGTAATCGTTTCTTCCTATCGCCCTGGTAGTCTTGTACTGCCAGGGCTCCTGCGGTCTGGTACGAGGTTAGTTTAATTGTTAGAGATCTAGTGATGTTTGAAATTTGTTAACTCCTTTTAGCTACTTCTCCCTTAGATAAGTATTGCATTCTTTCTCTGCTATACAGTTCTTTACGATAACTCTGTTCATTATAATTCAAATTTTCTCACTCAGAACTATAAATCTCTGGCCTATTGACTGTTTCAGATCCAGATTGCTAGGGTTTATAACGGTGCCACTGAAACATCCTGCTGTTGATCTCTTATCCGGATCACCCAGTCTCCTCCCGATCCTCCCACACTTCACAACAAGATGCCAACACTGCCCGCCAACTTCCTCGCCCTACTGCAAAACTTATCTCTTGAAGTAAAGCAACACATGCATACCCTCCTCACTGAGAGTATCCTGGACAGTCTGAAAGAGGAAAAGCTTGCTTCAAAAATTGAACGGTTAGATGAAAAGAAGAAGGAAAAGAAAACGAAGAAGGAAACTACTGTTCAAAATGTCTCGTATAGCCCACATGCGCTCATAGAGCACGTTCCAGTCCTCCCTGGAATGGATGAAAATCTATTCCAGAAAATCACAGAAGAATTAGATTCAATGAATCTTGAAGGCAAATCTAAAAAAGTCCACACCCTATGGCTAAGCCCTTCATCAGAAGACTACTGCTTTGGTAACATAGTTAACAAGCCACATCCCATCAACAACTTCCCTAGCATCTTTAAGTTGATGGGACTTATTAATGACCTCCCCTCCACCACCAACAACATGGATGCTTGCCTTGTTACTAGGTACGACACTCAGCAAGCTAAGTTAAGCCTCCATAAAGACGATGAAGACCTAATAATATCACAGTCCAGCTCCATTTGCACTTACTCAATAGGGGCTCCACGGTCACTTGAGTTTGTACTGGATACAACCCAAGTAGAACAACGCACAACTAGGGCCTCTAGGTCAAGGTCAGCCCAAGAGTTGATTAACGCAGACTTCACCCTCCCTGCCACCAATGGCACACTGAACATCATGAAGCCTGGTGCACAGCAAGTCATGAGGCACAGGATTGCCCCAGGAGTTGCACCTTCTGACGATGAAACTTGTTGGAGGTATAGTCTCTCCTTCAGAAAGTTAACTACACCTTCCTCTTCCTCTTCCCCTTCATCTCCTATTCTTCCCTCTCCTACATCCGACAGTCCTAATAAAGTATCCCCAAAAGCCCCCATCACAGACTCTCAAAAACACCAGAAGTCTATCATTCTCATTGCTGGTGACTCCTTTGCTGCTCGATTGGACGCTGATCGCCTCAGTAGAGGTAAAGAAACTGTCACCAACATAGCTAAGGGTGGGCTTAAGATCTCAGCTATACAGAAATCTATTGAGGCCTTTCATACAAAGAACCCTCTTGTGCAGGTAAAGAAACTGTTCTTAAGCTTCGGTGCCAACGACATCCGGTACTGTACCCAGGGTGTCAATCATCTCAAGACCCCTGTGAGTGACCTTATGAAGACAGCAAAAAAACTTTATCCAAATGCACGTGTTTTTGTACAAGCTATTCCACCAGTCCACCCCAACGGACAAGAGAAAATCCCTGGTAATGTTTGTGCTATGAATAATTTGATCTTTGATCGCTGCTCTAGGCATAAACTGTTTTACCTTGATGTTTTTTGGGCATTCTTAGACCGCTATGGAAACAGAAACGAGAGATTATTTCCTAAGTGTGACAATAGGGGCTTTTATGATATTCATCCCAGCCCCAAGGCTGGGATGCCAGTGTTGGCAAAGTTCTATCTCAGAATCATACACTCAAAGTGGTTTAATCCAATGGGATACTGATGTGGTAATCCAATTCAATATTTCAATTTTTCATTGTCTGCATCAGTATCCTATTGGATCTGATCATTTGGATGTTATTTATATATTGTATTGAAACGAAGTGATAGCATAATGTATGTTACTTCATATTATAGCACAATACCTAACAAAACACAACGGCGAGACACAATCCTGTTAATAATATACTTAAAAGTTCCATGGGAATATCGACTCAACAACACCGTGTTGCAACTGGTATGTTTTCTAGGTATGTTATCATCAGTAAAAGTAATAGAGGTAACGGGGAAAATTTGTTGTCCTGTCTTCTGTCTCGTCATATGTTATGTGCTCTATTGGGTATATTTTATTTTTATGTTATTTTGTATATATTTTCTTTGACTATCGATGCTAATATACTCCCTAGTGCTCCCTTCCAACCTAAAATACACTCTGTACCATGTTTGAGGTCATCCATAAATCTTTACTTTATGGTAATATTTTGTACCATTTTTCTCAGACACTTTAAACTTGTGTACAGGGGGGAGAGGGGCATTGGGACAGCCTTAGCTGCAATTTCTGTAAAATTGCTATCGACCACAAAAACCGAACTGTCACCTACCATGTCACCAAAACAGACTGTTAAGTTACTTTTTAATATTACCAGCAGCTGGCTTGGGGTCATGTCTAGGTGTGGTCTGGTTTTTCTATCTCTCCTTAATATTTCCCTGATAGTAATTTGTAATTGTTCCTTACTGAACCCTGGACCAAATTTATCCGTTGTTTACAATAATGTCCATGGTTTCCTAAATACCCGCGATCTAGCATCAGGAACACCACCACTAAATATGACCAAGATACATGAATTCCATGGTTATATCTACAAACATAAGCCTCACATCATTATTCTAAACGAGACATGGCTGAAAAATTCCATTCTCAGTAATGAGGTGCTCCCCGACAAATACAAAGTATTTAGGCTTGATCGATCCTTAAGATCGCATCCAGTGGATGCAACCCAGCCCAAGAAATTCAGAAAAAACGGTGGTGGTGTTCTGATTGCCCATAGAACAGACATTGATATCTCGAGTCTAAAGTTCTCAAAGGTTAGTGTTCAAGCTGAATTATTATCAGTCATAATTAAGACTCAGTGTGGAAGAAACTTTTGCATATCTACATTCTATAGAGTAGGAACTCTTGGCTTAGATAATTTTGAATCTTTCAAGAAACATTTTGTTACGTTAGCATCTGCCAGAAAGTTGCAAAGACACATTCTGGTAGGGGACTTTAATTTAGCTTCGATTTCCTGGCCAGATGGTCAGTCATCTTGCCAGCTACATTCCAGCTTTGTAAATTTTCTCA